GCTTCCAACCTCTCGGCGGGCATTGCCTCATGTTCCCTCCCCCGGCCCTCCGGCCTCCTCTCCTCAGGACCCTTGTGTTGACTTTGGGCACACATGGGCATCATCATCTCCCCACCTCGAGATCCTGAACTCAAGCACATCTCCAAAACTCCTTTTGCCACAGAAGGTGTCATAGTTACAGCGTGTGGGCAGCAGGGTGTGGCCTCGCTGGGCACCACTGTTCTGTGTATGACAGTTACCCGGCTGAGGGGTGGTGGGACTCTCTGTGCCCCGACACGCCCCTGTGCCCTTCCCCTGGGAACACTCACTGTGCCTTGCGCGCTTCAGTGGCAGCATTTCAGTGGCTCCTGCACGTGCCCGTTTCAGGTAAGGGAGGGACAGGTGGGGCCTGAAGTCTGGCTGCTTGAGTCGAAATCCGGCTTCACCCCATCCTCGCTGTGCGATTGTCGCCACGTTACTTCATGTCTCTGTGCCTCCATTTTCTCCATTTTAAAACAGGAATGAGGCTACTAGCTGCCTGTCCACAGGGGTGGAGCACGAGGACTGAGTGACTGGACGGATGCTGAGTCCCTAGGACAGCACCTGGTTCAAACAATCCAGTAACTGTCAGCTGCTTTTTTTCTTTTTTTGATCGAGAGACTTTTTTAGTTTTCCCAACAGTTTACCTTCTACCAGGTGCGTTGCTGTCTTCTCATTTGGATGTGAGCGTGTCAGGGAACCTGCACCAGGTGTCACAGCAGACACGCTGGAGTTGCAGTGGCTAAACCCACAGTCTTGCTTCTCACCCACCTGGAGGCTTTTTTTGGGGGGGTTTGGGGAGTCCTTCTGCATTTAGAGCAGGTGGCCCCAGGGTCGCTGTGGGGAAGAGGCGGTGGAGCAGTTCTCTCTGCCTCTCACCACCAACTCCTGTGGCCTCAACTTGGAAGTGACAAATTTTACCACAGCCCACTGCCTGGAGGAAGGCTGGTGCAGCCCAGGGTGGGAAGGTCAGTGCAGGGAGGGAAGACAGGGGAGGCATCAGGTACAGGCCCACCAGCCAGGGGGTGCTTCAGGGAGGAGGTGACCACCAACTCGAGGCTTAAACAGAAACTTGCCGATGACAGTGATCTTCACTGGAGAAATCTCGACGGAGGCAAAGGTTTCAACATTCTGTGGCAAAGTGAAGCTGGGTCTGGAGAAAGAAGGAGGGGCATAGGTGAGTGCTTCGTTGAATATTGGGTGGGCCCGGGGACTCTAAACAGTGGTTCTTCACCTGGGGTCTGCAGACTCCTTGGACTTGGGTGGGGGGTGGATGGCAATTATCTTCTCATTACCCCTTTACTGAAATGTGGGGTTTCCTTTCACTGTTCTCACAGGTAACCAACCACAGGGGTAAGTGTGTGAGTGTGTGTGTGTGTGTGTGTGTGACTGTGGCATCACGAGAAGTCACAGATTGGATCACATTTTGCATGTTGGAGCTACTTCAAAAAATACCACTTTCACTCATCACTGCTTCGAAATCATGATAGAAGGAGACTGCAATCTTCATTTTAACTGGCACCCAAGGGCTGGGTTAATAGGTTGTTGTAAGTGTGCAATTACACGTAATTACACTCACAATATGGTGGAGCCCTCACCTCTGCTTCCAAACCTTCTTCGTCATCACATTCTGTGTAATACGCAGTCACTGTGTAACAGGGTGGTCCCCAGGAAAGGGGGAGGTTCCCTGCCCCACCCAAGGGAGGGTGGAGCTGAGCAGGAAGAGGAGAAGCTGCAGAAGAGACTGAGGAAGGAAGGAAGCAGGATGGAGCCAGAAGGAGACCTGGAGGAGGCGCATGGAGCCTAGAGACACGTGAAGAAACTGCGCTTGTCTTTTGGTCGTGGACTGGGTGACACAGATGTGGGTGAGACCCGTGGGGAGGTGACCATGGCAGCTTTTATCTTGATGTTGATTTTGCTCTTTTGCTTCCGAGCTTGTCCGGTTGTTTGTGACCCTTTTCTGTGGGTCCCCACTGGAAGATGCTTTAGACTTGTGGCAGGCTTTGGGGCCTTGTTCTGGGCCAATCCCATTTGGATGGAGTTTTACCCACGAGGGGATGGGTAACTTTGGGTGCTTCATTTAGAAACTAGATTCTTTGCCTTACCTGTATTGTTTCCTAGTTTTATTAAAGTTCCTTCCCATTAAAGTGTCCTATGTTTTGTGTTGATGCGGCGGATGGCAGAACCCATGTAGAATAGGCAGGGTTGCGGGGTTTGGGCTGCCCCTCTCCCTGTCCTATAACAACTGCTCAACATTTCTTTCCTCAGCCCTCGTAAACTTTGTTAACCTAAGGATTCAGGAGGCCATTCAGAGGTGTGTTTGTGTGGGATCAAAGAATTGCAATTTGGAGTATACAGATTCAGGTAGAAATCTACAATATGTCCTGAGCAGGAGAGACAAGGTGAGGGCTTTTTATAGCAACAAAGAAGAAAGACAAAGTAAATAGTTAAAGAAAAGAGTTAATAAGTGTTAAAAAAAAACTTAAACCACTCTTGGAGATACATAATTAATTACCGATTCTATTCTTGGGCAAAAAACACTGTAATCATCGGATCCTGTTATCAGGACAAGTTCTCGATTGTTCGATGATTTCTTAATTACTTTTTGGCCTAATCCAAAGGTCTTGGACCCAGATCACTGCTCATGACCTTAGGTTCTTCCCACCTTCTGGCCAAGGTGAATTGTACCCCTATGAATACTCACAAACAAGTATTTGTTTGCGCACCTGCTTTCAGCTCTCTTGGGCCTGTCCCCAGAAGTGGGGGTGCTGAGTTACGTGGAAATCCCATGTGCAACGTCTTGAGGAACTGCCAGACTTTCCACTGTGGCTGCCCCCCCTTACCATCCACCTGTGAAGGGGAGTTCTCATTTCTTCACATCCTATCCAACAGCTGCTACTTTCTATAAAAAAAAATGCCAGCTCCCCGGATGGGGGTGTAAGTGGTATCTCATCTAATTCTGATTTGCATTTCTCTAATGATGAATGATGTTGAGCATCTGGTCATGTGCTTATACTTTCTTTGGAGAAATGTCTGTTTTTGACCGTTGCCTATTCCCCCTTGGCTTGGTCTTTCTGGTGTTGAGTTGTAGGAGTCTATTCTGGTTTTTCAGCTCTCATCAGATATATGGCTGGCCAGAGGTTTCTGTGGGTTTCCTTTGCCCTTGCTTGCAAGTGTCCTTGCACGCCAAAATCATTCTATGCTCTGTACTTTTCAGTCTTAATGAAGTCCAATTTATCTATTTTGTCTTTTGTTTCCTGTGCTTTTGGTTTCATTATAAAAAAAAATTTGCTAAATCCAAGGTCATGCAGATTTCTCCCTACTTTCTTATAACAGTTTTATAGTTGTGGTGCGGACATTTTAGCTCCATGTTGAGTTCATCTTTGCATATGGCATAAAGAGTCCAACTTCATCCCTTTATGTGAATATCTAATTTTCTCAGCACCACTTATTGACCATTCCCCCCACAGGTGAGCCTGGCACCCTGATGAAAGTCCTTTGACGGTAGAGGTGAAGGTTTATGCCTGCGCTCTCAACGTCAGTCTATGGGTCTCTATGTTTATTCTTGTGCACATACCACACTTGGTGATTATTGTGGCTTTGTACCAAGTTTCAGAATTGGCAAATGTGAATTCTCCAACTCCATTCTTTTTTAAACTTTATGTTGGTTATTCTGAGTTCCTCCAAATTCCATAGAAATTTAAGATGAATTTTTCATTTCTGTAAAAATTCCATTGGGATTTTGCTAGGGGTTGTAATCATCCCATCCATCGCTTTGGGTAGCGTTATTCTCATAACAATGTTGTGCTGGGATGCACGAACACGGTTCCATTTATTTTTGAGATTCCCTGCATTAACCACTTAATAGGGTCTTCTTGGAAGTGGGGATGCCCACAGAACGCAAAGACTTGAGTTCCTAGTGGTGAAATCTAATGAGAAAGATTTGTTTCTTGAATACAGAGCATAGAATGATTTCGGAAATACTACAGCGGACCAGTTCAGCGATCTACCTGTGCCTACAGTGTGGGAAGCCAAATTAAAAGAATTTTTGTCAGTCATTTGTTGGCTTTTCCTTCTCTCCTCCTAGGAGTAGTTAGAGAAGAGCATGGGAACAATGGATTGCTCCAAGAGGCTTTGTGCAGGGATCACGATTCAAAACAAACCTCCCTCCCATAACCCGCATCAGCCCATCTCACCATCTCCCACTTCTTGCTCGAGCTGGTTGATTCTCTTGAGTGCCACAAGGTGGCAGCCAGAGCAGGGCTGCAAAGACAGGAGAACAGATGAGGCACAGAATGAGGGAGATGTGGGGAGAAGAAGCAGGAGGGTGTGAGCAGGAAAACAGAGCCTTGTGTGGGTGGTGCCCCAGAGCGCCCATGGGGTGGGCACGGGGCACAGACCATGGGTGGGGAGCTACCCCACTGCAAGTGGGTTGACCTGCTTGCACAGTGAGCATACACCCATTTCATTTAAAATATGGTTTGAGGGCCTCCTCTGGTGGCGCAGCGGTTGAGTGCTGGGCTGTGAAGCTGCCCACAGCCTCTGCAGCACCGGTTTGATCCCCGGCCACCAGTGAGGATCCCACATGGCGCGCAGAACTCTCCTGTTGCGCCCACTGCTCCCCTCAGCAGTGTACTTCATCACTCTTCCTGTTCTGTTTCCCGCTCTGGCTCTGGTGAATCCTCTCCCCCTCCCGCGCTTCTGACTGTACCCAGTGCTTGTATAAATAAATAAATAAATCTAAAATAAAATAAAATACGGTTTGAAACTCAATCTCTTGCCTCCTCTTTTCATGGGAGGTTGAGGGATGAGGCTGCAAGTTTCAAGCCTTTAATCACATGCTCGCCATCTCTCTTTGTCTTTCTGGCATCACCAACCCCTCCCTTGAGACAATCCAAGGGCGCAGGCATACAAAGGCACGCCAGTGGGGAATTGAATCTCTGTGTTAGGAACTGGAGACAAACACCAGCGATCATCTTTATTATGCGGCAAGTGGTCTATGCACAGCAATAAAACAGCAAGTGGACATTTGAGGTTAAAATGCTTAGACCTTCAAGTCGGAGGACAAAGCCTTCAGAATGGGGGAGAAGATACTCATGCGCAGAGGGGGGTAAAGTAGGCTCAGCAGGAAAAGGGTAACACAGAGGAGCCTAATCCGAGCCGCTGGAGGGTTAGCAGGTCTGGCTTCGGAGAGCTTTGAAGGTGTGAGAAGGGGTTGGCTCCCACTGGCTTGGGAGACCGTCCACTCTGCAGGGGCAGACTGAGTTTTGTGTACGGACAGAAAGAGAAAAGAGGGAGAGGTGGAGGGTTGGGGGAGCAAGATCGCAGAATTTGGGGAGCCCAGGAGCAGGCAAAAGGCTTCACTGGGGCACTGTGGAGAGAGCCTTCTGCTGGGAGTGAAGGAAAAGGAAGCTGAAAGGAAGCAGGAAACATTCAGTAAGGTTGGCAGCGCCGTGGGCTCGGCAGGCTGGGTGGGAGTGAAGGCATTTCACAAGGTCACTTGCAGGGGGTGAGCTCAACACGGCCAGACTTTATGAAGGACTTGGCAGTCCTGGTAGAAGAGGAGTCAAAGAAGGAGTCGCAGGGACTGGCCGGGAAGAATGGGCCAGGGTCCCTCTTCGCACGGCCTATGGCTCTTCGAAGGCACCTGCCGAAGACATGGAGCAGCGTCCTCCGGCCGTCTCACACCAGGGACCTGCTTCTGAATGACACCATCTCGTGGACAACAGGCTGCATCTGAGCTCCACAACTTCCTGGTGTCTGCACTGTCTGGAAAGAGAGATTCGTGTGAGAACAAGACATTCCCTGAGCAGTTCAGACTATTGGCTGAAAGGCTCAGGGAAAATTTAAAGGGAATAAGTGTATTTGGGAGAGTAACTATTACCAGAGACGATTTTTGGTACTTGTTGGTAGTACAGACCTTGATAATTTGAGGCAATCCCACATTGTGTGGGTTTGTGTGGGGGTGGCTGGGGGGTGCTTTAAAGCAGGGATTCTCACCCTTGGGACCATTTTGCCCTCATGGGACATGAAGCAATCAATGTCTTGAGAGGTTTTTAATTGTCTCGACTGGGCACCCCCTCAGCATCCTGAAGGGCTGGGACAGCCCCCCACGCTTAAGACGATCTGACCCCCAAAGTCACTAGTGCGAGATCTGAGGAGCCCAGTTTCCACAGAGCCTCGAAGGAGAGCCAGGGGTGCCTGGTGGCAGGTACCTGGAGGTACCCTCAGGTACCTAAAGAGCAGGCTTGTCATAAGATCAAGGAGGAGGGATGAGGAGCCTGGCCAGGTGGGCAGACGCTCTCGGCTGCTGACCCACTGGTCCACACTTGTCTCCTCCACGCCCTTCCTTTCTGGAGCCCCTTTTAGTAACCATGGCAACATGACAGTTCTGGGCAGGACAGCAGCGCATGGTGGTGAGGTTGCCCTGGGCACTGAGGATGTTGAGCAGCGTCCCTGATCTCTGCCCACCAGGTGCCAGTCACACCCCTCCCCAGGAGACAGCCAGAAAAACACCCCCAGAGATTGTTCGCCAAGGAGGGCACCCCCCCTCCCCACCCCAGGTCCTTCTGATGAGGCTCCACCCTCTTCAGTCACTGACTTCAGTCCTCGTGAAACTGAAAGCAACTAGCATGTCTCCAGGGGGAGGTCACAGTCCAGGCAGAAAGAACAGCAGGGGGAGATCCAGGGGTCATGAACACCGGATCTTATGGCAAGCCCGTGGGCTCCAGCCCCATGCGTCACTAGCCCCCGGGGTGGAGACACCTGCTCCAGGAAAGCACTATGGGGCAGCTGTTGTGGGAGGTCTGGCCCCCCAATCGGCTTGCAATTGGCAGGAGAAAACAACCCTTTAGGCTCCTGTGAATTAGACTTTCTTCAGTTTGTGACTGAACGAATTTCAAGTTGCTCCAGCTGGGGAAGCGCTTTGATTGAAGCCTGTCCCGGGGCCCTCTCCCGAAGACCCCTCCTTCAAGTGACTCTTACTGGTATGAGCCAGGGGCGTATTGTGTTTCCAGTCCCATCTTTGAAGCAGAGAAAGGACAGCCATTCCTTAGCTTCTTGTGCCAAGAGACGCCAACACCAGCGATTTCCTCCACCCACGTCGCCGGTGGGTTCAGCTGGGTCCAAGATCACAGGCCTAAAGGAGTGGTTAGAGGCATTAGAGGCATGCCTTTCACAACCAACGGCTTCAGATTGGGGGACCCCTACTCTCAGCAATAAGACATGGCCTTATTCCTTAGGCGCCAGTCATTCCAATGTACTAGTGCAGTTTGAAGTAACTTCCTAGAGCCAAATTATATTTGTCAAAAAAATGTTTGAAAGCTGTTACTTATAGCACACCCGGAGGCATAGTGGGGTCAGCTTCTCCAGCTGAGAGCAACTGGGTATATTTTTGCATAGAAGATCTGGGGTGTAGGCCAGAGGTGTGGGGTGAGAGGATTCACCAGAGACAGAGTGGGGAGCAGAACAGGCAGACAGAGGAAATACACTGCTGAGGGGAGCAGCGGGCGAGACAGGAGAGGTCTGCCGCGCCATGTGGGTCAGCTCCCTGGCTGGGGATCAAACTCAGGCCCTAGAGGAGACAACGCTGAGACTTAACCCCCAGCCCTCCAGGGAGGCCCCTCGCTTCCCTTTTCTTTCTGTCTGTAGCTTTTGTCCCCTGCCTGTGATGCTGAGCAGATACACTAGATTCCTGCGTATTCTTGAAGGATAAAGGTTTTGTGGGGTTGAGGCCTGACAGGGAGATAATAACCCCTGCAGGATAAACCAACCATGAATGGTAGATCTTTCTCAGGGACCCACTTCCCACTCTCACTCCTAGACCTGCTAACAAATCCACTTTTCTTCCCAACCCAGAAAAATGAAAGCAACTCAGAGGCCTGATCCCGGGCTCCCTCCTTCTCTGTTGCTTCTGGATGACATTTTTTCCTGCCTCCCGAGGCTGTGGGAAGTTCTGTGGGCGAGCACGTCCCTCCCTCATCTTCACACAAGGATAATGAATCATGCCCAAGGGAGGAGAATCCAGGTCGCTGAGGTGGTGCTGGAGGGAATCAGGTGAAGGGGAGGGGTCTGGGGTTGGAGCACCTGGTTTTCTGGATCTGGGCCAGCAGGAAGTTCCTCACAGTCTCATTCTGGAAGTTGTAATTGACAGTCCAGAAGATGCAGAGCTCCCGATATTTCATGACCAACTCCAGGACCGTCCGGAAACCTTCAGCGGTGTCAAAATTGTCCTCCCCACTGCCGTGCTCCCAGGCATAGATGGTGAGCAGCTCCAAGGCATACTTTGGGGGCAGGGATCCCATTCGCTTCAGCTTTCTCTCACACTGAGGGAAGAGGGGGACGTCAGATGACACTGCTCATGTATCTGAGACAGGTTTGGGGAAATGCGTTCCTTATGCAATTTTGTCACCGTGCAGACATTAGCTCTCGTGTGCTTATACCCTCCTTAGGGCCACAGGGAACAAAGCCACACAAGATTAAATCCAGCAAAAGGAAAATGATGTTGGCCACAGAGGCGGGAAATATAAGCTGTGGAAAGCTACTGCCACATTGCAAGGGCCATGGCCTCAACAGGCAACAGGAGTTTGGGGACTGTCCTCACAGACATGATCTGTCATTGAAGGGATGCTGTAAGCCAGCACGTGACTATACTAAAATCCCTCTGCATGCTATTGCAGCTGCAGGGCCAAGCATCTCACCCCTATCATTCTTGATTCTCCCAACATCCAGAGTTCACCATTCTAGAGGAAGACCTGAGGATTTGGGGTTGCAGTGACTTCCTCGAGGTTGTGCCATCCGGCCCCCTGGGACTGAGGTAGAGCAATTTCCCTGGCCAGGAAACCACATGCTCTGTCTCCTACTCAGGCTTCGGAGCAAGACTCAGAAAGGAAAATCTGAGGAAAGAGCTGAAACTGCTCTGGGTATTTGTAATGAAGAAGATACTCAGAAACTACCCCAAGTGCGAGACAGTTGACAGAAGTGAAGTGAGACAAGCCGATCTGGGAAATGCCAGCCTGCCCCACTGGAAGCCTGCAGATTCTACCTGCTTTTTGGGAGAGTGCAGGGCCTGTTCACTGTAGCCCCCGAGCAGCAGACCAGCCATAACGGCAACGCTGGGCACATAAATCTCAACCTCACCTGCCCTGGGTAGGCAGGACTATTTGAATTCTGCAGAATTCTTTGGGTGTTAGAGCAAAGTCAAAAAAAAAAAAAAATCTCAAAAAGGTGCTTTAACAATAGGGCACTCTACACCTGTCCCAACTTAATGGGGTTTGTGAGGGGAACTGCACAGAGATACGCAGGATGGGGGAGCAGCACATGCCCGATGGTGACCCAGGCCCTGGCATGGGAGGGTGTGGGCATGCAGAGCTCTGCACTCAGTAAGTGATGGTCACAGAACATTGATAAAAATACTTCCTGGATAGCTAGGCCAAGAGTCAACATACCAGCTTGTACCAGTGCTTCACCAGACGTACTAAATCTTTCAGTTTGATGGGCCGCTGTGCAATAAAGTCACGCTGCAGCTCTGTGAAACAGGTGGAAAATTCACCCCCTGGGACTTTCGAGGATTCACACAGGCGAATGAGCTCAGCATAGATGCTGGGGTCAGGTCTCCACCCAGATTTCACTTGACCTAGCAAGAGGGAGATATTTACATTATGTCTATTTTTTAAAGATTTATTTATTTATGCATACAAGAACTGGGGTATAGGCAAGAGGTACGGGGGGTGAGAGAATTCACCAAAGACAGAGTGGGGAACAGAACATGCAGATTGACTGAAATACACTACTGAGGGGAGACAGGAGAAGTCTGCTGTGCCATGTGGGTAGCTCCCTGGCCAGCTGGGGATTGAACTCATGCTACAGAGGCTGCGGATAGCTTCACAGTGCTGTCCTTAACCCCTTGCACCACCAGGGAGCCCCTTTACTTTATGGCTTAATATGCATAGAAAGCAACAGATTTCAAGACATTTTGGACAACTCTCATTTAACTCTGGGGCATTACTTTGAATTCTATCAGTATTTGAAATACTGATATCTAAGATGCTGGGAACATCTCCAGAGTAAGCAATGTTGAAAGATGTATGGGTTATGTGAGTACCGCCGGTATTACTAAAGTATTCTGTAGAACTATACTGTAACATGGACGTGTAACTGGCAGGTGGTAGCCACCTGTTAATATGGCTATTTGCATTCAAGTTAATTAAAAGGAAGTAAAATTTGAAATTTACTTCTGTTACATTAGCTGCATTTCTAGCTCTCCATAGACACAGGACACAGATGTGATACACTTCCATTTATCACGGAAAGACTTTTTGGTTAGAGCTAACCTGGAGTTTGTATACTATGGCCTCCCAAGCTAAATCTGGCCCACTGCTTGTTTTTGTAAATAAAGTTTTATCAGAACACAATCATGCCCATTTGTCAATGTATTATCTATAGTCGCTTTTAGCTTACATTGGCAGAATTGAGCAGGTGTGACAGAGAAATTGTGGTTCTCAAAGCTGAAAAAAATTACCATCTTGCCTTTTACCAAAAAGCTTAGCCAACCTCCAATCTATATACTGTTACTTCCTCTCCCAGAGACAGAACCATTCCGAGGAAAGGTGCCAGTCTTCTTGATTTGATTTGGAAAATTCCCATAGCCTTGATTTCTCCTAATGAGAATCATGTAGCTACCGCCCATGAATTAAATCTTTATTTATTTTATTTATTTATTTTTTAAAGATTTATTTATTTATTTATACAAGCACTAGGTACAGTGAGAAGCGCAGGAGGGTGAGAGAATTCACCAGAGCCAGAGCGGGGAGCAGAGCAGGCAGAAGGACCGAAGTACACTGCTGAGGGGAGCAGCGGGCGGCAGGAGAGGTCTGTGCGCCATGTGGGACCCTCCTCTGGTGGCTGGGGAGCAGTGGGGGATCAAACCGGCGCTACAGAGGCTGCGGGCAGCTTCACAACCCAGTGCTCAACCGCTGTGCCACCAGGGAGGCCCCACGAATTAAATTTTTAAAAGAGATTATTTGCCTATGTTTGTAAGTAAACACCTGATTTCCTGTCTTTGTCTCAGAGTTCTTCCCAGAATATGTTCTTGAATTTCCTCCCTTAATCCTTAAGACATTTAATTTATAGACGTGGACGGAACTCAGGGTACCCCATTCTTTAACAGGTATTATAATGATCCCATGGGAGTGGAAGATGCAGGGGCCAGCCGCAGGACCCGGACATGAGAATGAAAAGCATACAGGTGTCAGGCCGCCTGCTGGGACCCTGGACCCACGGCCCCTGACTAAGTCGTGCTCCTAAGCCCTTCCTCCTCCAGAATCAAAGGTCTGGGGAGCCTTACCTAGTGGGTTAAATGCAGGCAGCACATCGAAGTCAACACTTTCCTTGAGTTCTTTGGATTTCAGAGAAAAGCTCAGCACCCGGGGAAACTGCCATTTTGAAATCTCAAATTTCACTTCCAACTGCTTCTCCTCCTTACAGATTTCCAGCTGTTTACGGATTTCATCGATGATGTCCCTTCTCTGGTGTTTTTGGGCAGTGTAGCTTCGGAGTGAACTGAGGAACACCACCAGGTCGGCATCAGAGCCATTTTTCAGAGCTGTGCCTTTGGCCGCGGAGCCACCCTAGGGGAGAAAGCAAAGCTGAGATGAGCATTTCGTAGACTCGAGCCTCTGGCACCTGTGCTCTGCCCACCAGCCCCCCAAGTCCCTGCAATGGGGGGGCTTTGCCCTGGGTACCAACCCTCACTCTTGTTGCCATGGCCACCCCCTAGAAAGCTCACCGAGCTACTGTGGAGAGAACGCTGACCACGCGGTAAATGCCTGCCTACAAGGGCTGGCGGCAAGGGGAGGGCTTGTCTCCTGCACAGGAATCCTCGCTTAGCTCATCCATATGGTCTTGGAAACTGACTTTAAGCCAAACGCCATAGAAGGAAACCAAGAAATCGAATAACCAATCTGGTTTCAGTCAATGTTGGTCGGGATTTCTTATTTTTCATCAATGTTAAAATGAAGTGATGTTGCACAAAACTGAGTCGTTTAAGGGCCTGCTGTGTGCAGATCCTCCAGGCCTCCCCGCTCAGCCCAGTCCATCTGCAGCTGGTCTGTGAGTGCTGGTCTAGAGCCCCGAGCCCCGAGCTGGCACCTTCCCCAGGAGACCGCCCTCTCCAGCTTGCAGCCTGCGCCAGGGCCACAGCAGCTTGGAGACATCTCTCTCCCGATTTTCTTCTCCGAGTGTCGTTGTGCCTTTTCCTAGTTATTATCTTGTTAACAGGAGTCTCAGGAAGGAGAGGACATGGCTTCCACCACAGCCAAGAGCTCAACCTTGTTTTCCTTTTGCAGATTGCTGTGGGGTGTCGGGACCACCCCCAGCCCCATCTCAGCACAGCACGCTCATGGGGCTGGGCTGGCGTCAGGGCCGATGTTTCTGCACACCTGTCAGCGTGGTCCTCCCCTGATCCTGTGAGGGTGGGCACAGGTTATCTGGTTGATGACCCGCGGGTAAAGGGAAGCACGTCTGCTGAGTCATGGACCAGGATGACCCAGTTGCTACCTCGGGGCTGGGCTGCCTCTGGCTCCAGTCATTGAAAAGAGAAAGAGGTCACTCGTGGGTCCAGTGTGCACACTGGGCCTAGACTCTGAAGAGCTGCGGATGGTGACCCCTAGAAGGATGTCCTCCAGGAACATGGGAATGCCACTTTATTTGGAAAAAGTATCTTTGTTGGTTTAATTAAGTCAGGGATCAGAGGGCTCTAAATCCAGTGACTAGTGTCCTTAGATGAGAAGACCCGGAGGAGAAGGTGATGTGGAGAGACCCTGCCTCAAGCTTCTGAGGGAGGTGAGCGTCCTAGAGGCATAGTGACCGCAGGCTCCCTGACAGCGGGTCAGGTGCCAGTGCTTACCTTGACGGCCTTCAGAACCTTTGTAGTTGAATGTCGAAAGCAGTTTTCTTTAAGGAATGTACAGATGATCATAACAGCTTTATGGAGCTGTTCAATGAAATCTTTGTTGGGCTGGAGAAAGTCCTTGATGTAGCGATCTAGAAGGTGGCCTGGGGTCTCGGAGAGGGCTCCTGGCTGGGGAGGAGGAAGAACTCCAAGGTGAACGATCCCTGCCTGGCCCTCTCTAGCCTCTCTCTCCTGCTCTCCACCCCTCCCTCCCTACTCTCCACCCTCCTACTCTCCACCTGGCTTCTCCCAATGGGTTCATAAAATGCCCAGACTCCAAGCTGCTTTCTGATTTCTGCTTCCAGTCACAGCATCATCAGCCCCTTCCCTTCAGCTTCTCCTGCTCATCCGTTCCTTCCTTATTTTCCCCTAAGTATTTTAGATTGCGGAGTGTCACATCCACCCCTTTCTCAAGGTCAATCACACCATGCCCAGAGACGCTGGTCTCTCAGAACTATCACAGCAAATTGTAACTGACATTCATTATCTCCCTGTTCTGGAGACTAGAAGTTCAAAGCCAGGGTGTCAGCAGGGCCTGCTCTCTCTGAAGGGGCTGGCAGAGGATCTTCCCTGCTCTTCCAGTTCCTGGTGGCTCCAGTATTCCTGGGCTGGCCTTGGCTGAGAGGCACTGCACCCCTGCAACCACAGGCACTCCCCTGGGTGTCTTTTTATCATGACACTCGTCGCTGGATGCAGGGTTCATGCTAATTCAGAATGATCCCATCTTAACTTAGTATGCCTGCGAGAACCTTCTTCCAGAAGAGGTCATGTTTGGAGGATTCAGGTGGACATGAATTTGTGGAGACACTATTCAACCCACTACATCAGGGGATGGAGATCCCTGTAGACATCTTGATCTTGGACTTCTATTCCCCAGAACTGTGAGCGAATAAAAATCCCCTCACTTTAAGTCACCCAGTGCATGATACGTGCCCGCAGCAGCCACGGGAAACACACGGTGATCGTGGGGAGATGGTAGTCTGGGCATCAGGAGGGCCCTCCCTGCAGCATCACCGCAATATTGGGAAAGCCCACTCACCAGAACATTCCAAGATGACCCATGGGACTCATGCGGGGTGAGAGAAGACAACCAGCACTGGGCTTCTGTTTTTAGCAGTTGCCAGCATGTCTTATCTTGGCTCAAATTATTGGTTGGGTCAGTTGGATCCAAGATGACTGGCCTGTGGGTTCCATTCAGTTCAAAAGCAGATCAGTAGGGCAGCTTGCGGGAGAAGAAATCAGTTTTGGGGTCTAGACTAGGCAACCTGGATTTTAGCTGCTGTGGTTCCTCCCGATGGCTGAGGAGCTTTGTCTAAGCCTCTCGCCTCCCTGGTCCCGGGGCCCTGTGTTCTGTGCTTCGCAGAGATGTCCCGTGACTAATGGAATAAAATAGTGTCTCCCTGCTACACAGACAGCACACATTAGCGGGCTAACTGTAAGAGCCTTGGTTAAGTCTCACCTCCTTCTCTGGTAGCCCCTTCCTTCCTTAAGAGGAAGCACTTCTTTTTTTTTTTTTTTAAATTTTGGAAGATATTTTAATTTTTTTCAAATTTACTTTAAATTTGTTAACAACAAAATTCAATCTTTATGTTGCATAATTCTATGAGATTTGACAAATGTATTAAGTCATGTAACCATTACCATCATCAAGATACAGAACAATTTTATCAAGTCCATTACCCTCCCCCAAAAGTCCTCAGGCTGCCACCTTGTAGTCAGACCTACTTTCTTTTTATTCAGATAGTTTTACATTTTCCAGAATGTCAAATAAAGAAGTTATATAGTATGTAGACTTTTGATTCTAATTTCTTCCAGTCATTTGGAATCTATTCATGTTTCATTAGATATTAGTAAGTGATACTTTTTAATTCTTAACTAGTATTCAAGAGGAAGCACTTCTTGAGTGTTTGTTTGGGGGACAAAATGTGCCGTGCTTGGGAATGGGAAGGGGCCCAGCAGGCTTCCCGCCTTCCAGGCACACCTCTGCTGGCGCGCCCCGGCTGGGGAAGCCAGGGTGAGCTCTCATTCTCATCCTGTTCTTGGGGGTCCGCTGATGAAGGGCTATGTAGAGAAAGGGCTGTGGGAAGCTTGGTACCTCGGCGAGTGGAGCTGCCTCAGCAGCATGTTCCGGACAGTCTCATCCTCGAAGTTGTAGTTGACCGTCCAGTAGACACACAGCTTCTCCTGCTGCTCCATGAGCCTCAGCACACTTCTGAGTCCTTCCTCTATGCTAAAGTTCTCTGCTCCGCTCCCCTGTTCCCAGGTGTAGATCGTAAGCAGCTCCAGCGCATATATGGGCTGCAGGGATGAATTATTTAACTTTTTCTGGCACTATGAGAAAAGAAAAAGGCGATGGTTGATTTGAGGACCCAGCTTCCCCCGTGCCAGGGATCTGAAATCAAGAATCCAGAAGTCTATAGGAAGCCGATGTCCCCCACCAGCAATTAACATGGCACCAGACCTGAAAGTTGACCCCCTACCACTTGCAAGGCTTGGAGCATCCCAAACGCTTGTAAGTTGCAGACGGGAGTGTCATTTAGAACAGTTCTTTGGAGAAACCGTTTGGCAATGTTTGCCAAAGTTAAAAAAAATGCATATTCCATGTATATTCATTATGTTACACAAAAACACATAGACTATATGTGCCGTGTGTGTGTATATATACATACATGTTCATGTACCTTACACCCTGTAGTTCCATGCCAGTCTATTTATCCCAGAGAAACGATGCTCAAATTCATCAAAAAAGGACACTAACCAGAGGAACCTGATTCATAATAGTCCAATTTGGAAATGACCTGAATGTCCATCAGCCTTGGAACAGATAAATACAAGGCATATTAATACAAAGGATATAACAAAACAAATTAAAAAATCACATGGACAAACATTTCAGATATACTGTCAAGCAAAAGATGACAGACATAACTACAAACAGTATGGAACCACTGACGTTACATTTAAAAACTTGCAAAACTAATTCGAGGTGATGGACGTGAGGACAGTGGTTTGTTTGAGGGAGTATCACCTAGAAGTGGGTTTCATGCAGGAAATGTGGCCAGACTTGATCTGGGTGTTGCTTGAGAAGATATAAAAAAAATACATTGAGGGCCTCCCTGGTGGCGCAGGGGTTAAGTCTCAGCACTATGAAGCTATCACCAGATACCACAGCACAAGTTTGCTCTCCAGGCAGGGAGCTGACCCACATGGCCAGGGAGCTACCCACATGGCGCAGCAGACCTCTGCTGTCTCCCCGCTGCTCCCCTCAGCAGTGGATTCCAGTCCATCTGCCTCTTCTGCTCCCTGCCCTGTCTCTGGTGAATCCTCTTACCCACACCCTCCTCGCCCCAACACCTCTGGCCTATACCCCAGTTCTTGTATGCATGGATAAATAAAATAAACCTTTAACAAAAATGTGTCGAGCTGTACAGTTAACCTGTTGCACTTGACTAGGTGTAAATGACCTCCAGGGAAAGGACAGGGCAACAGACTAGACGGACAATTTGCAAATCACCTTTTGATGCCACCAGTGCTTTATCAAGAGGATGAGGTCCTTCAGTTTTTGAGGACGGTTGTCAAAAAACTTCCGCTGGAGTTCTGTGAAACAGGCGGAGAACTCCCCTGGGCTGGCTCTCGTCTCATTCAAGGAACGTATGAGGTCTCTGTAGATCCCAGGGCTGGGCTTGTCACTGGCGCCTGGTGTGAAGGAGAAGCCAGAACTTTGGGTGTCGTGTCACCTGGCCTGGGGAAGCCGGTCGTGACGGTGATCATGGCTGGACTGCACACGTCAGCGGCCTAGCTGTAAGAGGCTTGGTGTGTTGACATAAAGGCTGCGGGTAGCTTGCCCTATAGGTCATAAGCGTGGCAGTTACAGGATCGGGACAGCCTCAGACGGGATCACAGGACCCAGTGTGGAGGTGAAAACACAATTACAGATGAAAAAGGGGTCAGTAGGGAGAAAATGGCTTTTTAAAAAGCGCGACTGGCAGACATCCGGAAGAAACTGAAGTTTATGTGTTATATGCTATCGAGTCTGCTGTTGAGCCCACCCAGTGAACAACCTATTTCAAGTCAGGGAGACGGGCTCTTGGAGGCATAGAAGCCAGGTGCAGACATGGCGTTGGAGGCTGGATGGAGGCCAGTGGGCAGGGGCACCCCCCCTTGGAGGGGGCAGGTAATGCAGAGCAGTGGTTCTCACACTGGGGTGCCTATTGGATCCTGCTGCACACAGCCCAGGAGGCCTCATGCCTGTGAGCCTGGGCCTCCGAGTTCCAGATTAACTCGTAGGAGATCTGGTCCCCAAGTAGAGAGAACTTGGGTGTCTGTAGTTTTTACTAAGTTCCTCAGGTGATTCTGATACCCTTTCAGTGCAAGAATGGCTGGTGTGGGGTGAGGAAAAAGACATCAAGTTTATAGAATTCAATCAAAGGGCCTCTACCTTTGCTAGCTGAGCTCCGTTTAGAAACACATTTAGACAAACAGCCAGGAGACAGCAGCCACCTTACCTTTCATTTAACTGACGAGTATTTACTGACTTCCTGCTATCAGCCAGGCACGGTTCTGGGCACTTGGCGTGCAGGAAGGTTGAGGGAACATTCTAGCTTCCTCAGTAATGGTAACGATACAGCCAACTTTTACTCAGTGCTTACTCTCTGCCAGGCACTGTTTAATCTCTGCAGGTCCAGAGAAATACGTGAGCCTCACTGGACACTTCTGCGCTTAGGGTGATTGTCATCGCTAATTTATAGACAAGGAAACTGAAATGCCAGGAAATCTGGGAAAACAGAAGCATCCCGCTTTGGTGGAAGACCCCGGAGAGGAAGCAGTGGGGGCAGATAGCCATAGAGAGAGACACAGGGAGAGTTGAAGGAGGTCAGCTTGGACCCATTGCAGAAAGTCCAGGTTAGGGAGGCTAATATTTCCTGTGGAAAACAACTTGAGATATCCCTGGGAGACGGCTTTTTCTCAGGAAGTGCTCATCATTGTTTCTTTTAGAAAAGGAATCTTAGTTTGGAATGTGCGGCTGATTTGTTCTCACACCATCCTGGCATAATGGGGTCACCCCAGCAGAGGGCACTCTGGCCCGTGTGCTGGAGGACAGGAGAGAAGAGGATTTTCTAATTCTGCGTGACACTGTGTCTCTTCGCCTTGATTTTCCCCTTGTTTGCGACAAGCCTGCACCCTCAACCCTTAGTGTCCTAAAGACCCTGCTAGATAACTTTTTCTAGTCTAATCTTATAGCTAGCAGAAGTGCATGAGTAATGGGACCAGGATAAGACCTCAGGGTTGCCTGCTTTGTGAACAGGCGCATTTTCCTCTGAATTGGGTCACCTTTCTGTGAACGAGACTCCTGAAGGTATGTGTGTGTGTGTCTGCCTTGGAGAACTCTGGCCTGTCAGGAATTTATTTTATTTATGTCAGGAATTGGCTGTGGGCCCAGGAATGTTCCTTTTCTTTAGTTTGCCCATTTGTTTAACAAAGGCTTGAATTTCGGCTCTAGAATTTAAGTTTGTGATATATGAGTATCTGCGCTTGAAACTAAGTTGTAACTATACTGAATCTTATCAATCTATCCAACCATCCAGCCAGACAGCCAATCATCCACCCATCTGTCAGTCCGTCCATCCATCCATCCGTCCATCCATCTATCAACAACTATTATTGACCATGAACATAGTACTAGGGACTGCAGAAGAAAAAGAACAAGAAAGCCAAGGCACCTGTTATATTAGGCAGAACTGGCAGGTCTTAGTGACAGGTTGCTGGGCAAGGAGATGGGGTGTAAGACATCTGAGCCAGCTTTAAGTAATAGATGGGATGGTGGGGATTTTTGCTAAGACAGGGAGCCCAGGCGGTGGGGAGGCCTTGGAGAGATAGAAAGTGGGTGAGGCACCCTTCAAACTCTGGTGACAATCACTCATGAAGGGTCCTTGCCTTGACATTGACCTTGGTAGTAGGTAGACTCCGAATACCTAACCTCGCTGAACTTTTCCCAGATTTTGCCCCATTCTCTCCCTCTAACCAACCTGGTCTTCATCCTCAAGTGTGGTGCATGGGCCAACATCATCATTATCATGGGTCTGGTTAGAAATACAGAATCTTGGGTCCTGCTCCCACCTCTGAATCAGCACTTGCACGTACAAGTTTCCCAGGTGATTCTTGTGCGTGTCACAGTTTGAGAGGCTCTGCGCTAGAGTCTAGAGCAATCCTTCCAAAGCCAATTAAGAGAGGAGGGAGACGTTGTGGAGAAAAGAGGAAGCCCAGGGTAGCAGAGGCCTCCTCTCATGAGGTCTAGGGTCATCCACTCCGGAAAGCACAGTGGCACTACCGGCCCCAGCCCAGAGGACCCACATGGAGGCCTCCACCTCTTTCTTTGGCTTTGCTTCCTGCCAGCTCTCTACCCATTGCACTTACCCAGGAGTGCTCACCTAAAGGGTTAAAGGCAGGCAGCACCTCAAAAGTGATATCCTGGTGTTCTGTGGACAGCTGGATGGTGAGTCTGTTGTAGCGTCTCTGGATCATCATGTTAGCTGCCAGCAGCTTGTCTAATAGACATATTTCCAGCTGCTTCTGGATTTTGTTAAGGATTTCATTTTGATTTTTCTTCAGATCCTGGAATTGTGTAAAATCACTGGCAAAGATGACAAGGGTGCCATCGGAGTTGCCCCTCAAGACTGTTTTCCGGCCATAGGAACCGCCCTGCCAGCAACAGAGACGCAGATGTGAGACTCTGGACGCCTAGGGTCACAGGGTACCTGGGCAGGTGGTAGCATTCTCAATGCAAACAAAGGTCACAAGTGTCACCAGTCTTGGCAGGTATCAATTTGTCTACCCGAAGACCCAAATTGGGTGCTCCTAGCAGCATTTTCCATACAAGCTTCAAGCTGGAGGCAACTGAAATGGCCATCAACAAGAGCATGGACAAGTGTGGTGTATTCACATCACACAATGCAACACAACCAATGTGCTCATGCCACAAAATGCTACACAGCAGAATGTGTTGATACAATGCAATGCTACACAATCAGAATGTGTTCACACCACACCACACAACACAACACAGCCAGAGTGTGTTCACACCACACAATGCTACACAGCCAGAATGTGTTGATACAATGCAATGATACACAATCAGAATGTGTTCACACCACACCACACAACACAACACAACACAACCAGAGTGTGTTCACACCACACAATGCTACACAGCCAGAATGTGTTGATACAATGCAATGCTACACAATCAGAATATATTCACACCATGCAATGCAACACAAACTAGAGTGTGTTCACAACACACAATGCTACACAACCAGAGTGTGTTCACACTAACAACAAGGGTAGGGGTGTGATGAGTCACAGGAATCATACTAAACTCACAAGGTGTATAATTTCGTGCATATCGGGCGAACAACCCTCTGGTTTACCTGGGGCATAACCAGTTTTTGCACTGAAGGCCCCTTGTCCTGAAAACTCTCTGGTCCTGAGGGAACCGGGATAGTTGGTCACTTTATATTTATATCAAGTTTAAAGAACAGATGAAACGAATCATCTCTACTGTTAGAGGCCAGGAGAGTGGCTGCCTGGGGCTGTGACAGTGACTGGAGGCGGCCACGGGGACTCTCCTTGGGGACGGGGAACGTTTTGTTTCTTAGTTCGGGTGTGAGGTACACAATTTGTCCTTCATGGTAACCTATCAGGCTAGCTGATTACTTCTGTCCACTTTTCTTTCTGTATTTTTTACTTTAACTAGAAAAAAGTAGTTAATAGGAGAGCCAGGTGGTGCAGCAAGTAGGGGTGTGTACTCCCAGCAGCTTCCCTGGGCCTCAGTGCCAGGTCTGGTGCCAGCTACTAAATAGTTTCCCCAGGCCTCAGTTTCCCCATCGGGGCTGGGACAGGGGCTGCCCAGTGTCCGGGTGTCTGTAGGCGAGGCTCTGGGGCAAAGAGTGTGTGTAAGGCAGACATCAGAAAGCACAGTGACTGCAGAGAAGTGGGGCACCAGCGCTGGAGAACATGGGGTGTGGGTAGGGATCTCGATGCCCTCCCCTCCCTAGGGTCCTGGCACCTTCCTGGCGCCCTGGCCTCCCCAAAGCTCTAGAATCTTCCATCTCAATCTTGGGATTGTGCGCATAGCACCAAAACCTTCTAACTGCTGTTGAGAAACCACAGAGCAGACTTAGGGAGTTTTACAGAAATCCTCTGGCCTCAGTTTACTCCTTTGTAATATGCAAAGGACAAAAACCCTAATAGTGAGTTATTAGAGCCCATCTGTGGAGCACTAGGTACCAGGCCCTGTGCTAAGAACATTACATGCCTGTCTCATAGTGCTCTGAGGGGGTGTTATTCCTCTGCCGTTTTATGGATTCAGAGGCTGAGGCACAGAGAGGTTGAGCAGCCTGCCCCAGGTCACACAGTCCTCGGGGCAGACCGGCTCCCCAGCCGGTGCTCCTAAGCTACACCACATGCTGTCATCTGCTCCGGCATGGGGAGGATGAGCTGACGTCTCGTATGCCCAGGGCCCACACACAGTGGGCGCTTTGCACCAAATAGCTCTGCCTTCCAGCGGCATAATGATCTCCTGGGCCCCACAAGCCCGGCCCAGCCCACCACTCACTGTGGCTACATGTCTCTCCAGGCGCAGCTCCTTGGCTTCCTGCAGGAAGGTGCAGAGTCTTTCCACAATCAAGTCGAGCTTTGTCTCACAGTTTTTGTGAGGCCTCAGGACAAAGCGGATGAACTGATCTAGTTCGTAAGTAGGCATTGAGATCTCCTGGAGCCCCCAGGATGCCATAGCTCCGTGGGCTGCTGAGTGTCCGTGGGTGGCAGAGCAGGAGGAAGAGAATTGAGCAACCCGAGCTGAGAGCCGAGAAACTGAAACTCAAGGGCTCCCAGCTGACTTCCTCATCTAAGGTGTGGCTCATCTGATTGCTGGGTTGATGCCAAGGGACCCGGGATTAGATATGCAGCCTTCGGGCATGTGCCAGACCCGTGTCCTCGAGCATGCCAGCTGCCCTTTTGGTGCCTCGATGTCCCCAGCAGTAGTTAGGACAACCCTGGAGGGTTGATAGGGAGATGAAAAGGTCCCCCAAAGGGCTTAGCAGGGGGCAGGCGCTACAAACGTATTTCATGCATAAGTAGCATTTTCCGGGCGCAGAGGGCAGAGGTCATCTTCAAGGGCTCTTTCCCCATCCCCACTTCCAGGCAGGCGGGGAACTCAGACTCAGCGAGAACAGGGAGGGAAAGAGACCCAGAGAGGGCAGGGACTTGCTCAGCGACACACAGCAAGGGCTGGGCAGGATCCAGTTCTGCTAACGATGCTCTTCCAGCCTTTCCCCCGTCACGCGTTATAGGCCGTTTCCTGGGAAGCTGCTGGAAAAGGGACTTTGGATTTGGGGAAGTTCCCCAGTGTCCTCGAAGTATTTTGCTGGGGCAGCTCAGGTGGCTCCCGGCTGGTGGCCCAGCACGTCTGTCCCCAGGGACACCGGCCCCCGAGCTGGTCAGAACTCCTTAAGAAGCGTGTGTCCGCCTGACCGGTCCTGGTCTCGTGCGCCATGATTTGCTTTGTGGTTTGACCACCCAGGGCTACTAGGGAGCCCCGGGATACGTCTCCTAAGGCGGAGGCCACCTGAGATCACAAGGCAGGTCTCCCACTGGCAACTTCCTTGTGACTGGGCCTCCCTGCTCTCCCAGGGGACAGCATCACTGGTGACCTTCCTGGCCCTGGGCACCATGACCACCCAGCATGCCACTCCCCTGCCTCGCACTCCCGCCTCCCTGCGATCCGTGCATTCAGCTCTCACAGCACCCATTCTTTAAAGAGCCTGCCTAGCTGCAGGCTTGTGTCTTCTGGGGACTTTTTCAGGTGTGAAGCCCCAAATTCCAGGAGAGAGCTCCCCAGTCAATGAGCCCCTCACATCTGATCTTGCACACAGCCTCTAGACCAGCGCCCTGATATCCACATCTACACACGCCCCCTGGTTTCTGCTGGGATGCGTGACTGCCTCCTATGCCTACTTGGGACACAGGCCCTTCCTTCCCCCAACCATTGCCCAGCATATTCCCAGCTGGGTGGTGCCGGGACTTAACCCCAGTCACGGGCCTAGTGGGTGGGAGGAAAGGCAGGCTCAGATCTTGCGGGGTCTCATGAAAAGAGGCCTCAAGAGGGTCTTTGCACAAGGGGCAGGCACTAGCTTCTAGCAGGGATGAGGTGGGAGGGCTATTTCTGCAGCAATGAAGGCTTGGGAGGATGTGGGAATTGGAGATTTTCAGGAACTTCAACCCTTAAGCCCGCAGGCTGGGAGTCAGAGTCCCTTTCTTCCTAAGGCCCATTCTTTCCTGACCGTGTTTAGCAGACCTGATTCCTCTGAGAGTATATAACTTTCTTCCACACCCACTACAGCCATAATGAAAATGATGGACAATAAATAGAGTGTTGCAAGGATGGGAGAAACTGGAAGGCCATGCATTGCAGGTAGGCGTGCAAAGGGTGCAGTGAAAAGCAGTGAGGTGGGCCTAAAAAGGCTCAACAGAGAGTTGCCATCTGACCCAGCAAGTCCACTCCTAGGTACAGACCCAAGACAAAGGCAATGAAAATATAAGCCCACACAAAATCCTAGCAGCATTATTTACAATTGCCAAAAAGTGGCAATAACCCAAATGCTGGTCAATGGAGGAATAGATAAATAGAAAGAAGTCTACCCATGCAATGGAATATTACTCAGTCATGAAAAGGAACAAAGCCCTGGCACCAGCTATACCACGGATGAAACTTGACAACATGAAGCTGAGTGATGGAAGCAGACACAAAGGCTTCCTTAGCCTGTGATCCCATCACATGAAATGACTTTATTAGGGAAAACAGAAATATGGTTGCCAGGGATTAGGGGGAGTGGGGGCTGGAGGGAATGGAGATACTGCTGATGGGTTTCAGGTTTCTTTTGGGGGTGCTGAAAATGTTCTAGAATGAGCATGGTGATGCACCTTGTGGGTGGCTTGTCTTGTGAGTAGATGAAATAGAAACCTTGAGATAGGCTGACAACACTCAAGTTTGTGCACTTGGAAAGGGTCATGTTCCTGGCACATGAATTATATCTCAAAAAGACTTAAAAAAATTATATTAAAAAAATTTATGTCCACACTTTCTTTGGAGTTCTATGTCTTGCCACAATCCTGGAGGAGGTGCTCACTTTTCTCGGCCTGCTGGTTGAGGGACCACACACTGCCTTGCCCCCTGCTCCCAGGAAGGCCCTCTGTTTCTGGTCTCATTTAATTCTTTGTTATTTCTCCTCCTGGAGTCGGGCACTAGCTGACCCCCTGGCCAGTGTAGGAGACACTGCCTCGTTGCTCAAACACAGAGGCATCCTAGCTCTTCGTAACACTGCTAAGGACTGGTCCCTCCCTGGGGCTCCCCTTGCCATATTTTCCTAGTTTTTCTTATCCGTAAATTTTTCCATAGGAATTTTAGCCTCCCTATGCCTCGTTCCAGAGGAAAGCACATGTGGGTATTTTTAGGGCAATTGTGAAATCTATAATGGACTTACACATACACAACTTAGGGGAGCCGACGTCTAGCTAAGGGTGTGGCTACATCAGGAGGCCCTAAGTGACAGTGGAACACCTCTGCTCACTTCAGGGGGCTGATGTCAAAGATCGAGGGGCTTGCTGGGATCAGCACAACCTCCTGTCTACCCGCCCACATGACGAGCGCCCCTCACCCCTACACCCTGAGCCATCCTGCTGTCCACCATTTCACATTTATCCTAATCCTCCAGCCATTTCCAGGGAAGGCCTAGAGTCCATGGGTTGGGGATGGGTGTTACCAAATGGGCACAGGCCACCTGGTCCCCATGGCATGAGAACCGAAGGCTCACGATGCCCAGGTCAGAGCCCGATCTGCTGCTGGGCATACCTCTGCCCAAGAGGTACTCACGGTGCTCACTGGACATCTACTCCCCCCTATGCTGCAGGGACTGGGAGATGCACTGTCCACTCCCAGACTAGCCAGATTCCCAGCTGCCATTGGGTAGTGCTGAGGGAGGGCAGCAATTGTCACTGTCCTGCAGTGCTGGCAGCTGGCAAATCCTGAGATGTTGGTGGCCACTGGAGTGCATGTGCCAAGGTCTGGACCCCAGCTTCGTGGGTGTGAGGGAGTAGGGGCAGCTGCAGGGGTGTTAGCAGAAGCAGCAGCAGCCTCCTGACTTCTGATTGGGCCACTGTGCTCTAATCTTGAAACCAAGAGTCCCGAGTGGCCCCCACCTTGTGCTCCTCTGGTCTGTCCTTGAGCACCTTCTGCTCTCTGTGCTGAGCCTTGGCTAAGACGGGCACTGCTGCTGGACTGGAGGCCAGCAGCACTGCCTGCATGGGCCTGGTGGGTTTCCTCTGGAGGGCAGAGAGAAACAAGCTGAATACTGGCATTTGGCCATTGGCTGAGGTTTAGACTTCAGGACTGCAGAATCACATGGCATTCCTGCAGGTTGGAGAGAAGGCAGGAATGCAGTAAAAATTCAGGAAGGTGAAAAGGGCCAGGCATCAAAATGTGCAGACTGGGTGCAACAGGAAGGGTGGAGGGAAGGAGGTCTCCAACCTAACGGCATCTGATTAGGTGTGCAAGGAGAGGGTTCACGTAGCATGTATGTCCCCAATCCCTGTCTGTTCAAGGCAGACCAAGCTACTGCTCTGGGCATGCTTTTCTGCTTGTGGCTTAGCTCAGCGTGGTCCTCAGTAATCTAGACATACACTGTAGACTGGTGAGCACTCCTTCTGCATCCAGGCCAGCCACTGATAGTCGATCATGGCACTCAGACCATCAATGTCCTTTCCTGCATCCATGGCAGACGTCACCAACTGATTAGGTTGCGCTTCTCAACTAAGCCTCCATTCTTTGGAATCCTTCAGAACACAGGGCTCCAGCAGCCACACCAACTGATTGTGGCTGACAAATGAGATGGAAACTCTACCATCCTGTAAAAAGCTCTTCAATTGGGGAAGAGGCCACTGGGAGGTGGGGATGGGTTTCAGCAGAAGGGAGGGTGTGTGTTGGTGTGGGAGGGAGAGGTGAGGATGAGGAGGACATTCTCGCCAGGGTTTTGGGTGCCATGTGGGAGGTAGGAGTCATCTCCGAGAGAGAGAGAGAGAGAGAGAGAGAGAGAGAGAGTCACATGCATGATAGGAGAAGCTGAAAATGCAGGCGGCTGTCAACCTCGGGAGTCTGGACTCCAGTGTGCAGACCTCAGAGACCTCAGAGAGCAGGGGAGTATGTGGGCTGGGGAGTGCCCATCTGACACAAAGGGTGTTCAGTGAAGCTCATCCAGGCCAGGTAAACAGAGTGGACTGCCTGGAGGAGAGGGCAGGCCTGGGTAGTAGGGACAGCAGTTGGGAGAATGGATTGAGGAGGAAAGCAGGTCCCCTGAATCTCTCTTGCTCAGCCCCCCACAAACATACATGTGCACACACACACGGCAGGTGACCCTGAGTCTCCCCATGATGAGGGCTGGTGTCCATATGTCCATCTGTTCATCTGGTGTGACTGTTGATTTTCTGGGCTTCACACAGCAGCCTGGGGGAGGGGTATAGAAGATGCTGGTTACTCCTAAGCTGGAGAAGCTGAGGCCACAAGGAAGTATGGAAGCACATCAGGGGCCATGGTTGGGCCCTGCCCTTGTGAGATGAACCAGGCCCTCCCCTGATCACACTTTGCCCCGACACTCCCAAAAGGTACTCCCTGTTGTAACACAAGTCTCTCACCTTCACTGGCCATGGCTCAATGGGGGTGCCATCCCTGTCCATGCAGCACAGGGCAGAGGCGCAGACTGCAGCTTCCTTGGCCAGCAGGTCCCAGCGGGCGTTGTGGCCCAGGTTGCCTGTTGGGTCAGCCGGATCCAGGATGATGGGCCTGCAATTTCCAACCAGGGTCAGTCTTTCCCAGATAACTTCTAGGTATCCACCTATGGGGTCAGTTGGCGCTTTCTCTTCCCTCACGCAACACTACAGGAGGCAGGGCAGGGCTGAGAGGCTCCTCTGTGCTCCAGGCACACCCTCAAGGTGAGGGATAGAAAATAAGTCACACATGGACATGTCTCCCTCTTGCATCCAAGGTAGACGTTACTAATCAGCCACAGAACTCAGTCCAGGTATGGTTAATTGATCACAGCACCAGTTCAATCACCCTACCTCCAGCATCCACAGATGTCACTAACTGATTAGACTACTTTTTTCATCTGAGCCAAGAAGAGTCAGTGTCTTTTCCAACGTATCACCCTCAGGAGCTACTACCTATAATAGCTCCCAGAATACCCATAATAAGAAGTGGCGATGCCTTAGGAACTTGTCAAAGCACCTCTGTCATCTCTGTACCCTTGCAGAAATAGGCAGGATCCCAAAGAATGAGACACGCTTAATTACCTGGGGGTGGGGGTGGGGTGGGATGGCAGGTAGGGTTGCCAGATTGAACAAACACAAATAGAGAATGCCCAGTTAAACCTGCACTTCAGATAAACAATGAGTAAGGTTTTTTTTTTTTTTAGCATAAGTATATCCAAAATACTGCACGAGACATACTTATACCAAAATATTGCTCATTATTTATCTGACATTCAATTTAACTCGGAGTCTTGCATTTCATCTGGTGACCCTATTTATAAGTGACCGGGAACCTGAGTACCTGTCCCTCAGGTGCTAGGGATACCACTTCTAGAAAGGAGCCCAGTTCTAGAAAGAGGATTTTCCTGTCTCTGCTCTCTCCATACTCTCAGGAGGGGGTGAGTGACTGGATCTGAGACTCCAGGGCCTTGAGGGTGGGCCCGAACCTGGGTTTCTGAAGCTGCTGTTTCAGGAAATCTCCAATGGTTTTGTCCTCGTCGGAGTAGTTGACGGTCCAGTAGACACAGAGCTGGCGGTACTGGCTGACCAGCTCCAGGACTGTGCGGAAGCCCTTAGCCATGTTGAACTGGGGGTCCTGGCCGCCCTGCTCCCAGGTGTACACTGTCAGGAGCTCCAGCCCATGCTGGGGCGGCAGGGAGCCCTTCCCTTTGGGCATCTTGTTGCACTGGAGAACGGAAAGAAGGTTGGTCCAGATGGGCAATGAAGAGGCACGGGAGGGACCCTTCTGGAGTCAGCAAGCCCACCCCCAGCATCCACTGGAGGCCTTGCCCGGCACGTTCCCTGGATGTAGTGATGTCAACTCCGTTTACAGAGAAGAAAAGCTAAGCCCCACAGCCGGGAGTCAGCCCTCTCTCTGCTCCAGCACCACAGCCTGGACAGGAAAGTGCTTGAGACGGAGCCCCGGGCCACTGGTGGGGTGGCCCATCCCGGTGCCCACCTGCCGGTACCAGTGCTTGACCAGCCGGATCAGACTCTTGAGCTTGGTGGGGCGGGAGCTGATGAAGTCGCGCTGCAGCTCCGTGAAGCAGCAGGAGTACTCGCCCGCGTTGTTGTAGCTGTGGATGAGGTCCACGTAGACGCGAGGGCTGGGCCTGGCGCCCGAGGGCAGCTGGCCTGGGGACGAAAGGGGGAGGTCACCAGCGCTTCCTTTCCCAGAATGCCGCGGGGCCCACTGAGAAGGGCCTTGAGCCCTCCTACCTGGGCCTTTCCAGAGGCCTGGGACCCCGGGGTACAGGGCGGGGGGAGGCGGGCACAGGAGTTTGTGGGTGGAATGCAAGACCAGAGAGGTCCCTGGTGAGAATCTTATTCTCCTCCCCCCTTTCAACCCACCTGCTCACCCATCGCGGAGAAAGTGGCTGCAGGGAGCTGGCCTGTCTCTAGCGCTCCCCACCCGCACTCATCTCTGACAAAGGGGGAGCCGGTGTCCTCATGTCCACCAGGGAGTGGGCCTGTATGTGGCGGGAACCACCATCGCCATCCTGGTGGGATCCAGCTCAAGGGTGACCCTCCCCCCAGCCCCCCTACACTCGCTGACCCCCCGACTGCAGATTCAGGTCTCTCTTGCTCCTTGTTTTCCAGAACCCAGGAACCAAGCACATTCAGAGATGGGATTTCCTCACCCTGCAAACTCTCCCGGCCCAACCCAGGCCTGCGTACCTCCCAGGGGATGTGTCTGTGGTTCCAGAGCATTTGCCTCAGGTGCCTGCAGAGCTCTGGGCACAGGGTAGGTATGTTTATTGAATGGATGATTGGGATGGATCTGTGGCAGGTGGGGGAGGTGGTCCCCAAGTACTCAGAGCTGGGGGAGGGGCATTAAGGCACATCTCCCCAGACACTGGGGCGCTAGGCAGGGAAGTGACCTTGACCCTCATTTGAGGTCATCGCGTGTGCTGGTGGGAACGTGACTCGAGCCCAGCCCGGCGGTACTGCTCGCCCAAACAGCACCTTTGCGTAAACTGGAAATGTGCCGTTTGCTGCAGACGCTTGGCAGGAAAGGAGCACGGAAACACACCGGCACAGCCGAGAGTGCGAGCCAGTGCTTGGGCGTGCGCTGCAGGAGCTCTGCCCAGCTGTCCCCACGGCCTCCCCTGCTTCCCCCGGCTCAGGCCGGCTCTGGGCGGCTCACCGAGGGCGTCAAAGGCCGGCAGCACGTCGAAGTCCACGCTCTGGTCCAGCAGCGTGCGGGACGTCAGCGAGAAGCTCAGCACGCGGGGATTCTCCCACTTGGAGATCTCGAACTTCACCTCCAACTGCAGCTCCCGCTGACACGCCTCCAGCTGGGTGCGGATCTCCGAGATGACCTCCGCCCGCTTGTCGCCTTGCTCAGTGTAGCTGCTGAAGCAGCTGAGGAACACCACCAGGTCGGCGTCCGAGCGGCCTCGCAGAGCCGTGCCTTTGGCTGAAGACCCACCCTGGGGAGGACGAGGCGGTGGGTGACCCTGGAAGCGCTGCCTGCTGTCCTCCTACCAGAGTCCGTGCTCTGGGTTAGGAACCTGCTGTGTGACCTTGGGCCAGTCACCTAACCTCGCTGTCTTACATCTTTCATGTGTAACCAGTACATAGCATGACAGTGAGGAAAAGGCATGCCAAACGCAAAAGTTCTCCTTCCATCATGTTTGGGGGGGATTTGAGAGGTTTCTTTGAGGCCTGAGGTTCTCAAGCCTGTCTGCACCAGAGTTTTTAAAAAATGACCCAGCTCATATAATCCTGAGATTATAATTTAATAAGCCTGGGGAGGGATTTGGGCAACAATTTATTATTTTAAAGCCTCTCTGTGATGCTAAGGGAAGCCATGGTTGAGCCAGGCTACCCCCCTAAGTGTTATGGAAGAGGCAGGCGAGGGTCACTGAGGGTCGGGAATCAGCCTGGGGGCACACAGCAAACCATCAGGCCTGGGGCTTCTCATTGGCTGCCACTATGCTGATGCTTTCTAGAACTGATGTGGGTCTTGCTTGTGACTCTCCAATCAGGGACTGGTCATACCTGGTGAGAGGAGAATGTGAGTTTTCGTAAAGCTCAGCACCTCTCCACCTTCTGAAATCAGCATTCTGGTCTTTGGGGAATGAAGTCCATGTAGGGTTGAATGTACCCTAAAACCCAGGCTTGGCCAGCTAGAGCTTGCTGTCTACTAGCCCCAGTGATTGGTTCAGGGCTGGGTATGTTACCCAAACAGGCCAAAGAGACTCTATTCCCAGATTAGTATTTGAATTTTGAGAAAAGAGAATTCCCCTTGTTGGAAGCCTGGAATTGCCAAGGACTATCATATGGAAAGGACCTGTCCTAGGCAGAAGGCAGAGCCAGGAGCTGGGGGGGGAAAGCTGGGTCCTGATGATGCTGCTTGGGCTCCTGAATGTAGCTGTGCCTGAAGGTGACCTTATTCCAGGGTTTTCCATTTAGGTTAGCCAATACATAGCAATATTTTGTTGCTTCTTTTGAGTTGACTGTCGTGACCCAAAGAGACTTGTTGGGCACAACTGGGCCCTCCCTCTGCCATCCACCCACAGCCACATTCTGTGGGTCCTCCATGCTTGCCCCGTGCTGGTGATGGCAAAGGCCACAGAAGTGGGTCAGGCCTGGGCCTGGCATGGGAGAGATCACCACCCACCTCTCCCAATCCCTCTGGGGACTCACCTTGACCACCTTGAGCACCTTGATGGGAGAATTCTGGAAGCAGTTTTCCCGCAGGAACGAGCAGATGGTATCGACAGCCTTGCTCACCTGAGTCAGGAACTGGCGGTTAGGCTGGAGAAACTCACAGATGAACTTGTCCAGGTGTCCGGCTGGGGTTTGGTAAAGAAGAGCCGGCTGCAGAGAGAATTCAGGTGGGACCAGCTCGAGACGGGATTCCCTATGAGCGTCCAGGCCTGGCTCTTGATAGGCTACGAGGCCAAGATGCCCACCATCTCCCCTCTCTCTTCCTGCTCAGCTGGTTGGCAGGTCCTTGAGGTAGGCAGCATTAGAGAGACCTCAGTTCAAGTTCCTCCACCAACACACAGCCTCAGTTTCCCCTCTTGAATGGGGATGATGGCGAGGCCCAAGCCTCACTAGATAGACTTGAGTGTTAGACACTGGTTATGAGCTGCTGTTGCAAAACAGCAAAGGCAGTAAAATCATACCCCTTTGGGGCTGCAAATGACTATTGTCTTAAGTGGGGTTCCCTTAAAGAAGGGCCTGTGACAGGGGTTTGTGTGTATGCGGTGAGCTGGGGCAGTGTTTACAGGCGAAGGGGGCAGGAGAGGGAGCCAAACAAGATCAGGGCCTCCCTCAGCTGGACAACACTACTTCCGGACCCCACCGGCAGCTCTGGAACGCGATTTGCCCCACAGAGCTGGTCCTGACTCGCAACGATGCGGCCTTTGCCCGGCTCTTACCAGCACGTCCCAGGGCTGCAGGGGCATCCCCTCTCCACTCAAAACGCAGGCCTGTGTCTCCAGGGTGGCCGCTTCCTGGGCCAGCCGCTCCCAGTTCCCCTGCCCCACGTTCCAGGTGGGGTCGGCAGGGTCCAGGATCAGCGGCCTGCAGGCAGAATGGATGGGCAGGCAGGTGGGAAAGTGGGGGTCAGTGAAGAGGCAGGGATTTGGGAGGGACAGGGAAGGGGTGTGGAGGCTGGGAAAGAACCTCTAGCCGGCCTGATCTCACCCAGGCACAGCACGACACCTCCCTTCCACGCCCCCCTCCCCCCAACTCCTGGCTGCCTTGGTCAGGAAGCTCTTGGGTGATCTCATAATTCTAGAAAAGGTTTTTATTGTGTTAATAAAACTGGCCTTGGCCTTTGGGACTGCTGCTCCCACACTTCCTTAGCAAGAGTCCAGAGGAAGCAGTGTTAAAGGGGGGTTGGAGGACCAGACCTCGCCCTGGACACCCCCTGGACACAGTGATCCAGGGGGACCAGGAGATGCAGGCGGTGATGGGGACGCAGGTGTGCACCTGGGTTTCCGAAGCTGGCCGAGGAGGTTCGTTCTCAGAGCTGGGTCCTCAAAGCCATAGTTGACCGTCCAGTAGACACAGAGCTGCTGGTGCTGCTGAATAAGTCCCAGGACGGTCCTCAGGCCTTGGGCCATGTTGAAACCGTTCTCCTTGCAGCCCTGCTCCCAGGCAAAGATGGTCAGGAGCTCCAGGGCGTAGGCGGGGGGCAGAGTGGCACAGGCCGGCTGCTCTCCGATCTGCGCTTCCACCTAGGTGACCCGAGGCCAAGCACAGAATCAGTGGAGGTGAACACCTACTGTGTGCTAAACGTGGCACTAAGCACTTGGAGGAGGAAGAAGATGCAAAACCACAGAACAAAAACTTGGAGATGGCCTGGCTCATACTTCTCACTTTATGGGGAGATAAACTGAGGTCCAGAGGAGTTCGTGACTTGCCTAAGGTTGCACAGGAGGCTAAGAAGTTCAGACTTGGCCTTTGCCTGGGGTCTCATCCCAAATGTTATATGAGGGTCACTGCATGGGAACGGGGGTGGCAATATGCTCATCTTGGTACCCTAACACCCAGCATAACAGCCGGCAATAGTGGGCGCCCAGCCGACAGATGTTTGTGGAATAGGAATGAAAGCACGTCAGCATTCAGAGCGCTTAGTGAGGGCACGGCGAAGGATGCTCAGGATTAAGAAGATGGTGGCTGGGAGGAACAGCACAAGCAAAGGAAAAGACAGGCAGAGCATTAGCAGTATGAAGAGCGGAGAAACACATTGGCTGGAGAGGAATGTGAGGCTTAACCACAAGAAATGCAGAGTTTGGACTTGAAGGAGCAAAGCTGCTCTCGCTGGTCTGGAAAAGACATGGAAGCTGGAGGAGGTAGTCGTTCCACTTGGGATGGCCAATGAGATGCCAACGAGGGAAGATATCTGCTCAGGGGAGGAGCCGTTGGGCGAGGCAGTCGCCATAACAGCTGCATCCAGGGAGGAGCACAGATATGGCAGCCTCACCTGGCGGTACCAGTGCTTCACCAGCAGGATCAGGGCCTTCAGCTTGACTGGGCGGGTGTTCACGAAGTTCCTCCGCAGCTCTGCGAAACAGGCCGCGTGCTCGCCTTCCTGGCAGCCGCTGAGGAGGAGGCGGGAGTAGACCCGGGGCTCAGGTTTGGCGCCAGACCTGAGCTGCCCTGTGGACATTGAAACACTCTTGGCGCACAATTCCAGTCGAAGACAGCAGCAGCATTCCCCACCCCAGGTGCTGACGTGTTCCCCATCACGGAGCCTCAAAGCATTAAAAGCAAAACTTTACAGAGAGAAACTGACGCATCTCCATTCAAAGCGGGAGTTTGTCAGGTTTCCCATTCAGAACTGATAGATCAGGCAAGCAAAAAATCAGCGGTGCAGATGTGAAGGCAGCAAACTAGATGGAAAGGCTGGAAGCAGAAACCCACGTTGGGCAAGGGACAGCCAACATCTCTTCAGTCATTAGCACCCGGGGGAGTGCTCAGCAATTCTAAAGAACTGACACCACATACGGTATATTTTCGGATTACAATTCAAAATAGAAAAAGAGAAGTAAGACAAAAGCAAACAAGGGAACAAGATCCCAGAACACCCCTTTGGAAGCCCACTTCCAAATATTTATGGATGAAAGAATATACCATACGGTCGCAATTTAAAGTACAAAATATTTAGACCTGTGTACGTTTAGGGAGAAACGTACACAGCATTTATGAAGATTATCACTACGCTGAGATTTAGCTCAAAAAGTGTGATTGGCTAACTAAAAAAGTTAACCTAAAAGTAAACCTCTCGAAATAAGGACATTGGGCCATACAATTTAAAAACAAATCCCAAGCAGACACGGAGAACACTTAAAATTGGTTAAATTGTGATTGGGGTACACGGGTGTATGCATGCTGTCGATGGTTTTCTGTATGATTGAAACATTTCATAATTAAAACTTCCATAACGTTAAAATCACTGAATGGTTAGGAGTTGGTGACGACTTTGGTGAATCAAGAGTTTTCAGTGCTTGGGGAAGTAGGGGAATTAGGACCACCGAGAAGATGGCAGGCACCCCGTTCATTGCCCCTGGTTCCCTGGGGTCCCTGTTACTGTCCACGGCACAGGCTGGGCAGCCCTTACCCACGGCATCGAAGACGGGCAGCAGGCTCACATCCACCCAGCTGTCGAGGGTGGAGGACACCAGCTGCAACTGCAGAGCCTCGGGTGCATTCTGCTCGGGGAACTGGAGGCTCAGCCCCGGGACTGGGTCCTGCCAGCAAGATTCCAGCTGTGCCCGCATCTCAGCCAGGATCTTTGCACCATGGGTGCCCTGATCCTTATAGTCCTTGAAGCAGTTGAGGAAGATGATGAGTTCAGCATCACAGCCACCCCTGAGGTCGGTGCCCCGGCCGAAGGAGCCCCCCTGCAGAGGGAAGAACATCTCAGACCACCGGCTCTCTCTGAGCCCAGGAGTCGGGCTCTGAGCACCCCCAACCCTGCCCCAGCTGCAGCCTTGACACTGCTTTCTTGCTGATATCCTGTCTGGGAGCACCAGGGAGTCAGGATTCTTGAGCCCTGTGACCTCTGACCCGGAGAAGCAGGCAGAGACAGAGCCTGCACCTGCCTCCTGACCCAAGCTGGCCTGGGCAGCCTGCTGGTCACACCAACCAGCAGCCCAGGTGACGGCGCTGGGGGTGGGGGTGGAGATCAAAGATTTCAGCCAAATATCTACAGCACCTACTCACCACACATCTGGACACAGACTGCTGATTAAGAGTCCAGGGCCAAATGGGACCTGCATAGGTTCTCAATCCATTCATTCATTCACTCATTCATTCATTCAACTGAATTCATGGAGCTCTTACATGTACCAGATATGCCAGTGGATGAAAGTAACAAGCTCTCCTGGAACTTATATTCTGGTAGGGGGAGCAGAGGGAGGGATGGTTAGCAAGCAATGGCCCTCAGAAAGTGCTAGGAGGCCAACAGATCCATAAGGGGACTGGGAGGGGAGTGGAGTTTGTGAATTTAATTGAGCAGTCAGGCCTCTGTGAGCCCATCACATGCACGCGTGTGTTTAGTCTGGGGGTGGGGTGGGAGCCAGGGAATGGAAAGTCCACGGTAGAGATGGCCTCCAAGCCAGGATGAGCCTTGAGGGGCTTGGGATGTGGGTCACAGACTTAAAGGAGGGGAGGGGAGAGCCAAGTGTAAGGGGGCAGAACATTCCAGAAAGAGAGGCTTGAAGGCAGATGTGTGCTGGGCAGCTCAAGAAGCCTGGAGGCCAGTGTGGAATAGGTCAAGGTCTGAGAGACCAGAGTCAAAATCGCATGGCCTTAAGGCCAGCCATGAAACCACAGAGGATTTTAAGCCCAGGAGGAAGGTGATGTGCTTATGGTAATAGTGATTTTTTTTTAAAGATTTATTTATTTATTCATACAAGCACTGGGTACAGTCAGAAGCGCGGGAGGGCGAGAGAATTCACCAGAGCCAGAGCAGAGAGTAGAACAGGCAGAGTGAGGAAGTACACTGCTGAGGGGAGCAGCGGGCAGCAGGAGAGGTCTGCGTGCCATGTGGGACCCCCCACCCGGTCGCCGGGGATCAAACTGGCACTGCAGAGGCTGCGGGCAGCTTTGCAACCCAGCGCTCAACCACTGTGCCACCGGGGAGGCCCTGGTAATAGTGATTTTAAAAGATTATACCATTAAAAAAATGGTGGCACTTAAATATATACCTTCTGGCCTGCAAATCATCCCTGTGTGGTGTCCACTTCCCTGCCAGCCCTCAGCTCAGCTGCATTGTTGTGGCCTGTTCCCTCCCCACAGGGGCTCCCGCAGGGTCCCATCAGTGTCCCCACCTGCCCGACTCACCTTGCTGACTCTCGAGGGCTTGTGGGCACAGTTCTGGAGGCAACGTAAGATGACATCAATGGCCTGGCCCACCTGTTTCTGGAACTGGGGGTTGGGTTTCAGGTGTTCCTGGATAAAGTGGTCCAGCTCCTTGGCGGAGATTTGAGAAAGATCCAAGACCCTCCCCGGCAGAGAAGGGGTGATGCTGGAGGCCCCTAAGGGGCAGGGAGCTGGGCGTGGAGGCTGCGGGCTCACTGACCTTGGGCACACAGCATTGAGGCTCCTGCTGTCCTCAGGGATTCTCTGGGCTGGGTCTCGCTGGATGGGGTGGTCCAAACCCAGATGGCTGGCTGATGGGAGGCCCTGGAAGTTTTTAGAAATCGCTGTCTTCTACAAACAGTGCAGAGATTTCCATGTCTGCTCTCCTGACACCTCACCCACTGTGCAGTCAGGGTGACGAGGCTCAGAGAGAGAAATGGGAAGGTCACTGCTAGCCCAGTGGCGCCCTAGGATAAGGGGCCCTGCAGCGGGGCTAAGTGATGACCAAGTCCCCTGTGGTGCAGAAACAGCTTGGTAAGCAGACAATAGCTGCACAAAGACAGAGGTGTTCCTTCCTCCAGGCAGGCGACTGGATTGGTGATCAGATGTTCCGCATGCCTGCTGCCCCCACTTTTCCCTTTCTGTTCCACACCTCCCAGCCCCGGCACATAGTAGGTGCTCAGGAAACACTGAGCATACACATCTGGCGTAAAATCCAAGGCTCACTCACTGGCCCCTCCCAGGGCTGCACGGGTTCCCCAGCCGCCTGCAGAAAGCCTGGAAGCTCACAGCAGGACTCTGCCTCCTGGGCCAGCACATGCCAGTGCCAGGTCACCCCATTCCCCACATCCCACGTGGGGTCAGCTGGGTCCAGGATCACAGGCCTGAAAATCCAGAGGACAAGAAGATTCCAGTTAGCAAGAAGGTCAAGTTCAGGGACGCTGGAGTCAAGTCCAGTCCCAACTCTGTTACTTTTCAGCTGTGTGACGTGAGCCTCAGTTTTCTCATCTTCAACATGGGGATAAACTCAATGCCTGCCTGGTGGACTGTTATGGAGATTACACTGGAGCAAGGGTCCTCAGCTCTGGCTGCATATCAGAATCACAAGCTACCTGGCTCCACCCCTGGGAATGCTGAGTTACACCCTCAGATGATGTGTGTACCATCGCACACAACAACCACCCTATCTGTAATAGCCTCAGAGTAGAAATAACGCAGATGTCCATCAGCAGTGTGATGGAAAACATATCGTGATAAATTCACACGAGGGAATACTATTCAGCAATGAAAAAGAATGAGAGTCAATGACACCCTACTCCATGGAAAGATCTCAAGAACCTAATGTTGAGGAGCATCCAGACAGAAATGTACACACGGTGTGATTCTATTTAAATAATATTTAAAAACAGACCAACTATAATGTTGATCATCAGGCTGGGCTACCTGTGGGATGCCACTGACTGGGAGAGGCAAAAGGGAAGCTCCCGGGGGCTGGCAGTACCCTGCCTTGATGTGCTGTGGTTTCATAGGTGTCTTCTCACTTTGTAGAAAGTCACCAAAATGTGCACTTCAGACTAGTTAGATGTCATTGAAATGTTCACACCCACAGTGCTGTATGTTTAAAACTCTCCCAGTGATCTTAATTTGCATCTGGGGCTAAATCCACCCATTTAGAAAGTGCTCATGCAAGATTTGGCTTTGGCCCATGTGCAAGCCCTCAGTAGATATGACCATGTCATTGCAGATTCTCTCCATGGCCCAGGGATGGGAGAGTGGCAGGGGCCGGGGGGCGGGGTACCAGGGGGCACCTGGGTCTCTCAAGCTGGCGCTGCAAGAACTGCTTGATGGCTGGGTCCTCAAAGCCATAGTTGAGGGTCCAGAAAACACACAGGTGCTGATACTGCTGGATCAGGCCCAGGACAGTCCGGAAGCCTTGGGCCAGGCTGAAGGCGTCTTTCCCGCAGCCCTGCTCCCAGGCAAAGATGGTCAGCAGCTCCAGGGCATAGGCCGGGGGCAGCAGCTCCTTCCTTGTCCCCGGCGGGCACACCTGTAGGATGGCAGAGCAGGGAACTCAGAGGATGAAGGTGGTGGGGAGAGCCCGAGGTCTCTGAAGAACTTTGCGGGATTGCTCAGTCTCCAGCGTAGGGACCCACAGGCTGAGCCTGGGACGAGGTGCTGTGTTCCTAGTATTCCAAGAGCAATCTGGTGTTGCATGTGCCAGGTTCAGCAAGTGCTTGGCTCCTAATTGGGGGGGGGGTAGTGTAGCGAAGCGAGGTATGAGATTAAAGCATCCAGGACGGGGAAGCAGACAGGGAGAAATCAGGCATTGTCTGAGACTGTCACCGACCCCCCAGATACAAGCAAGGCAGATCTGGGGTCCCAGTCGAAGGGCTGATTGGCAAAGATGAGCAGTTTGGTACCCAAGGAGAAGGGCATCAGGTGGTCCAAGAGGAGGCAGCACAGTGGATTCTTGCTCTGTCGTCCCTATTAGCCCCTGGTGCCTCTACCTTGACACATGTGTCTTCTGTCTGTCCCAAATACCTGAAAGCAAAACCCTCTGGCGGCCTCACCTGGCGGTACCAGTGCTTCACCAGCAGGATCAGGGCCTTCAGCTTGACTGGGCGGGTGTTCACGAAGTTCCTCCTCAGCTCTGCGAAACAGGCCGCGTGCTCGCCTTCCTGGCAGCCACTGAGGAGGAGGCGGGAGTAGACCCGGGGCTCAGGTTTGGCACCAGAGCTGAGCTGCCCTGTGGGTGTGAAGCCGCGAGTCAGGAAGGGTGCTGAGCACACAGGATGGGGGGCAGTGTTGGTGCTGGACTCAGCTGGGGGCGTTGGGAGGGAGCGGGGGGATTCGGAGAGTGGACTCTGCCAGCCTGGGACTGGGGGCTGGGAGAAGAGCCTGGAGCTTGTCAGGAGGCAGGGAGGAAGGTTGTGCTCCAGTCTGCAGGGGGCCCCTTCCTCCTGAAAGGCCAGGCAGCCCCAGGACTGGGCCAAAGAAGCCCCGCTAGGTTCCAAGGCGGCTCAACAGGAAAGAGGCTCCCTCCTGAGTTGGGAGGACCTGGTCATTCTCTGCTCCCCAGTCCTCCCTCCGGCCAGTTCTACGGTACTTCTGAACCGCCGCCCCGTGAGAAGAAGACAAAGCTGGAGGACTGCAAGGGAAGCGGTTCTGCTTCCTGTGCTGTGGCTGCTCAGATTTTCTGAGTTCTAATCCATGCCGGGCACCATGCTGCCATTTCACACAAGCCCCCTCAGTGTCTTCCAGCCAAAACCCTGGGAGTTTACAGCAGGGGAAATGAAGGTGCTCTGCCCAAGGCTGGCCAACGAAGGGGCAGAAGCAGAACTCAGGACTGGCTGAGATTACACGTGTCCTTCATCACGTCCCACAGCAGGGCTTGGGGAAAGTGAATTCTATTATTTGAAGGTCCCTGACATCACTTGCTGTGTGACTGCAGGAGAGTGACTGCATGTGCCTTAGTGTCCCTGTTGGTAAAACAGAAGATAAAATAGTATAGAGCTCATAGGTTTGCTTTTAGGAGTTAATGATTTAAAACATGTCCAGTGTTTGGGATAGTTACTATCTAATCAGTAGCAGAAATTATGATTTGGATATCCATAACCAGAGGGTGGGATTGCAGGTGTGGGGCTGTCTGCTAGGATATTGTAACCCTGGATAAACTCAAGATAGCTATCTCCGAGGGCATCATGGTAACTAATAATAATAATAATAGAAAAATGGTAATAGTAATAACAGAAATGAGAAAAGCAAATACTCCTATAGCCCTATCAGGCACTGTTCTAACGTCATTACATGTATTAACACACAGTCTTTCCAACAACTCAACAGTATAGACAGATTTCTATTGTCCTGTTATGATTATACTCATTGGACAGATGAGGACACAGAGGCATATTATTGCATTCAATCAAGCACGAGTCTATAACAGAGAATGCAAACACCACATTAATGTTTTTGAGATAAGAGAAGATTTTGCAGAATTCTGGTTTGTTTCCAGATCACTGCTGCCTGCATTTTTTTTTTTTTTTAGTTAGTTGCCTTTGCTTTTGGGGTATCCGCAGAAGGGCTGAGCAGCCCTGCTTGAGGAGGAGGTTGAAGGCAATTCTCCAGGGGTGTTTAAACCAGGGCCAAACACCTTGGCAGTGGGACCACAGGCCTTCCTGGCCCTTGTCTGATCCAAACCCAGTATGTTTTTGACAAGAAACTGAAGCTCAGAGAGGGTTGCCAGGTCACACAGCAAGTCGGTGGCAGGTTTAGAAGTGGGAGCCCTGTCTTTCTCCCAATGATCTGGCCCTCAATTCTGGAATGGGCCAGACACCCCTTACCCAGGGCATCAAAAGCAAGCACCAGGCTCACATCCATCCGGTTTTCACAGTTTGTGGATGCGAGACAGAACTGTAAGACTCCGGGCATGTCCTGATCAGGAAGCTCAAGGCTCAGACCGGGGATGGGGTCCTGCGACCAGGATTCCAGCAGGGCCCGCATCTCATTGAGGATCTCTGCACGGTGAATCCCCTGGTCCTCATAACTCTTAAAGCAGTCGAGGAAGATGACAAGTTCAGAATCACAGCTGCCCCTCAGAGCTGTGCCCCGGCCAGAGGAGCCTCCCTGTGAAACAAACAAAAAAACAAAACAAAACAAAACTCAGAATCCTGCACACTCCAATCCTGGTGCCCACACTGCCTGGCAGGCAACTTGATTGAGGCAGATGGGCTGGGTGGAGAGTATGGTCACACAACTCCAGGGATTTGGAGCCAGGCAGGAAAGTGGGCCCAGAACGGCTGGGCCCGACTTTTTGAGAAAGGCAATTTTCAGATATAAACCCATGACTTTTAAAGGTTGGCAATTAACTAAAAAAAATTGCGGGTGAAACAAATTCTGGTTTGCAAAACACGTTGTGACCTTTGCCTGGGATCAGGACACAACCTTGATAAGATTCGATGAACTTGTGTGTTTCTTTCTGCAACACTTCTAGCCTGGGCACTTGGGAAGAAAACTCATTATCAGAACTTCTGCTTTGTGCCTGGCACTCTGGCAAGTGTCTGAGACCTGTAATCCCCTTCCAGTAGGCAAGATCTCCTGGTTGCATCGGTTACATGTGGGTGAGGCTCAGAGGGGTGAACCCAGTAGCTTAACCAGTGAGAAGAAATGGGATTAACCCTGCAGAGGCCACTTGCTACCAAACTGGGCTTGGCAATTACTCCAAATTGGTTCTTTGACTCCGACACTTTCACGTTATGAGCTGCCAACAAGGCAGGGGTGGGGGGGCGGGCAGGCCAGAGCACAGAGGAAGATCAGAGACGGAGGCTTTGCACACAATCATCTTAGCTTTCCTAGCCAGGCTCTGACCAAATTGACCAGGCAAGGGCAAGGAGGTTGCTCACGCTTCCTGGCCCCACCCACCCCAGCAGAAGTCACCCCAGGAGAAGGATTTGAACGCAGGGATCAGCTTCCAAACCCATATTCTAGCTTTCTCCCCATCCATTAATTCACTTAAAATAGTTTTTATTATGAAAGTTTCTAACCCTATTATGAAAATTTCTAGGAAGAGGAAATTTTAAAGTTTTTTTCCCCCTGTGCTCCAGTTGTTTGACTCCCCTGTCTCCTCTTTCTGTAGTTTTAACAGAAATTCCAGCCTACATGTCATTTCACCCCCATACATGGTGAAGTGAAGGGCGATTTCCCCCCAGAGAACACTTGACAGTGTCTGTGTAGTAGGATTCCCTCTAGTTTTTAAATAACAAAGACAAACCCTAAAAGTTTAGGAATAGGCAGAATTAAACCCTGACCCCCAAACTGTATCCCCTCTTTAGGATTAATTCTTAATTCACTGAATCGCATGCCCTACACCCTCTCTTCGTGATCAACCAAAACTGGCTCCAAGTACATTCTTGGAAATTTTAAAAATTATGCTGCATCCCTGGTAAGATTCTTTGTGTGCCCCTGGGGTTGACAGTGGCATCAGAAACACCTACAGGTTGTGGAAGGGAACCCCCTGCTGGGAAAGCCAGACACCTTGTCTCCTGCAGGCTGGACTACCCACCCCACGACGAGCAAGGTGAGGGTCCAGGTGAGGGTCCGATGAGTAAACAGTCCTGTAACTGACCATGCAAATTTCAAAAGGCTGGAACCAGAATGTGGGGAGTGAGGAGGAAGCAGAGATGACTAAAGGTCCTTACAGCAACCCAACCCCACCCCAGAGTGAGACATTCCACAGAGTGAGAAATTCCATGAAAGAACAATATAAAAGACCACCCCAGCCCCTCACGAAGGCAGCCTTCACCCTCTGTGTCTAGGCAAGTGTCTCTTTTTCTTAATAAGCCTGTGGTGTGCTGGCTAAGGTGACTCTTGAATTCATATTTGATGGAATCCAAGAACCCCCTACTTGTCCCACTTGACCGACATTACTGGCGGTCAACACTGGGGCCCATTCACGCCAGCCCCAGGGAGGTCCTTAGGCCATAACTCCCGTCACCCCTTCTTTGCTTTCTGATCCAACCAGAGCCGCAGGCTCTTCTCAGAGATTTCACTGCAGCCCTGGACTCAGCCATTGCTCCAAGTGTCCTTTCAGGGGGACTAGCGCCTCCAGACTGGATGTGAACCCACAGATCTCCCCACTTAGCCAGTCTTCCTTCCAAGCCCCAAGTGGTCAGATGGCCATCAGCTAAATTCAACCGTGGCATCTGTTGCAGGTTTCTAGGGAAGCTAAGGATGCCGAGGTTTTAGAGACCCGTAAATGCTTGCTCTGCAGAAATTCCCCGTCCGTCTCAAAGGCAGAAATCTGCTTCCACGTAGCCTGGGTTACACGTGTGCCCTCCTGGCCCCCTCTCCAGCTCAGGTCAGCTCTGGGCACCCACCAGCTGCCCTTTGGCACTCTGCCATGCTGGGGTTTCATCCCTTCCCCAATAAGCTCCAAGTTCCCCTGCCCCACCAGGCTCCCTCATCGAGTTTGGTTTGCCCTGGGGACACGGTAGCTGAGGATTTGTCTCCTCCCTGAGACACTGGGCATCCTGAGGTCACAGAGGCAGTGAGATATTCAAATGACAGACTGGCCCAGCCAAAAGGGCCTGGGGCCATGACTTCATCACACTCAGCCTCAGTTTCCCCATCTATAAAACAGGGACAACAATCCTATTTTGCTCAATGTGAGGACCAAGGGAGAGCATACTGCGTAATGAGCTCTTGTCCATTATTTGTGGGTAATTCCTCAGTAAACTGGCCATCCTGGCTACTACAGAGCAAGTGCTATTACTTTCGCATCCTTCAGGGTCAGGCACAGTGCAAGGCCCACAGTCTGTTTGCTTGAGTGAGTGAGTGAGTCAATGAGTGGATGGATGAGAGGCGGTCACTACAAGCACAGACGCAGGTGGACCTCTTACCAGTTTGGACATGACACTTTCTCCGTGCCTCAGTTTCCCCATGTGCCTCTGGGAGCAGTAAGTTTTCAGGGCACTTGGAGCAGCACTGGGGCAGGGCAAGTGTGCCGGGGAAGTGTTAAAGGCATGAGCGAGAAGAGCCAATAAAACCCTCCCCATCCCGCTGACTTCATTTCCATGTCTCCAGCCCTCTCCGCGGACTGCTCCAGGTACAGATGGAGACTCTGAGGTCAACCCGGCCCCCTACGGGCCCTGTGCCCCGGGGCGCCCACCTTGACGGTTTTCAGCACCTTCCAGGTCCGGGCGGCGGCTCCCGGGCGGCCCCCGTGCGCTCTCAGCACCGCGTCCAGGGTGCCCAGCGCGCGCCGGGCGTCCTGCAGGAACTCGGGGGGCGGCTGCAGGCTGCCGGCCACCAGGCGGTCCAGCGCGGCGGCGGGGGTGCTGTACACATCCATGTCCCGGGAGGGGCCGAGGCGCCCGCGCGCCTGGGAGTCCGGCTGCTCTGGGACCCCAGAGCCTTCCTCGGGCCCCAGCGGGCGGGAGAGGGAGTGTCCTGCCGGGCCAGCCTCCTGCGCCAGCCCTTCCCGCTTTCAGTTTCGTTCCTTCTGGGCTCTGGGCCTTTGCTCCCAGCGCCCTGCCCCCTTCTGTCTGTGGCAAGCGTCAGGTTTACCTTCCACCTCCAGCCCCCTGGGGCTCATCGCAACCCAGCAAAAGGCCTCTAGCGCCGCAGGTCCGCAGACACAAGCCCTGGCAGGGGTGACGCTCCCTGAGCATTTAGTAAAGGAGCAGGATTTTCGGGGAAAAGTGGCCATGGCCACAGCGAGTGGCCCCTGCCTGCTCCCTGGCGCAGGCTGCGCCGGCACAAGGGACACTGGCTTGTCACTTACCATGGCCCGGAATCCTCCCTGCCCCTGCGGGGGAGGCTGTCACCATCACCCCCACCTGACAGGGGAGGATGTGAAGGGACAGAGAACCTGAGCATCCAGTCCAAGGCCACAAGCTGGCCAGTGGTCCGGCTGGGCTCAACGCGAGCCCAAGCTCAGGACTTTCTCTGTCCTCACAGGAGTCAGCTCTTCCGAAGTCCCCTCTGTACTCAGTGCAATGCCAGTAAAATTCCTTTGTAAAAACTCCAAACCCATCAGGCTGAAATAAACTCTGTCTGCAAGAATTAAGAATTTTTTTTTTTTAAGCAGGAGACATGAGAAGGGAAATCAGCTTGGAAGGGCACCTCGGGTACACCTGCATCATCACAGAGCTACGGCAGCTCGGTCTCCTCCCACCCCGGCGCATGCGGAGCTGCAGAGGGGACACGTGAGTCCAGCAGTGGCCCTTTGGCGTCCACCTTCACAGGGCCTGTCCTGCCTTTTCGGCTGCTTCCCCTCACTCTCCCACCCAGGAGACCAGAACCTGCTTCCTCCTCACCTTTAACTCCTCACCCCTCCCACTCTGCTCTGCTGCTCCCCCCCCCCCCCCCCCCCCCCCCCGGGGAGGGCCGAGCCCATGAACAGAAGGTCCTTAGCATGAGCCTGGAGAAGCCCCGGAGCTCGTGATGGTGCTGGGGGTGCAATGAGCTGCCCGGAGCTGGCCAAGCCCAACTCAAATCCTGTGGCTAGCGGGCCTCATGGAGAGAGGCCCAGGGCGAGCAGGTGATCCTTCCACACTCACTGTGTGGTCTCTGTGTGGGAGTGACAACCCACAGCCTTTGCCAAGACCGTGTAAATAGGGGACCTGTCAGGCAAAGCGCCTGGTCTGAGTCTGGAGGTGAGAGCTGCCCCCCATCTTGTCAAGCTCACTAGCATCTTCAGAGATGCTGGGGACCAGCTGGTTGACCAGGAGTGTGTGTGGGGGGGTGTGTGTGTGAGAGAGAGAACCCCAAATGAAAGTGGGTCTTACCAAGTGAGTGTATGTGAGTGTGAGTTTTTTGGGGCACCCCAAGGCCTGTGCTGTGTGAGGAAATGCCATCGGATGAGGCCTGTGGCAAAGGCCTGTCTCCTGCTAATATGCTCTGATTTTGTTCAAATTAATTCCGTAAGAGGCCAGAACCAGGCTCTTGAGGGTCACACTGATGTGGGGGCTGCAGGGAAGCTTAGACACCCCCAGCTGCGGCTGCTTGGGCACACCCACAGCTCCTTGTTGACAACACCCTCTCCAGCTTCCCGGTAATGTCTCTCCCCTCCACACTGCTGCTGGCTGAATTTCTTCTGGGTTCCCCAAGGCACAAGTCATTCTCACTCCTGGGCCCTTGCATGGAATGCCAGGAATGTCCGGGTCCCCTGGGCTGAGGCTCACAAACTCCTCTGCCCATGGTTGAGAGGCCCGTTCCTCGAGGGACTGCTGACAGATCTCCCGGGCTGGGGTGGTAGCCCACAGGCTCCCATCACGTTACAAATAAACCTCAGAGAGAGGCCCTCTCCTGCCACCTCACAGCCCCAAGTCCAGGGTGGGGCCAGGGAACGCCCCACCCCATCAATGTTTTTCACTCATCAAAATAAGTTCTAGCTGCTTCTTCTTCTTTTTTTTTTTTATATAGAGGCATGTTTTATTTATTTATTTGTTTGTTTTGTTTTGTTTATACATGCACTGGGTACAGTCAGAAGCACGGGAGGGTGAGAGAATTCACCAGAGCCAGAGCGGGGAGCAGAGCAGGCAGAAGGACCGAGGTACACTGCTGAGGGGAGCAGCGGGCGGCAGGAGAGGTCTGTGCGCCATGTGGGACCCTCCTCTGGTGGCCGGGGAGCAGCCGGGGATCGAACCGGTGCTGCAGAGGCCGCGGGCAGCTTCGCAACCCAACGCTCAACCACTGCGCCACCAGGGAGGCCCTTCTTCTTCTTTTTTTAAAGAGTTTCTTCTTCTTCTTCTTCGTTTTTAAAAGATTTATTTATTTATTTATACATGCACTGGGTACAGTCAGAAGTGCGGGAGGGTGAGAGAATTCACCAGAGCCAGAGCGGGGAGCAGAGCAGGCAGAAGGACCGAAGTACACTGCTGAGGGGCGCAGTGGGCGGCAGGAGAGGTCTGCGCGGCCTGCGGGACCCTCCTCCGGTGGCCGGGGAGCAGCCGGGGATCAAACCAGCTTCGCAACCCAGAACTCAACTACTGCGCCACCGGGGAGGCCCAGTTCTAGCTTCTTTTAGGATGAGCTGGATGCCAAGTGCTGGCCTGTACCCACCCCGCTTTAGCTTATCAAACCCTCCCCAGACCCACAAGCTATTGTGGTGGCCTCACTTGACAGAGGAGAGCTGCTTACCCGGGCATTAAGTGACTTGCCCAGGGCCACCACATCAGTCAGGTGCGCAAGCCCAAGCTGTCAGACTCCAGAGCCTGAGCATCTGCCTACCTGAAGGAAGGCTTGGGAGGGGCCTGGGGCTTGCAGCTGGTGGGGTGGGAGGTGGCACCCACAAACAATGGTGCAGGACGTGCAGGGAGAGGCACCGGGGAGCACTCACCCACTGCTTCAAGATGGCCATGCAGCTGACTCTTGAACACCTTGGGGGTTAGACACCTGGACCCCAGGCAGTCGAGAATTCACAAATAACTTTTGACCCCCCAACTTAATTACAGTCATCCCTTGGTGTCCAAAAAGGAGTTGGTTTCTGGACACCCCTCCTGTGTCCCCTCAACCCTTCCCCCAAATCCACCCAAGCCCAGGTCCTGCAGCAGCCGGCCCCCCGCACCCCTGGCTCACACAGCTGGTCGGTGGAATCTGGAAGGCGGAGCCCAGGGACAGAAAAGAATCCTCCTGTAAGAGCACCTTGCAGTCAAAGCCTTGTTCAAGGTCAACTGTACACTAAGATTCACCTCTGGTTCAGCTGGGGGACCTCTGCACGAAGCTGAGGACACTGGGGTTCCCCCATCAATGCTGGACCTCCAACTTCACATCACCCATTTCCTTTTTTTTAAAACTGAAGTCACACTGGTTTATAACATGGTGAAGTTTTCAGGTGTAGACCTGCGTGCGGCAACATCTGCGTCTACTACGGCTTGCTCGCCGCCAAGCCTTGTTCCGCCCTCGCAACCGTACACCGGCTCCTTTCCGCAATCACCCTTCCTTCCTGCTAATCACTGCTTTGTTGTAGTGGAGTAAGCGTTGTTCATGCTGGCTGTGCCCTCCACCCTCGTCTCTGCGTCTCTGCTACGCCTTAGGTTTCGTTTCCTCAGCAGGAAGTTGCCCATAATGGGGCCTTATCTCTGGTGACTCATACCTGCCTGTCTCAGATGCTTCAATTCTCATACAGTAACACCCACCCCCCTCCCACGCCAGCTCCCTGTGTCCAGAAGTCAAGAATCTGTCCTTGAACAGCACCTCCAAACCCACAGCCTTAGCTTCTTGTGTATAACCTGGGGCTGCAGGCTCTGCCGACCTTAGCAGAGCTCAGCTGGGAGAAACGCTTATGGGGAAAGTGTTTGCAAGAAATACCGCTTTGGGGGGCTTCCCCAGTGGTGCAGGGGTTAAAGTCTCAGCACTATCAAGCTATCACCAGCCACTGCAGCACAAGTTCGATCCCCAGCCAGGGAGCTACCCACATGGCGCAGCAGACCTCTCCTGTCTCCCGGCTGCTCCCCACAGCAGAGTGTTTCAGTAGATCCATCTGTTCTGCTCCCCACTGTCTCTGGTGAATCCTCTCACCCCCACACCTCTGGCCTACACCCCAGCCCTTGTATGCATAAATAAATAAATCTTTAAAAAAGAAAAAGAGAAATACTGCTTTGTTGTTTCTCATGGTCATACAAGTAACACAAGTTGACTCAAAAGGTGAACAAAATCAGAAAATTTAGACAAGTAGCATCCATAATGCTGTAATCAAAAAATATACTACTGACGACCAGCTTTATTGGGGTCTCTGAATGAGAGGCAAGGCACGGGATGCAGGCTGAGGATTGGCCAGTTTGGGTCATTTCAGTGGCCCCTGGAGTGTCAGGGCTACCCACCCCCCCCATGACCAGTACCTCCCCTTGGGTTCCTGGGTGTAAGAGTCCTGTTACAGCCCATTGATTTAACTCAATATTTACAAAATAGTCATGCAATCCGCCTAGAAGATTATGCCAAGAGTGTGGACAATTCCTTTGCTAAATCTTTGAAACCCCTGAGGTATTTCACACTTGCCCCAAACCTCAATTTGGATCAGCGACATTTCAAATGGTCGAAAGCCACACGTGACTGGCGGTTACTGTCCTAGGATAGTTCCAAACTTTTTCCTAGATAAACAATCAGAGGTGCAGACAGAGGAGGAACCAGAGATATTTGTCTCTGGATTTTTGCAACTGAAAATTGGAAGGATCCTAAATTAGCCAATATCAAAATGTTCCACAAGAAGGTCAGCTCCACGAGGCAGGGATTTTTGTCTGCTGTGTTCATCGCTGTGTTCCCAGGGCCCAGAGATATTAGGTGCTCAATAAATATATCAGTCAATCAATACACGCATACGCACACATGCGTAATATGAACAGAGATATTTCTTGGCGATCTGCTTTGCACTTAATAAATACTTCACAATACTTCCATTTGCTATTATTTTTATTATTTTTGATAATAACTTGGACCATAATCTTCCCACCAGGCATGCAGAAGAAAGTCAGGACAGGGGTCACACTCATTTGTCTTCCTTGTTGTCTCTCAGGGAATAGGCAGGGATGGGGGGCTTGTGGGGGCTGCAGGGAAAGGTCTATTAAAGGAGAACACTAGAAATGGGGGGGGTCAAAGACTTGGATTCTGGTCCTGGGCCTGTCAACTCACCGCTTCTCAGAATAGACAGTCCCCCCATCCACTGGAAATGAGGGGGCGCTGCAATCTCTGCCGCGGACTAGCCCAGCAGCGGCGGGGAGATCAAAGCAAATTATTTGGAGCCATAAGAGTGTTTTGTGGCACTGGATTTTGTCTAATTTCTGTACTCCTATAGATATCAGCAATGGCATCCTCAAAATCACTCTCATCTTCCTCAGTGCCGACTTCTGCATATTCAGGTTCCCTAGGGTGCTCAGTCACAAGTTCTTCATCTAAAACAGGTGCGGAAGGAACGGCACCCAAATATGTTCTAGAGGTACTAGCGAAAGGGATAGCTTCCTGATCACTACCTTCGTCAGAGATTTCACCCCTCCACAAATCCGCTTCCGTAGTATCAACTAATAAATCTCGAATTTGCACCCATAAAGGAAAAGCCTGAACAGGTACCTGTGTAGGACCATTCTGATTGTAAAATTTTCGTATCTCTTTTCCTACACGCTTCCAATTTGTTAAAGACAAGCTTCCCTCTTCAGGAAACCATGGACAGATTTTCAAAATAAACTCATGAAAACGGAAAGAAAAAGTCCTCTATCCTTAGAGTGAGAATGTCCCATTCTCAAAAGCTACTCGTCCTCTTTAACTGGTCAGCCTTTACCAGCAGGCCCGCGGCGCCCCGACGAGATCCCTATCCTTCGACTAAATTACTTGGAGGTCGTTCTTCAAAACACGTCTTCTTCTGAGAAAATGCCTAAAGAAATTTTCGCCTAGAAAGCAAAACTAAAAACACTCAACAGTGCTCGACTGATCGTACTCCTCGTGGAGTATTAGAAAGCCTTGTTATAGGGGTGACCGTATAAGCCCCGGTCTTGGACTCCGCAAGGAGACCCCACTAAACCTTATGGCTTTCGCGGAAATGCAGTTACGAGCCCACACGGGCTCCGCGGCTTACAAAGCCTTGGAGCACAAACGCACTCTCTCACTCAGGCACACACACTTGCACACAAAGCAGAGAGGTCGAATCTTCCAGCAAACGAACCCCACCTTTGGGGGGTCGAGCCCCACGTTGGGCGCCACCTGCCGCGGACTAGCCCAGCAGCGGCGGGGAGATCGAAGCAGTCTCCGAGATTGAGCGAGAACGAGGGAAAGGTGGTCGAAGGAATTAGGGCGAGGGACAAGAAAGAATGACACACAGACACACTCTAAGGGAGTGAAAATCTGGGTGCAATTTATTATAGTTACCACTTTCCTTTTATACATTTCTGTGGTCATTACATAAGATAGTTTTTCACACTATGTGGTTAATCATACACTAAATCATTACATTCAGTGAAACATAACAAAAACAATATGCACCATTCCCAGATTCCGATCATGCACAATTATCAATAAATCAAGTACATACCGAGACCTTTGCTAGAGGTCCCTGACCTTCAGGCCGCTGTAATTAACCCTAGATTAAACATTGACCCCACTCTCAAAAAGATACAGTACTTATATGTTTCATAATAATATACCTATTACCGTAACTATTTTGTTGTTTATAATCATTATCTTAAGTTCCCAACACCCATTAGATTCTTCGAGGATTTTTGTAAGTAGTCAAACCAGTTTTACAGTAACAACTGGGCAGTGAAGCACAAATCTACTACACTGTTAGTTAACGATTAGCGGTGTGGTCTCAACTAACTGGGCAGCATGTACTGACATTATTTGCTAGCGGCCATCTTTTTGTTAGCCAAAGAAGGGGTTTTTATGATTCCCTTTGGGGACTGCGCCTGTCTTAGGTTGCCAGGAGCTACAGACATTGTCTGTCCCTGATCTTACCCGTCATTGGCTGACCAGTCCAGCACACAGGGGAAAAGGGTCTTATATATTCAAACTATTGAATACAGCCACTCTTTGCATTTAATTACTGACGTGCAGTGGCGATAACAGCCACAGCACAGAGGCAGGAGCCGCCACAAATCCCTTCTTCTGAGAGGCACCAGTGTTCAGAGGATGGAGCATGACCAGCCTTCATTTTCCTGGGGAGAGTGCTCCCAGGGAGTTACGTGTCCTGGTGTGAGCTGAAGGAGTGGGAGACCTTGTGGTGCTGCTGGAAACTGCAGAATGGAGATCCGCTGCCAGCCCAGGCCTCAAGGCTGCTGCCTGCCTCAGGCTGAAAGGGGAAAGCGTGAGATGACATGGGATGTTGGTGACACTGGGTCTCAGTGAGCATTTATGGGGACACTGTGGCATGCCACCTGGATACCCCAAGGGAAGGAGGAGCAAGTCCCAGCTGTCCGGGGTGGCAGTCCCTTTAGGGGTGGTCTGGCTGCAGACGTGGCCTGTTTTGAAGCCACGGCCCTTCCCGAGGTGCCCACACTCAGTGACTGGTCCTTGTGGGGGCAGAAAGGCCTGGTTACCTTAGTCTGCTGAGGTCAACTCTGAAGCCACTGGAGCTCCAGGGCCTCCCGCAGGGTGGGCTGAGATGGGGCTGCACCCTAGTTTGGTGTCTCCCTTTGCTGCGCCTGCTTCCTTCTCTCCCTTCCACAGGTGTTAGTTCCAATGGGACCTCCCTGCCCCCCAACGTCCTGCACCCTAAATTCCATCTCAGAGTCTGCTTCTGGACACCATCAGTCCCCCTCCATGAAAGAGACCCCTTCCCTGGGAGCAGTGGAGCCAAGCTCAGGTCCTTCTGCCACTGCCTAGTGTGTGGTCCCCCAGGCCCCCCGGCTGCAGAGACCCCACCATGAAGCAGCCTGTTTAGCCCTGGCACCGGCCTGTACCGAGTCTCCATGCCGGGTGTGCCGTGCCCCGACTACCTCTCCCTGAGCAGGCGACTTCCCTCTCTGTGCCCCCTCCCCTCCTCTGTGAGGCGCAGAAAAGGCTTAGGACAGAGTCTGAGCCGAAGCAGACACTCCATAAGCCGCGCTGGCTGGCGCGCTGTTGTTGCTGCAGCAATGGGCCAACCAAAGCTGAGGCCTCTGGCCAAGGGGACATTAACCATAAACTCCAGATAAACGGATGCAAGAATCCCAGAGCCCCTCCGCCAGGGCGGAATGAATGACTGACACACGGACCAGGGTGTGAAAACAGATGACGACGGCGACGTCGTCGGGAAGAATGACCACCAGCTTCGCACCCTACGTTGCAGGGAAGGGGTGGGGGAAAGAAGGGAGGAGGCAAAAATTCTCACCGGCACGTTCCAGGCCCGGACTGCAGACTCATCCCAGTTCCTGAAGCATGGGTAACTCAGCCAGGTAAACGCCTCCTGTGCCAGCCGCTGCCAGGCAAGTTGGCTCTCACCAGCCACGTTTCCTGTGGGGTCAGCCGGGTCCAGAATCACGGGCCTGGAGGGCGACATTTAGAGAGGGACAGGTGAGCTGGGCTGTGAGCAGGAAGCAAAGCCACGGGACGCTGTGCTGAGGGCCCCGCCGCCAGAGGGCAGGGAGCACCACGAATCTTACCCTTGGCCTGGGAGACTGGGTTTCAGTCTCACCAATGCCCTTTGTTAGCGGTGTGCCCGTGGGCTTCTCCTTCAACCTCGCTAAGCCTCAGTTTCTTTATGAGATAGGAGAGAACGTGCCCATCTCAAAGGGGGTGGTGTGAGAGTCCAGAGAAAGCTTGGAAATGCCCAGCCCAGTGACTGCAGCTCGCCAGGGCCATAGCGTGTCAGTCATGATCCCGTCCACCCTCTGTGCCCTGTGGCCATCTGACAGCAGGCGCCTAGTGTCTGGGAGCCATTACTGTCACTGCAACTGCGATTCCAATTCACAGTTCAGTATTTCATTCCCTTTCTGTCCCAGTGTGGACAAACCCCTTATTCTCTGTAAAGCGGTTACCACCATGGCTGCCTCCCGGGACGGGGTGGAGGTTCTTGTTTAAATCAAATGGTGGTGCCAGGGGTTAAGCATAGCACTGTGAAGCTGTCTGCAGCCTCTGGAGCATGAATTTGATCCCCGGCCAGGGAGCTACCCACATGACACAGCAGACCCCTCCTGTCTCGCCCGCTGCTCCCCTCAGCAGTGCATTTCACTCAGTCTGCCTGTTCTGCTCCCCACTCTGTCTCTGGTAAGTCCCCTCACCCCCTGCACATCTGGCCTGTACCCCAGTTCTTATATGCATAAATAAATAAATCTTTTAAAACATCAGTCAATCAAATGGCGGCAGTCAGATGCCAGCACGGTGACTGGTGGGAAAGAGTGTTCCTGAATACGGAGCCCTCCTCATCCCCCGCCCTCCACTCCCAAGGAGCTGTCTCTGGGGTTCCTTTATGCAGGGAGCGGAGCCAGGCGGGGAGAGCTTACCTGCGCCTCTTGATCTGCTTCGTCAGGTATTTACTAATGGAAGCGTTTTCAAAGCCATAATACTTTTCCCAGAAGATGCAAAGCCGTTCATATTCCAGGACTAATTCCAAAACGGTCCGGAATCCCTGAGCGGTGCTGAACTCTGTTTCCCCGCTTCCGTGCTCCCAGGCATACACCGTCAGGAGTTCTAGGGCGTACTGGGCGGGCAGTGGCTTCCCAAGCTTCTCCTTACACTGAGAAGAGAAGTAATGAGCAGCTTGGGCTTGTCCAGCTTTTGTGTAAAGCACATCCCCGTGGGCCGAGACCAGCCTGTCACTATTTTTGCAAGTCAGTCGTCCTGGAACAAAGCCACGCTCATTCATTCATCCAAAGAGCGTACGGGATGCTTGTCACAGATTAGCTAAAGTCTTGCGAGTGAAGACCCAAATTCAAATAGCTCTGCTGCTTATCAGTTGAAAGAACTGGCTTATAGTTCTTTCTGTAAAATGGGTTTAATAATAAAACCTGCCTTTACCCAGATCACAGAATCATCATCAAGATCAAGTAAAATGTAGGATTTTCAAAAGTAAGGGGAAGAGCATATCACATTCACAAAAGATTTGATTCGACGCGCCTGGCACATCACACACATTAGCTCTGATCGAGTGTACCTTGATTAGGGCCAGCTATAGACCAGGCACCTCTTTCATGCGTTGCTAGTGCTATGCCATGCTGCTCTTTGCAAATGAGAAAGCAGAAAGCACAGAGAGGTTAAGTCACTTGCCCAAGGTCACACAGCCAGGACGGGAACAGAGGGGCTGTGACACGTTTGTTTGAACGCAGTCCTTTCTCCCCAACTTCTTCTCTTTTTTTTTTTTAAGATTTATTTATTTATTTGTACAAGCACTGGGTACAGTCAGAAGTGCAGGAGGGTGAGAGAATTCACCAGAGCCAGAGTGGGGAACAGAGCAGGCAGAAGGACCGAAGTACACTGCTGAGGGGAGCAGCGGGCGGCAGGAGAGGTCTGCGCGCCATGTGGGACCCTCACGCGGTGGCCGGGGATTGAACCGGCGCTGCAGAGGCTGTGGGCAGCTTCGCAGCCAAGCGCTCAACCGCTGCGCCACTGGGGAGGCCCTCTCCCCAACTTCTGAAGAGTGTGGTGGGCTCTGTGGGGGTGTGTGCGGGGGGGAGGGTGATTGTAGCATTCATGAACTCACTCAGCGATTACTTACTGAACACCTACTAAGTGCCAGGCACTGTTCTAGGGTCTGTTGTGAATGGGAACGTACAAATCCCTTCCTTCCTGTACATTTTTGTGGGAAGACAGAGGATAAATAAACATAAAAGCAAATGCAAAGGTTCGGAGGCGGGAGGAGAGTTTCCTGTTTAGAAGAACAATGAGGGACACCAAGGCCTGGGGGTAAGGGGTAGGGATGGGGGTTCAGAGAGGTGGCGGTAGGTCCTAGGAGCCCTGTCCTGTGGGAGGGCATACCTGTTGGTACCAGCACTTGACCAGGCGGATGAGGCTCTTCACCTTGGTGGGCCGCCGCCTCAGGAAGGCTCTCTGCAGCTCCGTGAAGCAGGGGGAGAACTCACCCTCTTTCCCCAGCCATTCGCACTCTCGGATGAGCCTCACGTAGATATCAGGGTCCGGTTTGCCGTCTCCAGACCACTGACCTGTTAGGACAAACCTGTTGGTTTAAGGTGCCAGCTCTTCCCTGAGATCCCTTTATGTGTCTGGGGAGACAAGTTCACAGGGCGTGGGGTACAGTGGGAAGGGCAGCAGCCTCAGGTTCGGAGGTCCGTCCTGGTCTCCATAGCCCGTCCAGGCCACACCTGCCCTGTCAGGATGGTGGCAGAGCTGCTCATTGGTTCCTCCATAATCCATCTCAACCCAGCACTCAGAGGCCTTTTTTTTTTTAAAGATTTATTTATTTATACAAGAACTGGGGTATAGGCCCGAGGCACGGGAGGGTGAGAGGATTCACCAGAGACAGAGCAGGGAGCAGAACAGGCAGATCTACTGAGATACACTGCTGAGGGGAGCAGCGGGTGAATCAGGAGAGGTCTGCCTCGCCATGTGGGATTCTCCCTGGCTGGCCGGGAATCGAACCCGCTCTTCAAAGGTTGAGGACAGTTTCACAGCACTGCGCTCAACCTGCTGCACCACTGGGGAGGCCCCCAGAGAGGCCTTTTAAAGTGTGGCCAGGCCATGGCCTTTGCACTTGCTGCTTCCACTTCCTGGAACCTCCAGATCTTACCACACTGATCCCTTCTCATTCCTTGGACCTCCGCCAGATGTCACCTTCTCAGAGTGGGGTCCTCCCTCCTCAGCCTGTCTGAGAAAGCCTCCTGATCCCTTCATACTATGTTATATCTCTCTGTTTAGTTCTTTTTCTATAATTGCATTATTTTTATTACGATAGCCATGGTCCACAACACTGCATATGATTTGGGGTACAGGTTCACACCTCCTCAGATACATGTTCCAACACCACCCCACCACCAAAGCACCCATAACCCTCTACCACAGGCCATTGCCCGCTCCCCCCAACTTTGCGCTCCATGCCTCTCCCCCTCTGGTAGCCTCAATTTCATCATGAGATTTCTAGGGTTTGCTTCAGTTTTGTTCTGTCAGTTCTTTTGTTTAGTTTCTCTAAAGTCCACACAGGAGTGAAACCATCCAGAATCCTCCTTTCTCCTCCTGTTTGGTTTTATCATAGCAAGGATCACTCTGTTTCTCTTGTTTATCCTCAAGGCCAGAAGGGAGGGTGCTTGTCTGGCCCACTCCTGGCCCCAGCACAGTGCCTGCACGTAGTAGGTGCTCAGCGGAAAGTCTGCTTCTAGCCGCTGCTTGGCTGTCCCCCGTCCGCCCATCCTGCCTCACCTCCTGTCTGCTGCTCACACTCGGCTGGGCTGTTCTTCTAAAGCACAAACCTGGCCGTGTTACTTCTCCACCGGAAGCCCCCATCACTGTGCAGTGTGTTCATTCCAAGGCGACGGCAGGATCAGCTGTCCAGGTGCATTTCCAGGCCACGGCCTGTGTCCACCCCGCTGACCACGGCGTCCTGCCGCTCCCTCCCTACATGGACCTCCTCTAACCCCTTTACCTGCCCTGTTCCCGCCGGCAGGACCCTTCCTCCCTCTCTCGTTTCCTCTTATTGTTTGGTAGCCATTGTACATCAGCACCCAACACAGGACACGCCGACAGGAGAGACGCAAACACCCTCGCTCCCAAGGCCTTTCTCAGTTCAGCCCAGACAACTTCAGGGCAGCAGTTTGCGTGATGTCCGACAGGTGTCGCTGTTTCCCCGGAAAATTTATTTAAAATTTTGTGTTTCTATGTTTTGACATCGTTGTTCATTTTTGTGCAACGTTTGATTTCCCCTCTCAGGTGTTATCCCCATAAAATTCCCGCCACCAAGACACCATAAAGCATCACCACAGAGTCTGTGCTCTCCCCTGCCCGGCTGAATGTCTCTGAGTTACAGTTCGCCTGCTAGTTCCATCTTTTTTCCTGGAACAAGACAAGGATGTCCACTCTCACCGCTGCTTTTCAATCTAATGCTGGAAGTCCTAGCTAGAGCAATTAGGCAAGAGAAAGACATACAAGGAATCCAAATATGGAAAGAAATAAAACTTTCACTATTTGCAGATGATGTGATAAGATATGTAGAGAACCCTAAAAACGCCATAGAAAAAACTAATTAAAATAATAAACCAGTTCAGTAAAGTAGCAGGTTGCGAAGTCACCAAACAAAAATCAGCAGCCTTCCTATATGCAATCTATCTGAAGAAGAAGAAATCAATAAAGCTATCCTGTTCACAATTGTTCCCCTGCCCAAAATTGAAAACCTGGGAATAAAATTCCCTGGAAAATTTAAAATAGAGACTGTCCCCCTGTGGTCAGGGTGGTGTCCTGGGGTGCCTTGGTGCACAGTGCAGGAGCTTGTATTTTTCTTTAAAGATTTATTTATTTATGCATACAAGAACTGGGTACAGGCCAGAGGTGTGGAGGGTGAGAGGATTCACCAGAGACAGAGTGGGGAGCAGAACAGGCAGAGTGAGTGAAATACACTGCTGAGGGGGTTAGCGGGGGAGACAGGAGAAGTCTGTCGCACCATGTGGGTAGCTCCCTGGCCGGGGATGGAACTGAGTGGCTGCGAATAGCTTCATAGGCTTCGTGTTAACCCCTGTGCCACCAGGGAGCCCCGGGAGCTTGTATTTTTGATACGTACTGTGTACCCCAGGCCCTCAGTCAAACTTTAATGCACATGATCATTTAAAAAATAGTATGACATAGGTCATGCAGTTGCACCAGTTTTCCTGATGGGGAAATTGAGCCCCAGAGAGGTTATGCTTCCTGACTAAACGTCCCTGCAGATTATCTGCAGACCCCAACCTTATCATAACTCTTAATGTTATGTTTCAGATAAAAGGTGAACGCAAATGAACTCGACTTACTGACTTTATGCCAGGTCTATGCTTCCCCACTTTTAGAAGGTAAAATTCACATACTTTGCTTTAAGTAGAATCAGTAATCCTGGCAGGCTTCCTGTGAGAAAAATCTGGCCCCAAATCGGGTCAATTTGCTGCTTAATGTCACTTCTATGGCTGATTATGACCATGTTCATTCTTGCGCCAGTCACCGCTCCACCTTCAAGGGATGCCCTGTTCTGGCAAGACTTTCAAACTGTGGAAGAGTCTACTCAGAAATATGAAAAGGAAGAAAGAAGCCCACACCCAGCACAGAGGCTGAAGGCTCGGGAGCCTGAGAGCACTCACCAAGGGCATCGAAGGCGGGCAGGACATCAAACTCCACGCCCTCTTGGGGCCAGACGGGGGACATGAGGGTGAAGCTGAGGGCACGGGGCCTCTCAAAAGTCTGGATCTCAAACTTCACTTTAAACTTAAAGTATTTCTCTCTTTGACAGGCTTCCAGCTGTCTCCTGATCTCCTTTATGAACTCTCCTCGGTGCTCCAACTGCTTCTGAAAACTTGTGAGGGGGACTGAGGAAGACAACAAGGTCAGCATCAGATCGACCTCTGAGGGTCGTGCCTTTGCCCGAGGAGCCGCCCTGAAACAAGTGATGAGGATGAGAACGAACATTTATTGGGAAGAGCCTTCCTAAATAAAGGGATGTGAACAATCACTGAATCTGCCTGGCACAGCCTGGAGGGGTTACCCATCTTGATTCCTATAATATTCACAAGAACTCTATGATTTATGGGCTATTATTACTAGTTTCCTCTTCACAGAGACACTGGATTAGCTCATTCCCACAGCTAATAGCTTGTGAAGAAGTGATTGGGACTCTGGCTGCATGTTCCAAAGTCTATGTTCCTTATTCCCTGTCCTTCACCATCTTCTATTATTTTAACCTCTGGACTGGCTGGAGCTGGGTGAGGTACATGCATTATTTGACTTAATCTACACAGTCCTATAAGGTATTAGGGATTGTACTTGAGGAAGTTGAGGCACAGAGAGGTTAACTAACTTGCCCGAGGTTGCACAGGCAGTAGATGCTAAATGCCTTCAAGTTATACTTTCTTACCCTGCCTGCGAGCTGTCAGGCAGGCTCTTATATCTTCACTGCCCGGTCTGGGTGGCGTTTGGTTTCGATTTCCCTGGGAAGGAGGAGCCCTGCACTGCACTTCTGCAAATAATCCACTCTTTGGTTCCTGCAACTGCCCTCCCCCAACTTTCCCCACTTCCAGAACTTACTCAGTCCATCAGCCCTTTTTTCAGGCTGCATTCTGGAAATGTTGCTTTTCACTGGGCGAGTCCCCATCCTGGCCATTAATCAGCATTGTTCAAAAAATTATCGCTATAGGACCTCACTCAGAATCTATTTCACAAGCTGCGGTTGTATTCTGGGTATGGATGAATGAGAACCCACCCACCCTCGAGACCGCAACCTTTCTCTCTCTTTCTTTCTCTGTGGAATCTTGCTTGTGCAGCCACCCTGCCCTGGTCCGTCAGCCTGGGCTCACCTTCACCACTTTTGACACCCGCACTCCTTCGTCGGGGTCTCGAAAGCACCTCTCCTTCAGGAAACTGCTGATGATGTGGATGGCTTCCCTGACGTTTCGGCGGAAAGGCGTGTCTGGCAGGAGATTGTCTTCTATGAACTTGTCCAGAGATCTGGCCGGGGTGTCGCTCAGCTCCATGACGCCGCCGGAGAGGGACAGGAGAGCTGGGGGTCTCAGAGCTGGCTCCTGCGAGCTGTCAGGCAGGCTCTTATATCTTCACTGCCCGGTCTGGGTGGCATTTGGTTTCGATTTCCCTGGGAAGGAGGAGCCCTGCACTGCACTTCTGCAAATAATCCACTCCTTGGTTCCTGCAACTGCCCTCCCCCATCTTTCCCCACTTCCAGAACTTACTCAGTCCATCAGCCCTTTTTTCAGGCTGCACTCTGGAAATGTTGCTTTTCATCCCCTATTTAGTTCTGCACCTAAAATAAAACACATAACTAGAGACATTTTACTTCCTTCTTTGTTGTTGTCAAGTCGGCTTTATAGTCGCCTGTGCCCTTCCTAACCGGGAGCGGAAGATCAGGAAGCAAGGAAACTGTGACGCTGAAACACAAAGAAAACCCTGTAAACACCTGGATGGAGAGATTTCAGGTATTTTTCTAGGTGACCACACACGTTCATGTACGCACATGCCCAGCTCTCTTTTCTTAATAAATGGTGTCATGCTCTAGTTGGCCCTTTTGGTTAATGGACTTTATTTCTTACAGCAATTTTAGCTTTACAGAAAAATCAGAAGACAGCACAGAGTATCCACATGCCCCTCTCCTCTACAATTGATCTGATGTTGTGATTACCCAAAATCTTGCAAATACTTTCACTGCTCTAAAAATAGCCTTGCTCCACCTGTTCATTCCTCTTTGCTTAGATCTTTCTTCTTTTCTCATATATTGCTAGAAACTTCCACCCAGGCATCACTGGCACTGCATCCTACAAGTTTTAATAGGTTGATTTTTCCTTTCATGCAAAATATTTAAAATTTTCTCTTGAGATTTCTTTGGGTTAGTTAGAAGTGTGTTATTGATTCCCCAGATACCTTCCTTGTACCGATTCCTTGTTTAATTTCATAGTGGTGGAGAGGATACTTTGTACGAGGTTGCGTCTGTGGAATTTGATGAGGTCTGTTATCCCGCCCAGAATGCTATCCGTCTTAGTGACTGTTCCATGGGACTTGAGAAGTGTGTTCTGTTGGTGGATGAAGTTGTCGCTACATGCCAATCAGTTATCTTTCTTAGCCACCCTCCTGTTTACCAGCTAATCAGTTCATTGAAGGAACTGGCATCTCCCACTCCATCTGTACAAGGTGACTCAGGACCCCTGAAGGACGGGAATGTCTACGGAATACTCACTTTGCTCTCCAGTTTGATTTCATGTCTAGCCAAGATTCCGTTTGCTCCCACATCTCTATTTGGCGGTTGCACCTGTTAATGAAATATCTACTTTGCGCTAAATGTATAAACAGACCCAATATGGGTGACAAGAAATCTGTCCTTAGAAAACCAACATTGATTACTTTGGAAAGATGCGATAAAGGTAAGTTTCATACAACATGACTTAGAATTAGGAGACAGTGAAGCAACTGAAAGACTGAGGAGCTAAGAGGACACACTCAGTGTAAGTTCTTACTCCCCCCAGAGAAACAAAACAGGAAATTCTAGACAGATGGTTCTTGCGTGTTTTATGCAAAAGAGGAAACGCAGGTCCCCATTCAGACAGGCTGCCCTCAGCCAAAAGGCCTAAGTCTTTATTGAATGAATGAGAAATGAAGGCACGTGTGTGGGCCCTGGCAAGTGAGTTAGAGAATCCTAAATGTAATGTCCTACCAACAGAGTCAAAGACCTACAGGGGGAAGTGACTTGCTCAAGGTCACACAGCAAGTTGGGATCAGAGCCAAGCAAAATCGATCTCTCGTGTGCATGGACGGGGATGTGTTTCCATGGCGCCCAGATACATTACCATCTTATTAGGCCAATGGCCCTGGCAAATCCGATTGAGCCAAGGAGTCATCAGCCGGGCAGGGTCCAGAGTTCGAAGTGTTTGATAAAGTTGGCGGCATGCCCAGTGGGCATTGCTGTCACTGGACTCTTGCCTCCCCCTTTCTGGGGCTTCACTCTTGTCAGCCCTGATGAGAGACCAGGTTTCGGCAACTTGATGTCACCTCTGGATTTGGTTCTGGCCCCCATTTTTCAGAGGAGTAACTGAGACTCAGAGACGTTAGGTTCCAGGCTAGAGAGTGACAGTCAGGACGTGGAGCTGGAGCTGAACTGATTCAAAAGCAGGTGAGCTCTTTCCTGCTCAGGGGCTTTCTACTGCACCCCATTGTCCCTGGCAAAGTGTTTCATTGCAATGAGGGGAGATGGGGGAGGCCACTTAGCTGAGTCAGGTGTAACTGACCTTAAGGAAGTTTCCTCCTGTATATTTGTCTCTGTCAGACGTGTCCCCCAAGATTGAGGAAGGAGAGCACCTGATTTAGAGATGGAAATTAGGCTTCATTTTCAACGGACTGGTGGTGGCTACCAAGAAGCCTGTGTTAGGGAGGATTCAGAGGCAGAGGTAGCTAGTGGGCTCTGAAGGAGAGATGCCATATTGATCAGTGATGTCTGCCAGTATGGCCCTAATTAGCCCTGTCGCCTCTAGTGCCAGCTGGGGGAAGTGTAGGAAAAGCAGCTGGACTTCCAGGGCAGAGGTTTGCAAGGTCGTCATGGAGGTGGGAAGCCCAGGCACCACCAGGCAGTGCTTTCAAATATACACCTTATTCCCAGGGCATGGTCGAATCTGAAGGGCGAGGAGAAGCTGGCCAGCAGCGCATGGGCCATTTGAGAATATAATCTCCCCTGGTGATTCTAACACGCTGACTTCTGCCCCAACACTAAGAACCATCCCTTTGGGGGGTGAGGAAAGGAAGTTGTCCCCACTTGGAGTCGAAGTTTTGCTTGGATAGAATTAACAGCTCCTTCCGGGAAATCACCAACATCCCCAACAAATTGCTGAAGCAGTACTAGGACAGATGATAATGGGGTTAAGAATCTTTCTGGGGCCTCCCCTGGTGGCGCAGTGGTTGAGCGCTGGGCTGCGAAGCTGCCCATAGCCTCTGCAGTGCCCGTTCGATTCCCGGCCACTGGGTGAGGGTCCCACGTGGCACACAGACCTCTCCTGCCGCCCGCTGCTCCCCTCAGCAGTGTACTTCGTCCTTCTGCCTGTTCTGCTCTCCCCTCTGGCTCTGGTGAATTCTCTCACCCTCCTGCGCTTCTGGCTATACCCAGGGCTTGTATAAATAAATAAATCTTAAAAAAAAATCTTTCTGGAAAGGTAGTTCCCTACACAGCTCACTTTCAGGGCCATTGAGAACCCAAGTGAGAGTCTATCTGTGATGCAGGATGGAAGGTGCTGGAAGACAAAGGTGTCTGGCGATGACGCGCGTTATTAGTCGGTGTGGTGGGAGCACTGCCCTGGGAGTCCAGTGTCTAGCTACTCTCCCGGCTCTGCTGCCAGACCTGGGGTCTTCCCTTCGCGGGGCCTCAGGTCGTCCATCTCTCAGGGAGTTGATGGAGCTCAGCCTTGACATGATCTGACTCTTGCCACTTGGGGCTTTTCCGGGAGGTGGAGGGAGGAGGGGGAAGATGAGGTCGCTGCTTCCCTGTTGGGCGGGCACCAGCAAAATGCACTCTGCCGAGAGGGTCATGGGGGCAGCCGGGTCCACCCGCGCCCACCGCCCAAGATGAAGTCCTCCAGGGAGCACACGCCACGTGGGCAGAGGCCACCTCTGTCTTGCTCGCGAGGTACCCCAAGGGGCGGGGACGCAGACGCTGACCACACACCCGTGATCCAGGGGGCAGTGGCCCGTGGGGAGGGAGACCGTGGGAAACCACAAAGGACGCACGCAGGCCGCTCGTTCTCCGGGGAACTCCTACTTTATTGGCTACATGATCACAGGGAGAGGCAGTGGGTTCCGCATGCACGGGGCCGGGTGCTCCAGGCAGGGGCCAGTTACGCTGTCGGGGAGAGCGAGCCCCGACGGGCCCGCGAGCTTGCCGCATGCCGATGCCAGCGCCAGTGCCAGCCTGCGGCTCGGGCAGCAGCCAGCGTGCCTCCTCCGAAGGGCAGACCGTGGGGGGGGGGGTGGAGGGGGGCGCCGGGGGACCGGCTGGCACGGCGGAGGGGCAGCAGGAGGCTGCCGGCCATGGTGGGGAAGGCGACGAGCTTACAGTTTAGAAAATGGTGATTCGAGGCAAGAAATCCTGTCTTCTGGGGACCCGGGCGGGGAGCTGGGGCGGAGGCCCCGGGCCGCAGGAGTGAGAATCTCGGGGCCATCCGCGGGGGACCTCTGCAGGTGCTGGTGGCGGCTCGGGCACACCGGGGTGGTTTGCACAGGGAAGACTGGCCGGACAGGAGGGGACCAGGCCTGCTCGCGGCCCCGACCGCCGCCCCAGGGCGGGTGGCTTGTCTCCACTGCCCTCCTCCTGGTCTGTTTGGTTTTTTTTTCTTTTTTAGGAAGAAAGACTGGACAATTCATGGCGCAACAAAAACCTTTGGTGTCGGGATCTGTCACTCTGAAGTTTCAGATCCATGATGATTTTTCCTCCTGACAAGCAGAGGACAGAGGGTGGAGAGAGAGAGGGGAGCGGGCGACAGAGAGACTCGAGGCGGTGCCGGTGGGAGGCAGGAGGAGGGTGGGGCGGGAACAGGGCGCAGGGCAGGACCCACTTCTCGAGGAGCACAGGAAGGAGGCCGGGGGCAGCCGAGGCCCCTCACCCCTCACCTCTGCTCTGAGTGTCTCCAGCACCACCAGGGGAGGCCAGGGCCGAGGGCCCCCCACAGGGTGTTTACACAGCTTTTGGGGCACTGCCATGCACGGGGGGGGGGGGGGGGGGGGGGGGGGGGGTGGCCAGCTGCCAGCGCGGCCCAGGGCTCCTGGCTCTGCAGAGAAGGGTGTGGTTTGGGAAGCAGAGGCTGAGCGGCCCGCGGAGCTTTGCCAGTTTCTCAGAAAGTGCTGGTCGGCTGGCGCGGGGAGGCGAGAGAGTGATGTCAGTAGATAAGGTTTTTGCTTTTGCTATTTTACCCCCGTTGCTTGGGAGGAAGCAGAAGGGGGAGGAGCAGAGAGGAGGGAGGAGCAGCAGGGACCGCAGGAGAGCGGAGGGGTGCGGGGGAGCAGCCAGGAGAGGGCACACGTTGTGGGCTCTGCTTTTGCTACTAAGCAAACAGGGGGCGCCCTGAAAGAGGGGGCTACTGAGGCCCCTCAGGTACCTGTGTGTCCATTTCTTGGTGTGTCCAGGGCCAGGAGGATGTGTGCCTGGTCCCCGGGGAGTTTAAACACGGGTCTGCTTCCCTAGCAACGGGGGTGCATGTTGCAGGAGGGGGTGGGAGCCGGGGGCTCTGTTTCTGTCACAGCCCGGGGGGTGCTGACAGCCGGGGGCCCACGCACACGCAGGAGCCGGAGCTCTGTGTATCTGTCCACGGCCAAGAGGGTCTGAGACAGTCCTGGAGGGTGAAGAGCCTTTGTGGTCCACCCACTCGAGGGAGCTCTGACAGCCTCCCGTGGGGTCTCCCGTCCCTCCCCACCGCTTCACCCTGGGGACCGGACAGGGGCTGCGCCCAGAGGCTGTGCCTCAGCGTGAGGGGGGAAGGTGCCCACCGAGGGGCCCTCAAAGGCGGGGTCGGGGAGGCTGGAGAGGGCGCAGGCGTACAGAAGAGACCAGACAGCAGTGGGCAGCTGGGGCAGGCTGGGGGGACCTGGCGTGGGTGGGGCGTGGGGCCGGGAGCCGGGGCTCCCCGTTAATCGCTTGACACGTGGTTCTCATTCTGAAGCTGGTGCCAACGCTCGATCTTCTTGTCCTTGTTCTTCAGACACTCGTACCAGTGTTTCAAGCGCTCCCCCTTGGCCGAGATGCCCAGCTGGCAGCCTCCTGGAGGACGAGGGCGGGTGTCAGGGTGGAGGCTGGCCGCGAGGGACGTTCATCCTGGACCCAAATGTCTAACTGGGGCAAAAGCGCCACCAAGCAGCGACCCTCCCTCCAGCGGCTCTCCCGAGTTCCCCGCAGAGGGCTGTCCTGCGGCCGTTACCACCACTCACCCCCGCTGCCTGCAGACGGCCTCCTGGAGCACCCCAGGGTGCTTGTCTATTTCCCAGGACCTCCCAATCGCCACTCCCGGACACGACTCTCCTGCTTCTGGGAGCCTGTCCGGGTCCAGAGTCGGTTTCACCACTGCCCAGTCCTGCCTCGACACCTTCGCTCACCTGTCCGCCTGCTGGCGCTCCCTCCCTGCTCCAACTTTAATGCCAGCTCGTCTTTATCATCTGGAGGGGGGCTGGGAAGGTTAGAACCTTCCTGGACTCACAAATAGGCTAAGGAAACTTCCTCTGTAACTGATTTCTGCAGAGCCCACCCCTCTATCCCCCGCCCCTACTCTCCAGTGACCTAATTATCCCACCCGAGGACATCTGTGCAGCAGATGACCCGTCCCGACCCGAGGTAAGCCCTTTCATGTGCAGGCACATCCGAGTCGGACCCCAGTCGGCACACTGGGCCCAACTCGGTGTTTGCACAATGGGGTTGGCCAGAGAAAGGCGAAGCTCTCTACCGTACCACCCGGAGACCTGGAGAAGGCGCACCTCTCCCGGGAGGACGCAGGGGTTTCTCGGGGAGCCGGAGCACTCACCGATGTAATCGTTGGCCTTGCCGATGTCATAGTCCCACACAGAGATGTCCAGCGACTTCTTCGCCAGGTCGCTATGCTTGATGTCGTAGAAGAACTCCTGGGTGTGGCAGAGGAGGGTGAGGGTGAACGGGTGCGCTGAGCCCTTGGCTTCAGGAGCCAAGAGACCGGGTTCTAGTTCCCAGGGGAGGACCGTGCACTGGGCTTGTGGGAGCGCGGGCGGCCTTCCTGCCCGAGACTCTACCCCGAGCCCAACCATCTGCTTTCCACAAATACTCCGTGTAAGGCGCTCTCAGGCCCAGGGACTCTTTGCAGTGACTCTGTTTGAAATTGGGAGGGATGGTGGGGCTTTCTGAGAGGCGGCCTTGGTGAAGTTCCCTTGAGGCAGGTGGCATGAACTCAGTCCCTCCCCCCTCACCGGTAGCTTCTCAAGCGGGTTTCCTCGCTATCCTTTAGAGAGTCAAGGTAGTTACGGGGTTTGAAATTGATACAAGGTGCTTCTATTTCCAGAAAATCTGATTTTCTAGATACATTTTCTGCCCAATTATAAAACTTATTCATGTTCCTTGTTAAAATAAATGAAGAAGCGAAAAACAAAAGCAACCCAACAAACCAAAACAGAACCCAAACCTGTCATCTAACTGCCCAGGAATAACCACTGTCAGCAATCCCCAGGCGTGACCACACTGAAGTGCTGAAGAGATTACTCATACTGAGTCTCTCAGACTGTGACTTTTGCCATTTTGTAGCACGTGGAAAAAACTGAGCATGCTGGTGTTTTTCCCAGCCTGGCATTTACCTGCCACCTGGCTGTACCGTAACCTAATGCCCAGCAGCCGAATATTTAGGCTGTTTCCAGTTTTCATCATGAATGATATGATAGAAGGTCCCTGACATTAAGTCACCATGTCCATCCATGATGATTTATTTAGGGTACACTCCAAGAAGTGGATTTCTGAGTTCATAAAATTTTAAGAGAGAGAACAGTGGCTATACACCGAGAAACTATTTGTGTACAATAAAAAAGTCCACCATGCATACATTTGGTTGTGGATATATTTAAATCCTGGAGCTGGATAATGTTGTTTCAGAGGAAAAGAAGTAGGTGCTGGAAGCTGGGGCAGGAGGAGAATTTAGAATGGACGCCCTTTCGTGTTTTCTGATATGTGACTATATTGCCTATTTCCCAAATAAATGAAAATTAAATTTCAAATTCGTAAGGCTCCTGAAGTGTTTTGACAAACTTCCCTTGAGAAGTTGGACTAGTTTGCCATCTCTCCTGCAGAGAGTATGTCTTTCCATACATATTCACCAGCACCGGGGGTCAATATTTTACAGTACTTTTATGCTGGTTTGTGAGGCGATAAAATGGTATCTGGTCTTGACTTACATTTTCTCAATTGCTAATGAGTTTATTGACCATTTAGGTTCCCTGTTTTGTGACTTGTTCATACTCCAGGAGAGGGGTGGATAAGTCAGCAGTAATTGGCTCATAACTCAAGAGTCATGAGTCAGAGCTATTAAACCAGCTCCAAGAGGAACCTGGGTCTAAAAGGGCTGAAGAAACTGGTCAGTGGTTTTCTGGGTCCTGCTGACATAGTGCATTCCCCGTGCATGTGCATATTTTGAGAAAATGCTACAACACAAAAAACATACATTGGAGCATCCCTTCCCCACCTTGCAATATTTGGTAAAAACCAATAGCAGTCGACTCTGGCCTAAAGCAGATCATTATGTTGCACAGATATTTCTGGATTTCCAGTATCTCCAGCTTGTCATCAGATAATTGAAATCCAGAGGGGCAGCATAATTCAGAAGGATGCATAAAGCCTGGAAGCACAGAGGAAACATCTGCAGGGATTAACACACTGAGTCTTGAGGGTTGAATAGGAGTTTGCCAGAGGGAAAAGGAAGTGGAGGGAAGTCCAGGAAGTGGAGCAGCAGGTGTGACGGCTGAGAGGTGTGCTGGGACCTACCTACAGCTTAATGTGATTTGAGGAAGGGGGTATGAGGGGTATGGGGTGGGACATGAGTTTGAAGGGACTTGATTTCACTTTAAGAAGCTAGGGAGCCATTTGTAAGTTATTGAAGCAAAACTTAGATTCATTATTTAGAAAGTTCCTGCTTATGTGGAGCATGGGCCAAATGCAAGGAAGAGACAAGATTCATGAGTCAGAGTCTGCAACAGTCCAGACATGAAAGGCCTGGCAAGTAACGGTGAGGCCACAGGAAGAAGCACAGTCAGTGGGTATCCAGACAGTGGCTGCAGTGGGCCTAATGCATGGATGGAGGCAGGAGTGAGAGATGAGAAGGAGAGGGTGGCACCAACTGGTGGAAGGTAAAGCGCAGCACCCCCATCTATGCCCTCACATTTCAGTATTAGAGATTATTAGAATTGGTAAAGACATTAGAGATGACTTAGTTCAATCTCTCCAAATGCAGCTCCTCCTGCAAGGCATTCCTAATCTATAGGCTTTTGATCTAAGCTTGATTACCTCTGGTGACAAGGAACTCACTACCTCCCCTCAATTCAAGCTGACCTATGAGAGGATGCTTTTTATTGATCTGCATTCCAACTTCCCCTCTCACACAGAGGACATATCCTAGAGAATGACAACAGTGGGACAGCCTTACCTCATTAAATTCAGGATTCAGGGTTTTCTTCTTAATTTGGGTCTTGTGTTTGGCCTTCTTTCCCATGTCTGGCTTCAGCCACCTGAGAGGAGACACCGGAGGCTGCTATGGGTGAAGTTGAATAAGTAAGACTAGTCTTTGATGACCCCACTGACTCCTTCCAGTGTCAGAGAACAATCAATGAACTAATCAGAAAGTGAACAGACACTAAAGGTGATCAAAGTGCACTAGCACATCTCCCAGCGCCGGGCATGGCGCCAACACCTCATTTTCAATCCTCTGCAAACTCTGGGCAGTAGAAATACAGCCACCCACTTTGCAGACAAGGCAACTGAGGGTTGAGAAGTTGAGATACGTGCCTGAGGTCACACAGCTGGGTCTGAAGCCAACTACTGCCTCTAAGGTCTGTGGTCCCAGTCACCACTTTCTCCTAGTGGGTTAAATTGAGACTCTGGATGGTGGTGCCCGGTTTTCACCATCGACCATCCCTGGGCTGCTCCCAACTTCTGGGGAGAGGCCATTTGTATAGACAAAAAGGAGAAGATATAAATCGAATTGTTGTCATTCTTCTGCTCAGAACTATTCTGTCCTGACCCTTTGTCCTCAGGTTCAGAATCCTTGGTGTGGCCTTCAGAGACTGTGTGGTTGGGTCCCTGCTCCAGACCAGCCTAATCTGCTCTTCACCCCACTTCTCACCTGCTCTCCTTTCTACCAAGGCCTTTTCACAATGCATGGCACATAGTAGGTGCTCAATCAAGATTTTCTGGGACATAAATAAAATCAGCTAAAACCTCCTGTCTGGATTCCGATTCGAGCTGCCACTAGCTGTGCTACCTCGCGCATGAGTACAGCTGCAGCATGCCTCAGCTTCCCAAACTAGAAAGAGGGCAAACATCTCTTCCTGACTCACAAACCTGTTTTTGAGGATAATTTTCAAGAAGAGACACAAATGGGAAAACTGAAAGGTAGGAGGGGCTGAACAAAAATAAAGGGCAATCCTGACTTTCAAAATCTTGATTTGATCCTAAACTGATTAACAGCCTCCTGTTTCCTTCCCCACAAGGGCCCAGGGCAGCTGTTCCATTGCAACTCTAGCTCTTCTCGAGGGATGGCGTAGATGGGAGAAGGAGCTGGGAGGATGGTGCATGGGATTTAGTGGCGTGTAGGCCAGTAGCCTTGTGAGATAATTTTCTCTATTGGACCACATGAGAAAATAACATTAAATTACTTCTGGAAATCAACTCATCCCTGACATGTGTCCTTGTGTTGGCTAAATCACCATTCAAAGAAAATCAGGACAGTTGACCGACCTGCTTTTTGCCATGGGATGAAGGGGCTTTCTATTACCAGTGGGCGGAGAGTGGGGGAGAAGCACAGGGGGAATTGGTCCCAGACTGGAGAAAATATTAACACATATTCTTTGCCATGAGTGAGAACAGTGCTGGTTGTCGTTTATAACTGCAAAAGGCAGCATTATTGAGCACCTACTAGGTCCCAGGCCCATGAAAATGCTCCATGGTCTACAACAGCCAGGGGTGAAATGGATGGTCTAGTTGCTGGGCTCTGAAATCAACACTGTGTTCTCACTGTTCTCAGCCAGTACCCGAGTGACCGGGACACTAGGCAGCCACCTTTCTGGGAGATGCAGGCTCCTCCAATAGCTGTTGCATTCAAGGATGCCCCACGACTCCAGATGAAGCTTTTTAGGAACTGCACCACAGTCTAAGACTCTTCCTTCCTTCCTGCCTCCCTCCCCTGCTCTTCCACCAAGACCAGACCTGCGTCAAGACCTGTTGTCTCCACCAGACTCCTCCAGCTGCCTCCCAATTTCCCTTTGCAGGGATCTCCCCCAACACATCCCTTGTATATCTTATCCTGTCGGGGTGTCAGCTTCTTGGAAGACATGACCAAATACACAGTATAAATCTTCCCATTTTACAGATGAAGACATTGAGGCCCAGAGGTGTTAAGGTCCAAGCTGAAGATCACAAAGTTAGAGAAATTCTGAAGACACTGAGAGCTGAGATCCAACACAGGCAGTTTGGATCCAGAGCTGGTGCTTGGGGTTATATCTATGGAACACAGCTTTGGATGCCACAAGGCAAGAGAGAATTCCACTGAGGGTATCTAAACATTTCTGCACCAGGCTCAACTCTAGCTGGGTATGTATGTTATTTCATTTGAACATTTTGCCCCCCCCCTGGAAATTAGTGGGACTATTGTCTTCATGTTGCTGATGAAGAAACTGAGGTTCAGAGAGGTTAAAAGTTACACAGCAAACAGCTGGCAGAGATGGGAGTTGAACTCCATGATTTGATGGTGGCTGGAAGAATGTGCCTGGTAGACCTCTAACTATGGGGCCATAACTGACATGGTCCTCCATGATGACACTTGGAAATCCATGCCCATGGTGCCAAGGCCATGACCCCAGACAAAGGCTGGAAGATGACTGTCCCTTTCCCACTGGAGGATACAGAGCTGCACACCTTCTCAGATGAACAAGAGAGACACTAGTCATTCTTGGGCACTAGTCAGTCCTGGGCACTAGTCAGTCCTGGGCATCTGTCTCACTGTGTGACCTGAGGTAGGGCCTTCCCTTCTCTGGCCTCGGTGTACTGTGATTTGGGGGAAGCAACCCCATTCTCCATTCCTAAGGATCTAAGACCCCCTCTGGGACCCATGCATGGCACAAGTTATTGACTCACAGCTTGACAAATGGGTCTGAGTAGCCATTGGCGTCCATGGCAGCCAGGTGCACGCAGCGTATGATGCCCACAATGAGGCCGCCCTGTTGTGTGCTGTACATGAGGGACACCAGGATCTTGCCACGTTCCTCGATGTCACCAATACGCTCCACCTGCTGCAGAAGGAGGAGAGGGGCGTGTGGGCCCAGGAGGGGAGGGGCCAGGCAACGTGGATGGCAAGCGTAGGAAAGCACTGAGGGAAAGCGCCAGTGCGGGCAGCACCTCCAGGGAGGAGCAGGTGGGAGTTCAGAGGACCAGACCCAGGCACACAGGGTCAGGGTTTACTTTGGCTGAGCCATGGACTGAGCTGTGACCCTGATGGATCCCAGGCTGATCCCTGACTCAGCTCAGACCCCCTCCAAGCCAACCAATCTTCTCACAAGAACAGTCCTGAAGCCACATGGGGATTTGGGCAGAGGACACCCATGATTTGCTCCACCACAACCTGTGACACACGGCAAAGGGCCTGCCCTACATCTCCACAGAGGGAGCATGGCATTGCCCTAGTTCCTCGGAATTATCAGCACGGTCTGGAGAAGAACTCGAGTGTGGCCTGGGTATGAGAGGATGGGGCACCCAGATCAGGTGCTCCAGGTGTGGCGAGCAGCCAGCTAGCCTCAGTTCTAATGCCCTGGGCAAAGGCAGCCTTCACAGAGATCCAACACGTGCCTTTGGGAGCAAGAGTGGGGCGGGGGCCAAGGAGGGAGAAAAGGGCGATGCCATACCCCATGTGGCTCCACTCCCCATGCAGCGCTCACCTCCTCCTCATAAAGGGCCATGCCTCGGGCTGACCCAGTGGTGCCGGCACGCTTCATCTTAGAGGAAGAACAGAAAGGAAAGACATGTCATCTGTGGGGCTCACCACCTGCATGAGAAGTTTCCCTCACCTCCCACCATGACCACCCAGAGCCGTGAGGGAGGGTCTCTGGGCAGCTGTGGCCCTACCGCTCTTCCTATTCTAGGTAAAATTTACACAACTCTCACCATTTGGCGTCTTAATGTACGACAACCTGTCACGGAGTTTGTCTTAATGGCCCCGTTTTGCAGATGAGGACACAGAAGCTCAGAGGAGTCAGGCTACTTGCCCAAGGTTGCACAGTCAATAGCTGGCAGAGCACCCCATACCAAAACCAGGTAAGGTTTCATCTGCTGTGTCCCATGGCACAGGGTCCTGGGTGTTTCTTCCCCCAAGGCTCCTAAGACCCTTTTGCAGGATTCTAAGGCTCTGGGAAACACAGCTTGACAACTTACTTGTTAAATCCAACCTCTTCCTTTTAAAGATGAGGAAAACTGAGATCCAGAGGACAGAGTACAGAAGGCCCTGTTTTTGGTGGGGCATGTAGGGGAGTTGGCAGTGGCAGGATTAGAGGCAAAGAGCAAAAGAACAGTTCTGTGGCCACTGCAGGTCTCGGCCTGTCCTGCCACCTCTGTGCCTCCGATTGGCGAAGACCCAGTTGCTGACGGTTCCCAGCAGGGGCCTGGTCACCCTCCTGATAACTGGACCAACTCAGTGAAGTGGGGGTGGGGGAAAGCGGAAAGAACCAGCTGTTATCAGGCCAAGACCCCGAGAAAAAGCTTCCTGCCCAGGGTTGTCTGTAAGGACGTGTTTGGCGCCTGACACGCAGTATAAATTCTTCCTTGCAATTTTCTTGTTGTGTTTTGTTTCTTCGCTTGTGCTATAAAAATATGGTACGGCACACGGCTACTCCATCCTGAGCCTGGCCATCTGGCAGGAGGACGCTGCAGGGATCCCCCTCCTGCCCCCATCGGCTTCCCCAAAGGTTGCTGGCCCGCTGCCCCAGGGGAGCAAACCAGCCGTGGTTGCAGGAGGGCTGGGCTCTGGCCAAGGCCTGACAGCACAAGCCCCACCTTGCTGTGTGACCTTAGCAACTCGCCTCCTCCAGTCTTTGTGACCCTCCTAGCCATTACCTCCATCTGTAAAGAAGGGCAAGTTGGAGCATCTTCAAAAATATAAATGATTGGGTCCCAGCCAACCCCATGAAGTCAGAATTTCCAGGAGAAATCGTCACAAGTCTTAGTTTGCAAGGCTCTGGTGTTAAAATATGCAGCTGATTCTGAGCCTAATTGGACAACCTCAGTTCAGTTGGGGAACCTCAATGTGGCTCCTGTTCTTTCTGAAAAGGTGAGTTCCACATCTAACAATAGTAGTTCCAGTGCTTTCCAGGTACTCTCACTTTTAATACTTAAAAGATCCTATGAGGTTGGTACTGTATCATCCCAAATTATAGGTGAGAAAACTGAGGCCCAGAGAAGTGAACTAATTTTTTGCCACAGGTTAGATCAGAAGAGGCAGAGCCAGGATTCGAACCCAGGAAGCCTGGCACCAGAGTCCACGCCCTTAAGCACTAAACTATGCTGCGTCCCATTTACCTGCATGGTGCTTTATGACTACATGACTAGCGGGGGGGGGGGGGAGGCAGTATTATCTCCTCTAGTAACACCAGGTAGCAAGCATGAGTGCTTATTACATGCTAGGTTCTGTTTGGGTCATGTCTTCCATACAACCTATGAGGCAGGCACTAGACTATCGACCATTTGATGGACAAGAAAACTGAGACCCAAAATAGCTTCATCCCTCAACCAAAGTCAGGGCAAGTGACAGAGCTGGGTTTGAACCCAGGCAGCTCACGCTGGCACACCGCACTGCCCTGCCCAGCTTTGCCAAAGAGCACTCTGACATTCAGGGAAGAGATGCTAACACAAGACTTGGAGAAGACCCAGCCAGGATTCAACCCCAAATGTCCTGGCCGGAAATCAGCCTCGGGGCGACAGCAGCCGAAGCCTCTCTGATGCCTGGTGCCTTGTAGGCTTATTCCCCCCACTTCTGCAGGCCTTAAGGAAGGGAGAACCCCCCAAAGTACTCCCCTACATCCAACCGCAGGCCAAAGGTACTCACTGGGATCACCCGCTCCAGGCAGATATTGAAATTCTTCCTCTGGTTGGGCTTCAGTTTCTTGAGTGAGAATCTGGTCTCGCCGATAAACTCGTTATGGCCAAATTTGTCTTCATCACAGACAGAGATCCTGGGGTTGACATCAGCGGTGGGGAGAGAAGAAAGAGCATGTACTGAGCTCCTACTTTGTACCTAGAGCTGTGTTGAGCTGGCAAGGACTGTGCACTGGGCACTGGAAAAAAACCCATTTCCTATTTACTGAGCATGAGGTCAGGCCCTTTATAGTACTTTGCTGCAGTATAACTTGTAAGTGGGAAAGTGCACAAGTCTTGAGTTTATAACCTGATGGATTTTTGCCTATGCATACACCCATGTCACCACCACTCACAAAATACAGAACATTCCAGTCCTTGTGACCCTCCTAGCCATTACCTCCCTCCAAAGAGAACCACTATCTTGGCCTCTGGCACTTGCACTCATTGTCCTGTTTCTGACCTTTGTATAAATGGAATCGGATAGGATGCACTAAAGCTGAACGTGGACACACATGTACGTGCATGTGCATGTATATGGATGACTCAGTCATTACACTCTGAGGTGGACATGCAACAGAAATGCCTGCACCCAGAAACAACTTGTAGAATGTTCCTTTAAAAAATGTTCCCAAAGTTGCATGCCTATGTTTATTGCAGCACTATTTATAATAGCTATGATACGGAAACAAGTCAAATGCCCAAAAAACAGTTCACTGGATCAAGAAGATGAGGACTATATACACAGTGGGATAGTACTCAGTGATCAAAAAAGGCAAACTCATGCCATTCACAGCAACGTGGATGGAGCAGGAAGGGATTGTGCTCAGTGAAGTGAGTCAGAAGGAAAAGGGACAATACTGGATGTTCTCACTTATAGGAGGAGTACAGGGAAACTGAACAAAGGGTCAGGAAAAAAAGGCAAAACTTGCAGGCAGACCATAGATGTGAGGCACCCAGCAGGGGAGAGGGAAGGAGGGGTCAAGCCAGGGGAGGGCAGAGCACAAGGGACTGTGGTGATGGTGCAGGGGTGATGGGGTGGGATAATTATGGGGACTGCAGCTGAGGGGACAAATCAAATATTGTATAAAAAAGAACAATGATATAAAGAAAATAAAGATGTTTAATCAAAAATAAAGAAACAAAATGAAGAAAGAAAAATTTAAATGTCCCCAGCAGCGCTATTTATAATAGTCCCAAGCCAAAAACTACCCAAATGCCCACTAGCTGCAGAGTGGATGAAGCTGTGTTACATTTTCACAAGGGAACACTGAAGTGTGATAAGAACGAACAGTCTACAAGGACACACAAAACTCAGATGAACATCACAAATAATAAACAAAAGAAGACAGACGCAGAAGAGCCTGCAGTGCGCACTTACATAAAGGACCAAGCCAGACTGAATTAATCTGTCCTGGGAGAAGTGAAGACAGCGAATCCCCTGGGGGAGAGTCCTCACTGGAAGGAGGCCCCAGGGGCTGCTGTGGTTCTGGAATGTTCTGTTCTCTTATTCCAGTGTGTTCATTTTGTGAAAATGCATCAGCCTGTACACTCGGTATATGTCTACTTTCCTAAATGCATGGTGGGATGTGCTTGGAAGAACCAAGTTGAAAAGCAATTTGCATGTCTGTAAAATTAAAACACATACACACACACACACACACACGTCTCTGTAGGTTTCCAGGGTTCAGTAATAAGGCGCTTGCACAGTCCGTGGTCAGTGCTCTCTGCAGGCAGTCTGCAGCACGTAAAGCTTGGTGGCTCTGTTATGTCTCCTCATGGCTATTACCCCAAGATATGCTATTAAGAAAAAAGGTAAGTACCACACAGCCTGGTACTTCCGTGGCGCGAACACTAGCTTGTGTGTGTGTGTGTCATATAAACAGGCACACCCTCCCAGAAGGAGCAAAGAGACCCAGGCTGGAGAGCGGACTCTCATCTCCAAGGGGCTCGAATTACTATTTCTTTATACTTTTTACAAGCAGAATGTATTTATTTCCTAGATAATTTAAAATGCAACTTAACACAGCCCTGCAGAAGAATGGGAGAGGGCACCAACATATTGCCAGATGAAAGAGGCTGATCAGCTCGCAGGATGGTCCATTGTTACAAACAGTCTTATGAACACTCAGTTTCATAAAACAAACTTCTGCACACAGACACGCGCGCATCACAGATGTCCAGATGTTAATACCTAACATTTTCACTTATTTGTATTTGCAAAAGTTTCTACCAGAAAGATATAATGTTTTGTAGCAGCTTAAAATAAACCAACTGAACAACCAACCACATACAGATATGTTTAAAGAGGGCATCCCCCACCCCCACCCGGGGAACTGCCCCCACCCCCTACCCCCCAGCCTGCCCAGCCTCAGGCCCCTCCCAGCAAGCACCTGAGGGTCTTTCGCTGCATGTCCTCGTCCGTGATGCCATGATAGACGAGAGTCTCATTCCAGATGGGATTCCGGGTGTTCCGTAGAGTTTTTGTACGAAGCTTATTGGACTAGAATCCAGAGAGATGGACAGACAGTCACCTACCTCAGAGGGGAGCAGCTCAGAAGCCCCATCTTTGCAGCTGATTGGGGTGGGTGGGTGTCTTAGGCGCCCACTTCCCTTAGAAAGTCTAGGGACTCTGTTTCTCCCAAATGCAGGCTCTCAAGGAAAGGGGGTACGCTCTAGGCTGATGGCTGTCATCAGCACTAAGGCTGGACAATGGCTCACCCACCCCCTTTGAACTTCCATTAAGATTAAAAAGCAGAGATGTCTTCCTTTGAGAAAAAAAAAATCATCTATAGGCTAGGGAGGCAGAAATGAGAGTCACCTCTCCTAGGCAGTGAGGGAACAATTTCTGGGAATTATTGGGATGATTTCCTCTGTTTCTCTAAGTAGCATTCTCCGTGCTGAAATTCTTTTGAGACAAAGTGTTCATTTTACTTGCAAAGAGGTTAGAAATACATTATACCCAGAAGAGATTGCCTGGAGACCAATCTAATTCATACTAACATGTAAATGACTGACTAGATTCTTTGGCAAAGCAGGCAAAGTTTGGATTAAGGCGTGGGTGATAGAGGGTCTCAAGGAGAAGCAAACATGGCTGGGAAGCTAGAAGGAGTCATGGCCAGTGACTTGACAGCTGGGCCATGGCCAGGTGAAGAACTGTTTTCCCTCGATTCAAACAAAGAATCATTGAGATAGTGTGTGTGCATGTGTGTGTGTGCATCTATGCCCTCTCTTGTCTGATGGAATGTTTGATACTCATAGAGATTTTTAACAGTCATTTTCCCAAGATCAAGTAACCGAAGGCACCTTGTTTTCAAGACACCATGTCCATTTAACACAACAAAGCAAAAAATAAAGACGGCATACTTCCGTTTCCAGCCACATGTTCTGAATGGGTCAATCCAGAGACAGAATTACCCCACTTTCCCTCCCCAGAGCAAGGGAATGATCAACAGGAAGGGCAGCGAGGGGCGGGAGGGACAGGGTACATTTTCTGTCTACAACAGAACAGTATCTAAAGGGGTTAGCCCCAAAATCTTCTATTGCAAGATGAGGAATGTTTGGTTGGGGCATAAAACGGGGGGCTTGATCAACACTGGGGAGTCACTTGAAGGAATCTGAGCAGGAGAGGGGCTGTTGGCAGCTCCCTGATCCCAGGTTTCTGGGTTGGAGGTGAGCAGGGCCCCTGCTCCTTGAGGGAGAATAATTCCCGGGCCACCCCTTACCCCTTGCAAAGATTTTGTCATGTGTAGTGGGAGGGAGCATTCAGGCATTCAGGCAGAGAAGGCTATTTTAGGCCCTGAACTGGGAACCTTGGGTGCCCGCCAGGCCCATGTGCCTGGCTTGCAGTGAGGCCCAGGCCATCTGGTACCTTGCTGGCTCCTGGCAGGAGGTGCAGCTTAACATAGGGATCAGCCAAGCCATTGGAATCCATGGGCTTCAGTCCCTGCAAGAAAAGGCAGTGAGTGGCGTGAGGACTCGAGAGGGCCAAGCACTCAACAAGGGCCACAGCCCCTGGCATGTTGCCTGCCTGTGGGTCCACCTTGTGCACTTCCTCTCAGAAGATGAGAAGGAAATGCAGGATCATGGAGAGAGTGCTGGAATCAGGCAGACAGGATTTAAAGCCTTGTCACTTCCTGGCTGTGTGATCTTAGGTAATTTTCTTAACCTCTCTGAGTCTCATTTTCCTCACTTGTCAAATGGGATGAGATCAGTGCCTGGTTAAAGCTAATTACACCTGTAAACTGCCGGCCTGTAATAAATGCTCTGTCGAGGCTGGATGCTGTTGCTAGGACAGAAGAAACTGTTCCAGAACAGGAAGGGTTGGAGAGAGGGACACGCCAGGGCAGGGAGACCTGGGTTCTGGCCCTGGCCTCTGCACTCACTTCTGAGACCTCAGATTCTCCATCCAGAGGATGAAGACCACAACCTCTGCTGACTCCCCACACAGGGATGGCATGAGGGACAAATGAGACACGGGGCTCAGACACACTCTGTCCCCCCCAAGCCCACCTCCAGGTCCCCACTGCCCGCCTCCCAGCACTCATCTGTGTGCTGTACCCTCTCATCTCCTTGGGTCTCAGTTTCCTCATCTGTTGAAGGGGCTGATCTCAGGCCCTGCCTCCCAGGGAGGATGAAATGAGATCTCAGTGTGCAGACTGAGCTCGTGCCTGGCATACGGGAGTGTGAACAATGTTCACTATGATCAGGAGGGGAGAGGAGCCACAAAGTGGGACATGGGGTTGGGGGTGGCAAGAAGGCAGGGCAGCCTCGTGGGTGAGTCCAGACTGCCACGGTTCAAATCCCAGCTCCATCACTTCCTGGCTGAGCGAAAGGGGCATCACTGAAGAGCTCTAGGCCTCAGTTTCCCCATTTGTAAAATGGGAACGATGATAGAACCTTTCTTATAGGTTGTTTCAAAGATAAAATGGGACAAATGAATGTGTAGAAAGTTCCAGACTGTTTAATATGCGGAAATGCTACCGAGTTGGTTTCGTGTCAGTGCCCCACTGAGAGCCATGGGGGCAGGGCCTGTTCTTGCCTGCTCTGGCCCCCCAGCGTGCAGGCCCTGCCTGGGCAAGATTGGTGTTTAATAAATATTTGGAAGGTGAGGTTGCGAACAGGCAGACGCCAAGTTTTCAAATTTGAATTTGAATGTTTTGGGGTCAGGGCCCCTCTCCAATGTCTCTTTCCTTCTCGCCATTACCAGCCAGCCCATGAGCATATGAGCTTCCTGCAGCCCTGGGTCAAGGGGCCTGTAGTGTGGCTTCTCCCCCCACATTTCTGCAGCTGGAGAAGGAATGGTTGGTTCAGGACCTAGAGGGGCTCTTCCACCAGAACTCACCTCCCTCGCGGCCTATGTGACGTCAGGCTTTAGCTCCTGAGCCTCGGCTTCCCCAGCGGGACACTGGGCTGATGATGAGCCCTTCTAACAATGACTGCATGAGGCCGAAACAAGATAATGCGTGGACTTGCCTCACCAGGGTATGGGGGAGGGAGGCTAAATGCATCTAAGTGCTTTCCACAGTCACTGTACACAATAGGTGCTCAGTAAATGCTTTCTGAAGAAGTGATGGGGAGTGTCAATCTAGGAGTTTCACAGCTCGATTATAATCCAAACTGGGACTCTGTATGAGTTGTGTGTGGGGGGGCTCTTCATTTTCACAGCAGGTGACACACACAGGTGGGGACAGTATGGGGCAAACCAGGCCACGTGGCCACCTACAGTTAATACAAGCATCCTGTGGAGAGGCACTATCGTGGCCTCTAATTCATCAGTGGGTACACTGGAACATGGAGAGGTTAAGTACCACCCCCAAAATCACACAGCTAGGAAGCAGGTGAGCTGGTATTTGAATTTGAGCCCAGGAATTCTGGTTCCTGAGTCTGCCTGGACCAGACTTGGGGTGGGGGATTCCAGTCAATTCTTTTCCGGAGTTCTCACCGGCAGCATCAGCTTTCCTGGCTCATGCCGCTGGAGTCTGCCTTGTGGAGATGCTCTTCCACCCTGGCTTGCCTTTCCCGCCCCCTTAGAAGCCCACACTGTGTCCTAGTATCTGCAACAACCAGTCTCTGACTCAGCAGAAGTTTCGTGGCCATGTCAGCTGTCAAGCCAGATTGTCATTGCCTCCCGGGCTACTCCTCTGTGGTCCCCTCCAGAGACAACGAGCACCAGGCTGAGCAAGATCCCATCCCTGCCCTTGTAGCCCAACTGTCTCCCCTCCCAGGAGACAGCTGCAATTAAGCAAAACCCCTCTGGAACCATCCCCAAAGGAAGCCCTCCTCCAAAGGAATTGGCCATGACTAATAGCTGCCCGCTTCTCATCACTGTCACTTTCAGATAGACAAGGCAACAGAGAGGAGACAGGCCTGCTAATCCATGCCCTCCCTCCCCAGCCCCCTAGAAATGCTGGGGCAGCCCTAATGGTCCCCAACTTCACCTGCTCACCCACCTTAGCCTTTATGATGGTGCATTGTAGGGAGCTGTTGTCCTGGTCGTACAGAAGGCTGAACTCCAGGGCACCCAGGGTGGCTGAAGCGGGCAGAATCAGGAACCAAAAGAACATTCATTCAGTCATTCAACAAACATTTCCCAAGTACTTACCATGTGCCCAATCTGGGCTAGGCATTGAGGAAGACTCAGACCCTGCTCCGGAAACCCCATCCTGGCAGGCCCTTCTCTCTCTTGTTTGGCCTCCAGCACATCTGTAGTCAGTTAAACATTTGTACAACTGCCCAGTTAATAACTTCCAGTCCCGGGAGATCAAGAGACCCCTGAGGACAAGGGTGGTCACTGTCTTGTTCACTCCAGCCTCCCACAGTGTAGGGCACGTGGCCAGTTCTCCCCTACTTGCTAAAGGAACAAATGGGTCTAAGCATTTGCTGTTGTCTCTGCCTGGAATTCTCTCCCTCTAGATCCTCACAAGGCTGGCACATTCTCATTATCTGTGTCCAGTTTGAATGCCACCTCCTCCAAGAAGTCTTCCCTGGACACTCCATCTAAAGCAGCCACTCTCTAGTCATTGACCCTATTTAATTCCTTTCATGGTGTTCTATCTCTATTTCAAATGAACCTTACATCAACTGTTTCTCTCCACCAGAATGTTAGTTCTGTTCGATAAGCCATCTTGTGTGTTGTTTATTGCCAAGGTATCCCTAGTGCCTAGAACAGTTTGGTGCACCTAGTAGGTTTTCAATAAATCTTATCAAATGTAGCAATGAGCAAGTAAGGAGTCCAGCACTGAATACAGAGACAGGCTTGGAACAAAATGCGGGGACAGCTCGTAATGAGTCAGACACAGGATGAGAGTGACTGTCTATGCGGGCAGATGGAGGAGCAGCGGCTGCAGCACCAGGCAGGAAGGCCAGGAAAGGCAGGGAGGTGGGACCAACAAGGAGTGTTTCCAGCACAGAAGCTGCCCGAAGCAGACAAGGGGGAGATGCACTCCCCGAGTCCTATCCCCTGAGACTGCAGACTCAAGGCCCATGGGAGAACATGCGGAACACGGGCCGCTGGCGCTGCATTAGGTCTGGCCTTGACCTGCTACAGCAGTGCAGTCGGCGGCTGGGCCCTCACACGCTCGCCTGCGAGCCAGGTAACCTGTGTGGCTGCGACACTGAATTACAAGGCAGCTACTCCCAGTAAGAGCGACAACTGGGGAGATTAAATGAGCATTTAGAAAAGTGCCCGGCACAAAATAAGGGCTCCGCGAGCTTGACCTCCGTAATCGTGATGTGCGATGGCTTCGTGACAACTGCCCCTGGATACGCGAGCCTTCTGGGAACCGTGACCTTCCCAGGAAGCGCTTCAGTTCACCCTCGCCCAGCCCTGCTTGGGGGCCATATCCTGCTTCCCATTTTACAGGAGGAGGGGGACATGCCAGGCCACGCCGGGCCCCCTGGACGGCCACTGGTCCACTCCTGAGAGGCTCCCGTCTCCCGACCATCCAAGGATCGGAACACCCCAACCCCGCACTGACTCCCGCTCATCACGGTCACCCGGTCACCCCACAGCTCCCTCTGCTCCCAGCACACCCAGGCGCAGCGCTGCAGGCCGGAGTGTGGGACAGGAGGGGGAGCGGCAGAGGCACGGGGCAGGCCCCTCATAAATCACCGAATGAACAGACACAAGAGGGAATGTCCAGTAATATTTAAATCATGGTTAAAAAACTACACGTGGATGACACGCATGAATGAGTTTGGGAAGCTGTTAAAATGCATATTCATATAGATGATGTTTCTCTGATCAACCCGTGAACCCCTGGGCGGGGCATGGGAACGCAGCTGTGCTGCAGTCTTTAAAACAGTTCAGATGGAAACGCTGATATTCTGTGTATTTTGCCATTTTGCTGCGCACGCACACACACACACACAGAGCACCTCGTCTTTAAAGAACTCCGTTAATGCATGGGGCCTGGGGGTACACCAGGCTGTCCCTGGGACCATTCCCGTTTCTTCGGGGGCAACCCTTGAAGTGAAACTTCCAGACACTCTCAAAAGGTGCCACCTACTTGCTTCATCCGAGTCATAGCTGTTGGCTTCCTCCTCCTCTTCCTCCGGTGGTGGGGGCTGGCGGGCAGGGGTGGCAGCAGGCTGGGGGGCAGCTGCAGATGCTTGGGAATAGGGGCCAGATGGGTGCCCGGCTCTATCCTCTCTGGCTCCAGCTGCCGAGTAGCCCCCAACTCCCCCGGTTCTCTCCTCCCGGGCAGGGGCGGCTGCCCCTGTATAGCCGGGGTCGCTTGGAACTGCCTCTGCAGGGGAGATGAGGGAGGGCGGGAAGGAGGCAGGTGGCCCCCAAATCTTAGCAGCAGCAACCACTGCAGGGTTAGCACAAGTGATGATCACCTACTATGTGCGTACCAGGTATCTTGCACCCATCACCCTGTGACAGAGGGTCATCACTTGCAATTTACAAAGGGTGGGGCCTTTGTAAAGCCACCTGGGGAAGCGTGCTAAAATGCAGGTTCCAGGGCCCCACCCAGAATGAGGGGCTGCAATGTGGGGCTTTTGAATCTGTTTTATAACAAGTCCCACAAGGCTTCAGATGCAGGCAAAACAGCCTCATGTTGGGGGTGGGGGGTGGGGGTGATCAGCAGGGTGGGCTCTGGAGCTGGACAACCTGAGTTTGCATCTCAGTTGTGACCTGGGGCACGTGGCTGGTCTCTGAGCCTCAGTTTCCTCATTTGTAAAATGGAAATTCTGACGCCCAGAGGAATGAAAGGAATGGTAGCTAACGTTTTAAAAACGATCTACTATTTGTGCAGCACAGCACAGGGCCTGGTTCGGTAGGAAGCAGTAAGTAGCAGCGGCTTCTGACCACGACGCAGACAGCATTTGTAAGAGTCACTGTCACTTAGCGTAGCGTTAGTATCTTCCCGGCCCTGTCCTGAGGTTGTTTTTTTTTTAATGTCTCTGTTTGTGGCAGCCAACCACTTACTCTGTGGAGTAGGTCCTAGTGTTATTCCCATTTTAAAGATAAAGAAACTGAGGCTCAAGGAAGCTAAGGGACTGGTCCGGGCCACAGCTAGGACTGGGAGCAGGGGTTTGGGTCCAGCAGCTCGCGCTTAGTCACCATACTTGGTGTCATAGTCCACGTGTCTATCCTCAGCTTAGACTCTTTAGGGATCTGATAATAGGGAAACGCCCTAGAGCAAATCGACTGGGGCTCAGGGTGCAGGCCAGGCCAACATCTGGCAGCCCCCTGCTTTCTCACGGGGACGGGGGGAGGTGGCCACTTGGGCAACACTTGCCTGGTCTCTGGTCTGGGAAGCGCCCTGCTGGCGCCGGGCTGGGCCTGCCCCCTCCTGGAGGCCCTGAGAGGGGGAAAGAGAGAGAGGGAGGCCTGGAGCAGAGTAGGCAGGGTCACCCTCAGATCCACCCTTCTCCCCTGGGGTGTGGACACAGGCCCGGGGCCACAGGGGCAGAGGAAGGGCCCAACTGGGGGATTCTGAGGTCAGCAAGGATGGAGTCAGGCCTCCCTGCTTCCCTCCTCTGTGAAACGGGAGTGGGGGCTGGGCGCGTCTCGCTGGCTGTTAGGAGATGGATGAACAAGGCGGGCAAGCCCAGCTCGGAGCTGGCGGCAAGTGTAGGCTCGGAGTCCTCCATGGCCACAGGGTCACTGTCTGTGTACGGGATTCCTCACGTGGGCACTCCCGGAAGCACAGGTGTGGGGCGAGCCAACTGGGATGGGCCGAAATAACAGTCAGTGCACTGAGATCAGTGCCTTTCCATACGGACCACACCATCGCGTAGAAAGTCTCACGTGGTGCTGCTTTGTCCTTAACACCACTCTCCCTTTCGTGAATTTCTCTTTTCAACAAGAGAAAAGAGGCCTTGGGCTCAGCCCCTGCAGAGGACCAGAGCACTGGGAACACTGGGGTCACAGTGAGTGAGGGGCTGGTGGGTGGGTGAGTGGCAGGCTACCTGGTTCCATTTCATCACATTAATTTTTATAATTTCCCTCTACATTGGGTCAGATTGTGTTCCCCAAAAGAGGGGGAAGTCCTAACCCCCAGTCCCTGTGACCTTATTTGGAAAGAGGGTCTTTGAGATGATCAAAGATGGTCAAGAAGAGGCCATTAGGGTGGGTCTTAACCCAACATGACTACGTCCTTATAGACATTTGGATGCAGAAAGAGGTACAGAGAGGACGGCGCCCAGGGAGGAGACCATCTCCAGGCCTGAGGCCTCCAGAAGCCAGGAGACAGGCCTGGGGCACTCAGGAGGAGCCAGCACTGCCAACTCCTTGATTCTGGTCTTTCAGCATGTGGAACTTTAGGCAATAACTTTCTGTTCTTTGAAGGTACCCTTTGTTCTTTGTGGTACTCTGTTATAGCAGCTGCAGCAAACGAATACACTCCACTCTTTCTGGGATGGCATGATGGCTTCTGACTTATGTCCCTATTCTAAGCTTCCTTTAAAATCACAAGTTTTTAGCTGCACCAAGTAGGCATTATTTCTATTGTTTTACATACTCCTAATTTGTTGCGCTGTCCCCTTATTACTAATCTCCTTGCTCACTGTTTTTCCCTGAATCTCACATAGCCTTCTGGGAATATCTACATTTCTATTCAAGTCTGATGTTCCTAAACTTTCTCTGAGAGAGCTGGTGACGGCGACTTCCCTCACTTATGTTTTTATAGTGAGTCCATTCAAAGAAAAATATTAAGGAACTAGGAGGGTGGGTGTTAAGAGCGTGTGGGAAAAGCTGTCTAAGTGGAATGCCGATTGCTGAAGGTGGGAAACGCTGAGAAAGGAGTAGTCAAGTAGTCACTTCCGGCATGGAGGAGGAGAAAACGCCTCCCCTTCTGCACCCCTATTCCCCTACTCCCCGCTTGGCTTGCCAGCGGAAGGATTACTCATTGTGAGGGTCTTAGAAGTGCTTAGAATTCATATGGCTACAGCTTTGCAGAAAGCCTGGCAGGCTCTGCCAGCGAGGATGGGAGGATAGGAGCCACTGGGGTCACAGCTGAGTGAGGGGTCAGTGGGTGGGTGAACGGCAGGTTACCTGGCTGCCCTGGCTGTGCAGGCACTGGGCTCTGCATGGAGGCGGGGCCGGGTCTGGGGGCCTGGACTGAGTTGGCCCGTCTCAAGCCTGCAGGGGAAAGGAAGGAAAATAGTCTGTCATGTTACATATACATGCACATGTATACACACGTCTGCACACGTGTGCATGTACAAACCCATATGCACACATGTAACATTAATGCACACACTTGCACACAGCGGAAGCATGAAGAAGTTTGCTACTGGTCAGCCGACACGAGGCAATGCCTTCTGAATTACCAGGGTCTGTGCCCAGAAGGCCAGAGGTCCTCATGCGTCCTGAATATTCACCCCCTAACATTAGAGCCGGTCTCATTCCCTCTCCACAGTAAGAAATGAAGCTGCTCTGAGCTTACACACAGGGTTCTGGGGCAGCTCTTCCCAAGCTAGCAGACACTTCTCTCCAAGTCCAGGAACCAAGGGCTCCAGCCAGTGGGTTCTCTTGCCAAATAAATCCACCATGAGTGAGGCCAAAAGTTTGGCCCCTGCTGGGATGAAACTACTTATGGGTGCTGCCCTGGCCTTGCTGACTCAGCCAGGCTCCATGGACTGCTCCATGGACTGCAGCAGCCACCTGGCAAGGGAAGAAAGCACTTAGGTGGACCTGTGAGAAAGAAACATCTTTACTTCACTCAGAGTCAGTGGCATGTTCCCCCCGGGGCTTCTTGGGAAAGGAGGGAAATCGCAAATAGCATTTGAGCAAGAAAAGGCTATAACTGGAATCATGGTAGAGTCAGAATTGCTTCTGAACCCTGTCTTTCCTCTACCATGGGCCAGCGCCAGCAGTGAGAATGAACACGGCCCATAGTAGGTGCTCAATAAGCACTGGGCAGCTAAACAAATGGAAACACTGTCCTGTCCATTCTCTCCCTTCTCCTCCTCCAGGACACTGTCTGGCTTTGCCCCACTCTCTCACCTGCTGGGGTCCGGCTGGTGTCACCTGCAGCACCCCCGCCGTGGCCTTGGTCCCAGCTCTCTGGATCACGGCTGGATGAGCTCATTCGTGCCTCAGAGGCCCTGCGCACAGGAGGCCCGTGGCTGCCTCGTCCAGGAGCAGAGGCCGGGTCGGGGCCTGGAAGGGAAGCACGCAGTGATGGAGAAAGGGCACCGGAGGGAGGGAGCAGAAAGAACAGCCCATCCCCAAGGGGAAGACAGAGTCAGCAGAACCCACCTGTCTTCTGACCCAGGCCCCGCCTGTCCTCAGTGTCACCTGGAGAGAAAAAAATGAGGCGAGTACTTGTTTTATGGTGTCTGGCGAGCTCACAAAGGGGGCCCCCCCCACCACTTCCAAGAAAATTTTTAAAAAATTAAGTCTCCTCCCCACCTCGTCTTGGATGTAGCTTCTGTTTACAATTTCCTATATCTCCCTTGCAGATACAAACACAAAGGCGTGCATTATAAAGAACCAGCTGGGATCACTGGCTATGTACTCTTCCCCCAGGACTGATGTCCCCCAGGACTCAGTAAGCAGCCTCCAACCTCCAACCCTTTGCACTTGGTGGCCCCGCGATTCCCACTGGGCACCCTCTATCACTCAGCTGGATGTCTCCCCAAACTCTACCTTCTCTCACTGCCCTTCTCTGGCCAAAATGGAGCTTCTCATGACTACCTGTCCCCTTTACATGCTGCGTTTTCCTCCCCAGCACTTAGTACTACCCAACAATACAATGCATTGATATTTATATTTGCTGTTTGTTGAGCATCTACTTCCCCCACTAGGATTTTAAATACACAAGGGCAAGGAATTTGTCTGTCCCATTCACCTCTCTCTCTCTAGGGCATGAACTGGAGCTGGCCCTCCACTGGAGGTGTTCAGTAAATGTTTGCTAAAAAAAAGTCAAAATCACATATCATGGCCAGGACCGTAACTCTTTAATACGATTTTACATTATTCCAGCTTCAAAGATGCTTAACACACCATGGTGTGGATATATTACAACCCATTCAACAATTTCCCTATCAGTGAACATTTAGGTTTCTCCAGTGTTTGTGCTGCCACAGATAATGAGGCTATAAATAGACGGATTCACGTATCTTTTTACATTGGTACATTTATTGCTGTTAGATGTATTCCCAGAGAGGCCTTGCTGGATCAAATGTATTTACACTTCAAATTTCAACTCACCTCCCATATTACTTTCCATAAGCTTGGAGGTGATAGTTATAAAGTATCTACCTACATGCATTCTCCAGCACTGAATGTTATTACCAATACTTTTTTAGGGTCACTATGCAATGCTTGTGATGTTACTCCTTTCTAATGGGGTAACAAAAACCATATCATCAGAGTTGACCTGAAAAGCTAATCCTGACATTTATGTATGTACATGTCTGTGTGGAGGTGACTGACATTATGTAATGTTAGCTAATGTTTCTAAGCACTACACTCAGCAAAGCACTTCATATACAGTATGTTATTTATTCCTCAAAATGACCTAGTGAATTACTAACCCCACTTTTATTTTTTTATTTTTTTAAAGATTTTTTTATTTATGTATACAAGAGCTGGGGCACAGGCCAGAGATGTGAAGTGGGGGGGGGGGAGGAGTCACCAGAGACAGAGTGGGGAGCAGAACGGGCAGACTGACTGAAATACACTGCTGAAGATAGCAGCGGGTGAGACAGGAGAGGTCTGTTGAACCATGTGGGTTGCTCCCTGGCTGGCCAGGGATTGAACTTGTGTTGCAGAGGCTGTGTATTGCTTCATAGTGTGGTATTTAACCCCTTGTGCCACCAGAGAGGCCCCACTAACCCCAGTTTTAGATGAGGAAAGAGTCTCAGATAGGACAGTCCACTAGTCCAAGTTCACATGGCCAGAGCTAGAATTCAAATTCAGGTATACTGGGCCTCAGATGTCTGAGACCTTGATAATTATGCTATACAGTCTTCTTAGCCTAAAGAGAACAATGCTTAACAAGGAAGAAGAGGCTCTAGTTGTGGAAACTAGGGGGTTCCCTAGGAATTCAGGGTATACAGAGAATGCGGCCACTCTCTGCAAGGAGAAGTTGCTCATGCCTTGTCAGGGAGAAAGTATCTGTTGGATGTCTTTTGGGACCAGGTGCTGTACTGGGTGTCTAGAGAAGTTACTTTTCTAGGAAACAAAGTTGGGAGTTTCAGATCTTGAGACCTTCGACTATAACCTCCCTTTCAGAATTACCGCCTGTGCTCAATTCCAGAACTGTCATTCAGGTCAGATTTTATCACCGAGGATTGATTGAAAATACTGCAAGGGCTTTATCTGGTCAGTCCTAGAGGACTCATTCTATTAAAATGTCCTTTCATTGTGGTTGCTGGTTTCCTTCTTATTATTTTGCAATTACCCTTAAACTGTTGTTTTAATAATTAATAAGAATACTTAGATAGTGGTGATCAGATGCATAATAGTGGTAATTGAGGAATTTCCTTTCTATTCATTTATCACTTTTAATTAGTTCAGTTTCATCTTTTCTGGTGGTAGACTGCAGAAATTTCAGGGACCGGGAAGGGCCAAATTCCTTTCAGGTTCCAGAGTATGATTTGGTGGTGGGTGTTTCTCAATTCCTAATTTTAATCTCCACCTCTGTTTTACCTATAAATATTCCATCTGAGATGATAACAAAGCCTTTTGGCAGCCTGGCCTTGCTGGAGGGTTCCCTGTACCACCCTCTTGATAAAGTTCATGGTGAGCCGTGAAGGGGACATCGGAGTCCTAGACACAAGCCCAGAGGTTGTCCACCAGCTGGGTAGAAACGAACATGGGGGCAGGACACCTTCCAGGTAGATCAGTTAGCTAAGATCTGTCCGTGGTCCTGAAAGGACAAATCATTTTGCCCTACCTCGTGTTGGAGCCCGGACTGCGTGCTTGGGCTCAGGGGTGGCCTGCTCGGGGGCTGCAGACTGGCTGACTGGCTGCTGGGGTTTGGCCTTCTTTATAGGCATAGGCTGTGGGAGGACCTGTTTGGGGAAGCCCTTGAAGAACCATGCTCCAGAACGCTTCCACACCTGGAGGAGGAGAGAGAGAGGATGAAGATGTGGCAGTGAACACAACTGCTCCTTCCTTCATGAGTGCCCTCAGCACACTGACTCAGTAGCCAGCACACATTTCTTACCAGTATGTAGCATTACACAGTTCCTATTTGAGTCATACAAGGTCCCCGAAAACTCAATAGAGAGGGCCTACACATATCCACTCTCTTGATGAAGAAACTTGGATATCAGAAAGGTTATGAATGGGTATAAGATCACCCAGTCACAGAGTAGAATGGGCAAAGACTGGACACCAAGTCTTCCACCTTTTAACTGAGGTATGCTCCCTACTTCTAGGAAAATGAAAATCACAGAAACAGGAGAAAAGAGACTCATTCAAACACTCGGGGACTACCCCACCATGTTCTCCGCTGACCTGGTTCCTCCCTTTCAGCCCCTCAAGACACATGCCTGGCCACATGCTCCAGCCCTCACCACCCCATTTCCCTGGTCCTGGACAGGAAGGAGGAACTGAATAGAAAGGGAGAGTGCTCTAGGAGCCAGCTGGGACCAATCCACTCACCTCCCTCTGCTCGATGCAGATTTTGCAGAGCCACACGGAATGTGGGCGGTTGTTGGAGGTCTCCACCCCGCACTTGGTGCAGACGTTCTGGGGACAAACATAGCCCAGAGCACATTCAGACAGGCCTGGCTCTGGGCTGCCCTGGGTCTGGGGAAGTGGCTGGGGAGGGTAGTGAGGAGCCCCCTTCTCCCAGGTGGATGTGAAGAACTAGGACTCCCCTTTTCTCACCTCCCTGCCAGGGCCAAGGTCAGTTAGAATGAAGTTCCCATTGGAGCTTTAATTTCCAATACCAAGAACTAGAGTCATTCCCAAACACTGATGGAAAGGATTTTCTAAGAGGCCCTGTGGGGTCTGAGTTTTCAGCCAGATTGATATGATTGACATATTTTTTTTAAAAAAGGAAAGGTCATATAGACATTTTATCCATTAATTTATTTCTCCTTTCTTCCCAAATGAATCCGAGGCAACCCAGACTAGGACCACAAATTCAACTTCTCGAGGAGAAGGGAGTCATCTGAATTAATGTCAGGCTGTGACGGAACATTGTACCTTTGGCTGAGTTCCCTGGCAGGCGAGACAAAAAGGAAACCTAATAGGTCCCAACATTCTCACTATTGATTGACCGCAGCAGACAAGTTTTTTTTGGGAATAGATCAAATTTCCCCAATATTCCACTCTAAACGCTAACTGGGACTCCAAGCAGGAAATGCCAAGAGACATCATAGAGGTCTCCAGCCAGGTTTTTCCCCTTATTTCTTTTCTTGGGAATCAGGCAGACCGTGATTCCAAGGACAGCCGTGTCTGCTTCGTGGAACTTCCAGGTGCAGACAGCTTGAGGAGAGGGTGAAGGGCAAAGCAAGCAGGGAGACACCCCGGGAGAATAAAAGCCCAGGGTGGTTGTAATTGGGTGGAGAGTGTCTTTTTAAGTCACCAGTGCCAGAGCCCAGTGTAAGGCAATGCTGGGTAAGCCCTCCCAGGACACCCACGTGGAGACACATGCCCAGCACACGCTTCAGCCTGACACATGACTTGCTAAGCCACCACCAGCAAATTTGCAGGCTCAGCCACAGCCCACGTCCTGCCCCAGGGTCCCAAGTTCATCCTGGATGGAGCTGAGCTCCAAGGGTCAGAGTAACCTTGAGGGAGGAACCAGGATGAGAGTCACCTTGGAAACAGCTGGGCATGGAGCATCCCAGGACGCTCTGGCCACCACCCTTCAGGATCCAAGCTCTATCCTGAGACCAGAACCCCCTGGCCACAGCCAAGACCCAGCCCATCTGTGTGTGGTGAGCAGGGAAGTGGGCAGGCGGGCAGCGGTACCTTCTTACAGTCCTCACACACTACGCAGGTGGAGCCCAGCATCCCCAGCTGCTCCCCACACAGGATGCACCGGTTCACCCCGTCCCCAGCCACGTTCTTCCTCATGTTCTCCAGACGGTCCACCAGGCGCCTGTAAGCAGAGGCAGAGATGTGAGGACTCCACAGGGGCACCCGCAGCTGCCACAGGAGAAGGCTGGGGGTCTTGGCCATCTTTGAGTCAGGGAGCCTTCAGTGCCGCTGATGGTTGTTGGGCCCCTCCCCAGAAAAAGGCACATGCACGTGAAATTCAGATACATTTTTCAGGACATGCCAGAGCCCAAAGGGTGAAAGACCCAGCCCTCCCACCCATTGCGATGAACTTCAGATGAAGAATCTTATCTAGTCCCTTCTGTCTCGTGATGCCTCCCAGAAAACTTCCCTTCAGGCTCCAGATCTAGTTGTCTACATGGCATCTTCACGGGCATCTCCAAGGGCGTCTTCAAGGGCATCTCGAGCCTGTGCTTTCTGCGGGCTCGTCACATGCTGCTCTCCACTCCGTGCCCAGCAGATCTGCCCCCACTCTAGGAAATGGTGCTGCCACCCGCTACCTTGCTCATGACAGAAACCCGGGGCCTTCCTTGATCCCTCTCCTCCCCTGACCGTCAGTGACCCACCCAATCACACCCACCTCCCTAGCATTCCTGGGATCCACCCACTTCTCTCCATTTCGACCCCAGCCAAGCGACTGTCCTCTCTCTCCTGGGTAGCTAGAGTAACCTCCCCGGTCTCCCCACGGCCTTCCTCCATCTGTTCTCCCCACCGCCACGTGGTGCTGGTTCTGAGCACAAATCTGATCCTGCCCTGCCCCCTCCACCGTGAAACCTCTGTCCCAGGTGAAACCCCAGACGCGTCTCCCTCCTTGGTCGACTGTCGACGCCCTAGGCCAGAGGTTCTCCAAGTGCGACCACCAGGCCCCCTGCTCAGCAGCACCAGGGAACATGTCAGAAATGCAGATTCTTGGGCCCCACCTTAGACTCAGTGAATCAGAGACTCGGGGTGTGGCCCAGCAATCTATTCTGACAAACCTTCCAGAGGATTCTGGTGCTCAAGTAGCCTTAACTGCTGGCCTCCTTATAGTTCCAGTTCTCCCATCGGCCTCAGTGCTTTTGCACATTCTGTTCCCTACGCCTAGGATATGCTCTCTCAGGCGCTCTCTCTCTCTCTCTCTCTCTCTCTCTCTCACACACACACACACACACACACACACACACACACTTTCCGGCCCGCATCCTCCTTACCCTTCAGATCCCCTGACTCCCTCTCAGCAGCCATCTCTGACCACCCATTTTCTTTGCCTGACAGAGCCCTACACCTCTGCGTGGTGCTGGCCACGTCTGCAAGCGTTTGTGACGTGACCTGCACTGAGCAAGCAGCTCATCCGGGGTCCATCTCTGGCTGCCCCTCTGGACCATGACTCCCCTGAGCCTTGTCTGTCCTGTCCCCTGCTGTGTCCCCAGGGCCTGGTCACCCAGCGAGTGACTGAGTCGGCGCATGAATGAAGAAGGGCGGCCATTCCCCGAATGTGTCTCCAGCACGAGGGAGTCCAGCTGAGTGCCGAGCAAGGCAGCACAGCCTCCACTTGCACAGCACATCCCGCATGCCTGGGGGAGTGAGAGCTCTGCTGCCCGCCCCCCCCCCAGGAGGCAGGCGCTACTCTATGGCCCTGCTGCAGGTGTGGGAAGGAGGCACAGATGGCTTAGCTCAGGGGCCCTTGCTGAGCATGGAGCCCAGGCCAGAAGGAGGATGTGGGGTGGGGATGAGGAGGCCTTCCTTCTCTGCTCAAAGATGGGGGGACAGATTTCCTGCAGCTCATCCTTTTGTAATCTTCCCTGTCACCCCAAATGCTAGGGCCTTAAATGGAGGGTCCAAACAGGCTAAGAGCCTAAGCTTGGAAATAAAACTTTGCAGGCAGGTTGGTCAAGATTATGTCATGGGAGACCACGAGTCACAAATGGGCCTTTATCGTGGGATAAAACATTTCCACTTCTTCACCCCAAAGAAGTTTGGCAGGAGAGCTGGTCTTGGCAGGAGAACCCCAAGTGCCTCATGGAAGATGCTCCCAAAACTCACTGCATGTCAATCACCCACAGAGCATAAAACGAACCCAACTCATGGGACTCCAGCTCTAACGGGACCCCAACTTGAAACCTTCTCAGCCCCGATACCAATATTGCAGCAAGCAGATCCGGGAGGACCTACTGCCTGGGGCACATTCCCCAAATTGATGGTGCCTCAAGGTCCCCCACACCATTCAGGCAGTGAGCCTGAGGGCCGGGGGCCTGGGAGTCTGCATTCCAAAATGGCTTCGGTGTGATCCTGGTGCTGGTGTACTTGGAGAAAGGCTGCAACAAGCCGGGAAACAGCAGTGCCAGTCACTGAGAAAGTCCTCCCCTTGTTATGCTAAGTGGGGGAGGCCCAAACACCAGTGTGCAGAATCGGGGTCAGGATGTGAGTTTGGGTCTGGGACATGCTTGTCTGAAAATCTTCATGGGGGACAAAAAAATAATCAGGAAAGAGACACCCCAAAATAGTCAGTGATTACTGCCAGGAGCTGGCATGGTGAGTAACTTTTGCTCCCTTCTGGAATGCCTCCGCCAACCCCTTCCCAAGAGCCCAAGTAGCTGCACTTCTCTACACGTTAACTTTCCCTTATGTCTGAGGAGAAAGTGCATTTTTTTTTAAATAATAGATTTTATTTTTATATTCCCCATACAATTGCAACCCCCCCCATTTTAACACCAATCCCTCCCCTCCAACCCCCCACCCCCAAAAAAGTGTCTCTGGTTCATAGTTTTTTGTTGATTTTGATTTTCACAGAAAGTGCATTTTTGAAGACAGAGAGCAGATGAGTCAGGGGGTCAGAGACACGAGCTTGAATCCTACCTTTTCTCCAGTCAATGACCTTGAAAAGTCCTTGTTTTTTTGGGTTCCCTTTTTCCAGGCTATAATTTGGGGGCTTAAAGGAGATGCACCTCAAGTTTCCCACTGTGGACAACCTTTGGGGAGTCTCAGATCCTGAGGCTGAAACATGAAGATTTCCCCCTCTGTTCTGAAAGCGAAGGTCCCTCCGTGACTTCGAGAAGCACCGTCTGCAGGGCAGCTGGTTTGCCTGCCTCGCGTCTGTGTATTAAGTGGCCATTTAGCTGGACACTGCAAGTGGCCGTCACTCTCTAGCGATGTCTTTACACGCCCGATTAGCTTTACGAGTGCTGCTCTGGAAACACATCCATCCCGCTGAGCTGCTGGCTACTCGGTGAAGTGGGTGGGCACCTCCCATATACCAGGCTACCCCTAGAAAGGCGGCCCCGCAGATGACCTCTGGAGGTGATGGGAAGAGGAGCCCCAATTTGGTCTGACTTTGCCATCTGAATGGATGCAGATGGGCCACTCATTCATTGGACCTATATTTATGGAGGAGTTATTATGTGCCAAACAGTGAGGACCTAATGGGGAGCAAAAGAGACAAGGCCTAATGGGGCCAGCATTCTAGTGAGGACTCAAAATGATTTCAATGACCATCCTAATCACACTCAGCGTAAGTACTTCAGGCCAACTCTAGGCAGCTATGAGAACCCAGCAGAGACAGACATGAACGGTCGGGGGGCCTCAGAGGCAGTGACCATTGAGTTGAGACCTGAGGGTGCAGAGGAGCTGACTCAGTAAGGAGGGCAAGGAAAAGCATTGCAGGGAGAGGGATCAGCATGTACAAAGGACTGAAGAGATGATTGGTGTGGCTGGTGGGCTGGAAGGGTGGTCAGGGGGTGCTCCAGGCAGGATCTTGAATCTAGGAGTGATGGGGCAGCATGAAAGAGCTGTAAGGAGAGACTCAGCCTCCCCCCCATTTGATGTGGGAACCTCGGAGTAGTGAGATGCTGCAGGGGCTCCAGTCAGAATGAGGTAGGCAGATCTCTGGGTTTTGTCCCCATGTGAGACTGGACCTGGCCTCTTGACCTACAGGACTGTCCCGAATGGGTCTCACTCAGGGTTTGGCCCTCACAGGAGGGCCAAAAAGCACCCCATGCAGGGGAGCAGACCTCAAGGAGTCAGCCCACGTCAGTTTCCTACTGCAGCTGTGAAAATGACCGCAAATAGCACGCACTGCACCTCAACAGCCAGGCTAAAGATGCAGCCAGGCCTGTGTTCTTTCTGGAGTCTCCAGGGAAGACTCCTCTCCTGGTTTCTAGAGCTGCCTGCATCCCCTGACTCGTGCCCCCTCCCCCCTCTTCAAAGCCAGCATCTCACAGTTTCCAGTCTTGCTGTGAGGCTAACCCCCCTGCCCCCCTCTGATAAGGATCCTCTTTTCTTGGGGTCCACCAATACTCCAGGACCATTGCCCCATCTCAAGAGCCTTGATCACACCTGCACAGTCCCTTCTGCCACTAGAGGCACCTATTCATGGGGCCTGGGGATTAGAAGGGAGGCCTCTTGGGGAGGGGGCATGGTGCCCACCAACCCGCACCCCTGCCCCATCTGCACCCAGCTTCTGTTTCCGCCTGATTCAGCTCCCACTCAGCTCGGGTTCGCCTGTTTGCAGCAAGGCTTGGTCCTTTCTTCCTGCCTGGCCACGGCCATCGGCCTCTGTGAGGTTCCACTCACCTTCTCCGGGGCTCACGTTCATCCCCAGGAACATGAGGACTCCTTACACACATGTGCACACACACATGCACACACACTGCACACGTGTTTGCAGAACAGAGGGGGCATTGAGATGCAGGGGCTGGGGTGCCAATTCTGGAGTGAGCTTGTCTGGGCTCATATTTAGACTTTGCTCCTTCTTAGCTGTGCGACCCCCAGGAAGTGACTTAATCTCTCTGAGCCTCCATTTTTCATCTGCAAGTTAGGGAAAGCAAAGTCCTGACCTCCTAGATTGTCGCCAAGATAAAATGAGAGGTTGTTTACAAAATGCCCAGAACACAGTAGTGGTTGCTGCTAATTATTTCTCCTGGAAATGTGTGACTCTCATAACTCCCTGTACTCACATTCTTCCTGTGCTCACAATATCCATCTTTCCAAAGCTTTAAAGGGGCTGCAATGCTGGAAATTGAGACTCAAAACACACTCACAGACACCTGTGCACGCTCACCAGCACTC